GATTGGATAGTTCACGTTCGAAATCTCTTGGGTTCAACACAGCTGACACTACACCCCATAATTTTTTGAAGCTGGGCTATCCAGTGCATACGCTATGTGTTTACCCCAGGGCTGGGCTATCCAGTCAATAGTCCAGCTTTACAAAACCTTTTGACTGAACATATAGACTGGAGAGTACACTTTAGAAACATTTATGGGCTGAATAGTCCAGTTTTAAGACATTTATGGACTCGATAGCCCAGTTTTAAGACATCCATGGGCTGGACAGTCCAGCTGAAATATTTGTGCACTGGATATTCCAGTGTTACAAGACCAGTCCATTTTTTTGCAAAGCTGGGCTATCCAGTCCATAGACGTCTTAAAGCTGGACTATCCAGTCCATAGATGTTTTAAAAATTAGATTATACAGCCCACACATTTTTGAAGCTGGGCTACCCAGCCCATAGATGTTTCAAACGTTCAAAATTTGGACCATCCAGTCCAGATATGTTTAAAAACTGGCTTGTCCAGTCCAATTGAAATGGGCGATCGACCCCATAAACCCTTTATAAACTGGACGTCCATATTCTTTTTATTAGCTGGACTATCCAGCCCTTGTGGTTTTAAGACAATTGAGAGGGGAAACAAATCATATGAAATTGGAGGCTCTGCGGAGGCAAGTGGGCGAACAAAACTTAAGCAAAACGTTAGGCATGGATCCACTAAGCGGACGCGGATCCATGCCTAACGTTTTGCTCTAAGTTTTCATGGCCAGCTTGCCACCCCAAAGCCTCCTTAAGGGCTGGATAGTCCAGCTTTCAAAACTTATGCGCTGGATGGTCCAGTTTATGAAGGATCTATGGGGTAGATCGCCCACCTTTACGCATGTTTGAATTGCACAATCCATTGATGTCCATTGTTTGTACTTGTCGCACGCAGCAAGAACATTCTTCCTATGACCCATATTGAAGATGGTACACATAGCACTGCCAATATTGAAAAGGTGCACGCAACGCTTGTCATCCTATATCTTGTAAAGCATTGCCACTAGATTTCAAAAGAGTGGGGAGGGAGGAAGAGAGGGAGAGGGAGACGGAGAGAGAGACAGAGACAAACAAAGACAAAAAGAACACAAATAATGAAAAAAATGACATGTGATCCCATTTATTTTTCAACTCAAGTCAAGCCACCTGAAACAAAGCTGCTTTGCGATAATCGCGCAAATCTGTTTTCTCAATACTGAGCCAAGCGGGAAGTCATAGTGCTTTGTGGTTTGCAACAATGCATTCAATGTTGAAGCCTGCATACCCCGGAATAATTGGGTTTTGGAGCAATTTCCTATAAACTTGAAACATCTCGAAACAGCCACAACGTTCCTGTCCTTGGCCTGGCCCTTCCAAAAGCCGTTTCTAGCTTGGCCGTGTTTGCAGTAGTTTGGGCAATTACTGCCAACCGTTTTTTCTCTTCCGCGTACTTGCAAGCAAAACTGGTGTCCAATGGACCACCTTTCTCTCACGGTACTTCCCCTCGAAAGTTGGAAAGACATGAAAGGAATATGGAAGAAATGGAGGAAACTATGCAAGGTTCGGAAATTGTCTAGGAGATGGCCCGTTTGAGTGCCATTTTGTGGAATTTCCACAGGGGATAAATTTTTCTAGGGGTATTGGAGATGCCTGGCACCCCTGAAAAACCAAAGTGGGCAGCTGCCACAATCACCAAACTAGCCCAGGAACTGGCAAGAAGTGTCAAAAACAAATGAAAACTCAAAAGTCTAAATTGATTCTGTAGTAGAGATTTCCATTGAAGTCGATTCCGTAGAGAACTCTTGTTAGGTTTCCAAAGTAGCATGCTTGTTTTTACAAAGTTTCATATTTTTACAGGCCTCAAACAATTCCAAAAGTGCCTGTTTACACGCTTTATGAACATGATATTACTACAGAATCAAAAACAATACATGTTGGGCAGAAAGGGTTTCAGGGGATGATCCTTTCCAGAATCACAGTCCTTCCATCTCACCATCTCTCACCACTACAGAATCAACCTCTGATGAATCCAAACAAAAATGGTCTTATGGAAATGATATTACAAAATCAAGAATCTCAATTTCTTCAGGAGGATTATTCTTTAGAAAGTCAAAGCGATTAGGAAATCAAAAATGTTGAAAACCATTCATGGGCATCCACTACAGAATCGGCAACCTCTGGGGGCGCATCCCAAAATGGAGGATTTTTATGGATTTTTAGGCATTTGCCAGCCTATGGTCTTTGATTTTGTAGCAAAACAAGGGCGCAGGCTGACTCTACAGAATTGGGGGTGCCAGCCCCCTCGATTCTGTAGAGGAAATTGCAAGGAGGATGTTTTTGATGTGTTTTTTTGGCATCGGTTTTCCTTGCTTTCTTTGGTTCCCCTTGGGCTTGGGTTATCATAGGTTTTACGAAGCCGATGCAAACCCTGTGGGACCCCAAAGGGAACCAAAGAAAGCAAACAAAACAGATGCCAACAAGACACCTCAGCACAACTGAGAAACAACGAAGAACCAGTGAATAGGATGAAAGCCTTTGCAACCCCACCAGTGAATAGGGTGAAAGCCTTTGAATCGGCTTCGACCTTCTGACTATATAAGCAGGGCCCTGGCGCACTAGCCTTTGAAACCAATAGGAAATAATAGGAACATATTTTATCATATTTTCAATTTTTAAAAAAAACTTGCAAGTTGCAAATAAAACTTGTTGCAAGTTGCAACTTAGAGGCAAACATCAGGCAGCAATCCATGTCCGCTTAGGGACGGCGTCCCTAAGCGGACGTGGCCGTCCAACATCTGGACATTGGCGGCGTGTCCGGCCATTGGAGGGTAGAGTCCGCTTAGGGACGCCGTCCCTAAGCGGACATGGATCGCTGCCTGATGTTTGCCTCAAAGTTGCAACTTGCAACAAGTTTTATTTGCAACTTAAGCGCATGTTTCCACACTTTCGGACTCCAACATGTTGAATGGACGCCTTGCGGAGGCGAACAAAACTTAAGCAAGACATCCGGCATGGATGCACGTCCGCTTAGGGACACTGTCCCTAAGCGGACGTACCCATGAAACGGCTGGACATTGCTGGCGTGTCCGTCCATTGCATGTTGGAGTCCGCTTAGGGACAGTGTCCCTAAGCGGACGTGGGTCCATGCCCGACGTTTTGCTGATGGGAGAGTTGCAAGGTACGTACCAGTCAGACAACCGGGACAACAACAACTATAGCAGGATAAACCAACCTGCAGAGTGCACAGGATACAACACGGACAAAACGAAGGTGGCCATAAGCATCCTTATGGCCACCTTCAGCTTCCCTTGCGCATCCTTTTGCGCCTTGCTGTTACTACGTTTTTGTTTGAGAGCGGGCAGTGGTGGGAGAGTAGTTTCCAAGCAAAACTGATCACAAGACACTGAAAATACCAGTGTCTTTTGTCCTTCAGTGCTTTTAAAACTTAGGTGAAATGCAAACCCTGAGCTTTGATTTCATACCGAGGCTCACAAAACACACTGCAAATACCAAGGTTGTATGCATGAAGCTGCGATTTACACGTGACCCATCAAAGTTAATATGTGGAAGATTGCAATGAATATTAATAGGCTTCAACATTGAATGCAGTGTTGCAAATCACAAAGCACTATGACATCCCGCTTGGCTCAGTATTGAGAAAACAGATTTGCGCGATTATCGCAAAGCAGCTTTGTTTTCAGGTGGCTTGACTTGAGTTGAAAAATAAATGGGATCACATGTCATTTTTTTCATTATTTTTGTTCTTTTTGTCTTTGTTTGTCTCTGTCTCTCTCTCCGTCTCCCTCTCCCTCTCTTCCTCCCTCCCCACTCTTTTGAAATCTAGTGGCAATGCTTTACAAGATATAGGATGACAAGCGTTGCGTGCACCTTTTCAATATTGGCAGTGCTATGTGTACCATCTTCAATATGGGTCATATGAAGAATGTTCTTGCTGCGTGCTACAAGTACACATTTTCCATCATAGAACTGTGACATTTGCCCAATGACAGTATGGAATGTGTTGAGATGATGTACATGTCCACTAAGTTCATGAACCTCCGGTACTAGCATTTGAGAGCACCGATCACTTCTATCACGCTGGCCACCGATCTATTGGTGCTGCCCATCACCCAATCCGAACATGGAAAACTTAACGTGTTTTGGTTACAGTAGCTTTTTGTTGCGCTGTGTTTGAAATCTGGGACAAAGGCTGTGGCTGCCATGGAAGTAATGGTAAAAGATCATAATAATTATACGAGAATGTCTTGATGCAGGCTTTTCAATTTCACAAACTCTTTAGGCTACGGTTTTTTCTAGTTTTTTCTGGGGTCCAAGTTCAACATATCCAGTGTTTTGCAAGCGGCGCGCGCAAGGCCCGCAAGCAAAAATCTTCAATGCTGGGTTTCTCTTTGGCTTGGCTGTGCAAAGGAATCCAATAGATAGAATCGGACTTTGACTGATAAAGACAGCCCGATGCAATATGAAACTGTCGGACCTCAGTCGGACGAATAGATTTTCCGTCTATGGGGCTTCTTTACGCGCGCCCTTTTCAGAGCTATTTTCAGGGCCAAGGACATTCTCTACCACCCTCACTCTTTCTTTCTGGATGGTATATATGGACGTTGATGGCCGGGCACGCGCTCTGTGTGATGCGCGCGCCTTTGCGCGCCTTTGCGCGCCTCGCGCCTCTGTGTGACTCTGCGCGCCTCTGCGCGCCTTTGCGCGCCTCTGTGCGCCTCTGCGTGATTCTGCGCGCCTCTCTGCGCGCCTGACAGCAGAGGCTAGAAATGAAAGCAATTGGGTGCAGGCTATTGCAGGCTGCAATTTTTTTCATTGTCAAGTGACATGTCAACAAATAAGAAAAGTGATGGAACGAAGACACGGTGCAGCTCAGGTTGAAGCCGGTGTTTGCTTTTGACTTGTTGTGGCTCGTCGATGTTCATTGTCAAAAGAAACATGATATATGTCTTAAACATAAATATAAAGTTTGGTGCTGGCATGTGCTTGCGGGAGCCGAAACATTCTGCTACCAATGGTAAAGCTGATTTTCCGGCATTAAAATATTCTAGTCATAATGATGACATATATCAAGATATAAATCAAGCCTTTGCGCGCTTCTGCGCGCCTTTGCGCATCTCTGCGCGCCTCTGCGCGACTCTGCGCGCCTCTGCTCGCCTTTGTGCGCCTTTGCGCGCCTTTGCGCGCCTCTGCGCGCCTCTGCGCGCCTCTGCGCGCCTCTGCTCGCCTTTGTGCGCCTTTGCGCGCCTCTGCGCGCCTCTGCGCGCCTCTGCGCGCCTTTGCTCGCCTTTGCGCGCCTTTGCGCGCCTTTGCGCGCCTTTGCGCGCCTCTGCGCGCCTCCGCGCGCCTCTGCGCGCCTCTGCTCGCCTTTGTGCGCCTTTGGGCGCCTTTGAGCGCCTCTGCGTGCCTCTGCGCGCCTCTGCTCGCCTTTGTGCGCCTTTGTGCGCCTTTGCGCGCCTTTGCACGCCTCTGCGCGCCTCTGCGCGCCTCTGCGCGCCTCTGCTCGCCTTTGTGCGCCTTTGCGCGCCTCTGCGCGCCTCTGCGCGCCTCTGCGCGCCTCTGCTCGCCTTTGTGCGCCTTTGCGCGCCTCTGCGCGCCTCTGCGCGCCTCTGCGCGCCTCTGCGCGCCTTTGCACGCCTTTGTGCGCCTTTGCGCGCTTTTGTGCGTGCCTTTGCGCGCCTCTGCTCGCCTTTGCGCGCCTGACGACAGAAGCTAGAAATGAAAGCAAGCGGGTGCAGGATGCATGTTTTTCATTGTCAAGTGACATTTCATATAAGAAGTATTAAGAAGTGATGGAGCAAAGATTTGATGCAGCTCATGGTTGAAGCCGGTATAGTTTGCTTTTATTTGCTTTTGATTTGTTGCGGTTCGTCGATGTTCATTGGTAAAAAACTCCTGAAATGTCTTAAACATAATTACAGAGTTTGGTGCTGGCATGTGCTTGCTGTAGCCGCAACATACTGCAACCAATGGCATAGCTGATCATCCGGCATTAACATTTTGTAATCACAATCAGCATATCAAGATATATCAATGTATATCAAGCCTCTGCGGGCCTTTGCACGCCTCTGCGCGCCTTTGCGCGCCTTTGCGCGCCTTTGCGCGCCTCGCGCCTCTGTGTGACTCTGCGCGCCTCTGCGCGCCTTAACCTCCTTGCGCCTCTGCGCGCCTTTGCGCGCCTCTGTGCGCCTCTGCGTGATTCTGCGCGCCTCTCTGCGCGCCTGACAGCAGAGGCTAGAAATGAAAGCAATTGGGTGCAGGCTATTGCAGGCTGCAATTTTTTTCATTGTCAAGTGACATGTCAACAAATAAGAAAAGTGATGGAACGAAGACACGATGCAGCTCAGGTTGAAGCCGGTGTTTGCTTTTGACTTGTTGTGGCTCGTCGATGTTCATTGTCAAAAGAAACATGATATATGTCTTAAACATAAATATAAAGTTTGGTGCTGGCATGTGCTTGCGGGAGCCGAAACATTCTGCTACCAATGGTAAAGCTGATTTTCCGGCATTAAAATATTCTAGTCATAATGATGACATATATCAAGATATAAATCAAGCCTTTGCGCGCTTCTGCGCGCCTTTGCGCATCTCTGCGCGCCTCTGCGCGACTCTGCGCGCCTCTGCTCGCCTTTGTGCGCCTTTGCGCGCCTTTGCGCGCCTCTGCGCGCCTCTGCGCGCCTCTGCGCGCCTCTGCTCGCCTTTGTGCGCCTTTGCGCGCCTCTGCGCGCCTCTGCGCGCCTCTGCGCGCCTTTGCGCGCCTTTGCGCGCCTTTGCGCGCCTTTGCGCGCCTCTGCGCGCCTCCGCGCGCCTCTGCGCGCCTCTGCTCGCCTTTGTGCGCCTTTGGGCGCCTTTGAGCGCCTCTGCATGCCTCTGCGCGCCTCTGCTCGCCTTTGTGCGCCTTTGTGCGCCTTTGCGCGCCTTTGCACGCCTCTGCGCGCCTCTGCGCGCCTCTGCGCGCCTCTGCTCGCCTTTGTGCGCCTTTGCGCGCCTCTGCGCGCCTCTGCGCGCCTCTGCGCGCCTCTGCGCGCCTCTGCTCGCCTTTGTGCGCTTTTGCGCGCCTTTGCGCGCCTTTGCGCGCCTCTGCGCGCCTCTGCGCGCCTCTGCTCGCCTTTGCCTCTGCGCGCCTCTGCGCGCCTCTGCGCGCCTTTGCACGCCTTTGTGCGCCTTTGCGCGCCTCTGCGCGCCTATTATTTCTAGAGCTAGAGACACTCTCTACCGCCCTCTCTCTTCCGTTTAGATGGTATATATAGACATTGATGGACGGGCGCGCCTGACACACTAGGTGCGCGCTGGGCGCGCGCCTTTGTGTTGTGGCGCGCAATGAAAGACAGACTTATTTGCACATTCCTTCCTTCTCTCTTTCTCTTTAGAGATTTATTTATATGGAAGTTGATGGACCGGCGCACGCGTGCTGGGCGCGCGCGTCTGTGTTGTGTGAGGCGCGTTCCCGGGGCGCCTGCGATGCAATGCAAACAGATTTATTTCTTGAGCCAGACACGCTCTCTACCAATCTTTTTCTTTCTCTCTTTGTCTCTAGTCTGCCAAAATCTTTTTCTTTCTTTCTAGACGTTGATGGACGGGCGCGCGCCTACTGTCAGGCGCGCGCGGGGCGCGCGCCTCTGTGTTGTTGGAGGCACGCCCGGCGCGCGTCTGGTGTGAGGTGCGCGCCCGGCACGCGCCCGGCACGCGCCCGGCATACAATGAAACCCACGCCTATTTGTAGGGCCAGAGACACTTTCTACCAGCCTTTCTATCTGTGTGACACTCTCTACCACCCTCTCTCTCACTTTCTCTCTCTTTCTCTGTTTCTTTCTAGATGTATATATGGACGTTGATGGACGGGCGCGCGCCCGGCGCGTGCTCGCTCTGTGTGAGGCGCACGGGGCTGGCATGCAATGAAAAACAACTTTCTTTCCTAGAGTCAGAGAGACTCTCTACCGCCGTCTCTCTTTTGCTGTGTCTTTCTAGACGGTATATTATATTATATATATTTAATAAATAATATATATATATATATATATTGAGCATCCGACAAAATTATTGGAATACTAAAGTAGTAAAGAGCTGCCTTGAACTTTGCTTACCTTCACGAAACCTTCACAACCGATAGGGGACGACCCAGCACCGATACCCCTAGATCCCAACAAGTTCCCACAATAATCTGCAGCAGAGTGTGTATTTCTACAGAAACGACTGCAAACAAGGCTGTAAACAGCTACCTCAGCTAGCTTTCCTCTTAAAGAGCACCAAGAATATTGTTTGCGGCAATTCATGCACCATTCCCACTGATACCCCAACCGATACTAACCGATACCCAATCCTGCAATTTTTCTCACTTGCCAAGACCATGCCCCACGTACTGCTTTTACTCTTACTCTTACTCTTACTCTTACCCTTACTCATACTCATACTCCTGCTGCTGCTGCTGCTGTTGCTGCTGTTGCTGCTGCTGCTGCTGTTGCTGCTGTTGCTGCTGTTGCTGCTGTTGCTGCTACTGCTACCCCTACTCATACTACTACTACTGCTACTACTACTGCTACTGCTACTGCTACTGCTGCTACTGCTACTACTGCTACTACTGCTACTACTACTACTACCACCACCATTCCTACTATTACTCCTACTCCTACCCCTATCCTATTCCTATCTCACCCCTACTCCTACCCCTGCTCCTACTCCTACTACTCCTGCTGCTTCCGCTGCTCCTGCTACTGCTTCTGCTTCTGCTTCTGCTTCTTGTACTACTAGTACTTCTACGATGACGATGACGAGTACTAGTACTAGTATTAGTACTAGTTCTAGTTCTAGTACTAGTAGAAGCATTTGCTGCTGAACGCTATTAAAGAGCGAAAATCTTCACAACCGATAGGGGACGACCCAATTTTGCTCGTGGCAATTACGGTGAACAAATCATATTGTCCGTCACTGATATATTTAATATATAATATATATAATATATAATATATAATATAAATAAATAAATAAATAAATATATGGACGGGCGTGCACCTGGCGCACGCCTAGTGTCCGGCGCGCGCTGGGGGCGTGCCTCTGTGTTGTGTGAGGTGCGCGCCCGGCGCCCTCCTGGTGCGCAATGAAAAACAGACCTATTTCCAGAGCCAGGGACATTCTCTACCACCCTCTCTCTTTCTCTCCAGATGGTATATAGGGACGTTGCCGCTCCTCTCCACCACTCTACTCTCTTTCTCTCTTTCTCTCTTTCTCTCTTCTCTCTTTCTCTCTTTCTCTCTTTCTCTCTTTCTCTCTTTCTCTCTTTCTCTCTTTCTTTCTTTCCTTCCTTCTTTCTTTCTTTCTTCCTTCCTTTCTTTCTTTCTTTCTTTCTTTCGTTCTCTGTCTCTCTCTCTCTCTCTCTCTCGCTCTCTCCCTCCCTCCCTCCCTAAATCCCTCCCTAAATCCCTCCCTCCCCCTCCCTTTCTCTATGACAGTATATATAAGGACGCTGATGGACAGGCGCGCGCCCTGTCTGTAGACTCCAGAAATGGATCTGTCTCTCTTTGCGTGTAGGTCTTCGACGCAGGGTCCATAGGAGGACGGTAGAGAGAATGATAGGGAAGGCGCCCCAGAAATGGTTCCATTTTCATATGGTTGGTGGCTCTGAATAATTTTGGCGCAGGTACGGTAGTGCGTGCGCAGACCTTCTGTACATGTTTGTGTGCGTATACGCGTGCGCCTTCGCGACCAAAACCAGGAAGATCAAAGAAGAAGAGATCACAAATACAGAGACTGCGCCGATGCCGAAATCTCTGCACAAGTTCAAAGACCTCATACATGGCAACTATACCGTGCCTCAAGGATCAAAATCTGAGGCGGCTAATGTGGCGCCTGCTAGAGTCACGAGGGCGGAGCTAGCTAAACAAGTAGCTCCGTCACACCTGAATAAAGCAATGTAATGTGTAAGCTGTAACATGTAACCTGTAATATGTAGTAGTATGTAGTACAATGCAAAGCAATGATGGAATATATTGTTATTTCTATGATTTGGCGCTGCTTAGTGCTGGAACTTGTGAGCCAAATGGCATGATCTTGGTGGATTTTGTGGTTTTGTTTTCTTCATGAACTTTATGGACTCATGAATATTCTAGGACCATGACCATTTTATAGTACCCAAAAATATCCATCTATTTTTGTGTCTATTTGTCTTTCTCTTATCCACCTTTCTTGTCTCCTAGGTATTGGTTGAAATTAGAAGGTTTTGTATGATTTTGGAGTTTAGGCAAATGGCAAACCATTCGAAAATGATGACCCACACAAAGCCATAATGTATTGGGAACCCCCCCCCTCATTTTTAGCACATAATCATGGGGATGCTTCAAAACATTTCAAGACCATTTTCAACCTTTGACCCTCGCCGACTCCAACCGCGAGGCCGGGAGTCCAAAGGACGCACAGGTCATTGGAAAATCTGAGCCGCGGTCACCTGAAGACCTGCCCGTCCCAATGGAACAGTGACATGGCGCTGGCATGGCCATGTGGGCAATGGGGCCATGCGATCCATGCCATGATGTCATATATGTCATGGCAATGTAGCACCTTCGGGTTTCGGAAGGGAAGGCCCTTGGCCTACAAGGTGGCCAAGTGGAGCCTTTGCCTCCAGAGTTGGTTGCACCTCTGTGGATCATCTTTTAGCACCCTCACTTCACATCCGCTAAAGGCGGAACTTGGGCTGGGGTTTCACGCATGTTTCGGTAGTGGCGGCGTTGTGGCTCGAAGTTCCAACCCTCTTAAGGTCAACCTCGTGATATCCCATGGTAAAGCGAGCCCTGGTTGGGTCACGCAGTCCATTAGGGGGCCCAAATGCTTAGAGATGCAGTGGTAATGATCAAAAGACTTTAAGATAGAAGATGGTATGAATCAACCAGGGAAGATGATTTCGAAAAATCTAGGTGAATTGTTTGAGGGTGGATGTTCGTTTTCAAAATAAAACGTCAACCAGGCTGCCAGGCTGCCAACGTGGCAAGGTCCGGCCAATCCCACCACCGAGCGATAAAAAGACTTCTGCGCAGCTGGAAGTGGATGGAAACTATGTGGTAGGCCATGGTAGGCCGGTAGGCTTGGGCTGCTAGGAGATGCTAGGAGATGCTAGGGGCCCCTATGAAATGCCATTAAATTTCAATACCTTGGGTTGGTCAAAGCCACCTAACCGCTCACTTGCGTCATTGAAACTTCCAATTATGAACATGTTTTGTTTATGTGTGTTTCATTTTGCTGCTTGAATTCAAGTTGGACATTGGATTGAATTGATTGAATCCTCATTTTTGATCATCTTGCTAGGTCAAACCAAGCCACAGCATGCTTGAAGAACGTAAAGCCTTGGCCGCCGCACTTTTCGGTTTGTAGCTTGGGCTTCCTCCATACCCGAGGCGCGGAGCCTTCATGATTTTTTCAGGTATGGCAGGTGTGTGTCAAAATCATTCAAACTTGTACCGCCCAAATCGACAATACACAACCAATATCAGAAGGTTGAGGCCGGAATAATTGAAGCTGTCAACTTAGCCCCGGCCCACAACCAGATATATAGATACCAGTGTACAAACATGAGATTGACATTTGCAAGGATGCACATCACGAGGGACGTTGATATAGACTCGACGATATAAGCTTAGTGCCATTAGTGCCACTTTTCAGGTAGCTGCAAGACGAGATTCAAAGCGTTGACAGGAAGGTAGATTCAATAGATGATAATAGATGGTGATGCTTTCACTTTCAGATTTGAGCTTCCAGTCGGTCGTTGGATTTGGGTACCCATTGTCTCCTGATTTTCCGTGTGTATGGATGGTGTAAGGTACATTTCCAAATGTTTCCAATTTCTCCCCCACCCACACTTGCACAATTCTTGGGGTCAATCAGTGTACCTAGAACCTATTAGAACCTACTACTTGGTCATTTGACCCCTGGTATGGCTTTGGTTCCAACATGTTTGAACCTTTTTTTTTGGAGGGCCGGTGAAACATCCAAAATCATCCGGAGGGCCAAGTCACCATCCGCCATGCCAGGCCCGCGATGTCGTGGCTTCGATGTTGCTATGCCTGTGACGAGGTGACGGAAAGAAATGGGCTTCTAATGCGGATTTGAAGCAGCAACAGGGGAAATCATGGGAAATCATGGGAATGTCATGGAATATCCATGGAATATCATGGAATATGAACGGAAAACACCTTCAAAACTTGTAGATGTTCACCAAGAAACGTATAATGAAACGTATACTTTCCGGGCTGATCTTGGGATTATTGGTGACAAATCGCACAGAAGATGCGATATGAACACATCCAGGGATGTGAACCCAAGAGGGTTTCACCCTTGGCTGTATGGCAAGCAATGCAAATGATTATTTTTGAATGTCACCAGACAGGGTAGTGGTGAAATGGAACACGGACGCCGGAGGCCTCGTATCAACAAAGGTGGGTCTGAGAACATGATTTTCGGAAGACCCGCTCGGTGGTTACTTAAGATTAACATTAACATTGTTTCATGTTGCGCCCGTTTGTTTCCAGCATTAGTTGCAAAACTACTGTGCCGGCGTTGTTGCTGACATCTCTACTAGTTTCAGCTACGGCAGCCCTCCATGTTGTTTAAAATTATATACATTACACCTCCTCCGCTTCCACTTCTGTCGAGTGCATGTATCGTTTTTTTTTTCTGCCAGTGTTGTTTTTTGAATCTTCAAATCCATCCAAATCCAGCCGAATCCTATTTCTGATCATTTGGTGGATGCCATTGCCATGGTCGGCCATGGTTCTTGGTCAAATCGTATGAGCTGAGGCGCCAGGCAGCTTGGATGCAACTTTGACCGCGCTGGTTGGGACCTCAGCTGGAAGATGTGCCTGGACTTAGGACTTAGGATTGATATGAAACCATATGATCCATATGGAACCTCCAAAAGACTGGGGAAGATGAGCTTTCAGTTTGACATATTTGAGCTGATTACTTCACGTCACTTCCTTAACTGGAACATGTGAAATTTCTGGTGCAGTCGCATCCAAATTGGAACCCAGCACTGGCTCACTGCAGACCAGGTGAGTGAAGGAGAGGAAGCCTTGGAATGGCAGCAGCTGAGCTGCAAGAAGGCCCACCAAATCAGGGGGCCTCTGAATTCACACTGCACATGTTGGGCATGGGTTGAGATGCTGGATCTGGATTGCATTCTTGGGGCCCATGGGCAGCCAAGGATTGTTCAAAAGTCCCTGGATTCTGCTGAATTCTCCAAACTTCTACAACTTCGCGGTCGCCTTTGCGACTGCGATGAGCACCCTGCTACTCGTACTTGGAGATTGCCCGTATATATAGCTGTACAGTGCTCCGGTCCGGTGGAGGGGCGGTGTGGCAGGACTGGAAATTGTCTTTAGCTTCTGCACAACAAATTCTAAGAGCCGAAAACAGGACCAGCGCCGATCTTGGTCGGGCCGCCTACCTGGCTACCTAAACGTATTGTAGCAAGTGTTCCTAATCAAGCCCTACTTGCCCCCAGCCTGGCCACCAGCTATGATTCCAACTGTAGGGGCCCATCTTGGATCATCCTGGGGATCATCCTGGTAAACTTCAGGCTTGCGAAGAACAGAAGCTGTCCCGGCAACCGCAGACTCTGCTACGCTTCCTCCGGGCCCGGACAAGTGGCTCGCTAGAACTCTTGTGGCTGGGGTGGCGCGTGAAATGGCTCAAGACGGGGTAGAATGACGGGGATATCAAGTCTTGTCCTAATTTATGAGAATGCTGCTGCCCCTCCACACCTGACTTCGTCTACCGCTACAGATTAACACGACCTAACACGACCACAGAAGACCCGACTACAATCAATGGCTGTCCATTTGTGCCGTTGCCACTGACTCCACAGCCATTCGGAGCAGCGCATCCAGTCTGAGGGTTGAGGCAGTCACAGGGTTCAACATGGTTCCAAAACTTTTGCCGGTGATTTCAGCCAAGTTGTAGCATCTTGCTTGGAATCAAAGTAGCCATCCGAACGTTTTCTGTTTGTCCACGTCGTTCAGCTTCACAAGATTGCAAACTGATTCCCGCCTATGGTGTCTCACTTTTCCATCTGTCTTAGTAACTTGAAACTCTGTCCGAAAGAAAGCCTGGAAAACAATGTTCCAGTTTTCATATGTGCTGGCCGCTCACATCTGAGTTCTTGAGGTGATCTACGAAAGGCGGAAACCATGTTCCGGGCCATGCTAGACTGGCGCCAATCCTTTGGAGTGGATGACCCTTGGCATCCCTTGGCTGTTGGATAATTTCATGACAAGAATGTCAAACATCGAGGATGAAGATTTATGATGATTTGTGATGTTTTCTCATTGTGATGATTTATGATGACTTATCCAGTAGTCCAACATGGCTGGGAGATCTTGAATATGTGTAACTATTCTTAATCTATCCTAATAATCTTAATCCATCTTAGTATGCAATTGTCAACTGGAGAGACCCAGTGACCCATGAACTCATGTTACCCTTAGACTGTATCAGAACTTGTTCGGAGCTGGCAAAGGCTCTTGAAGACAACTTTGAAGATACATAAAGAGCATGCCAAAGGCACACCTCCTCTGGCACGCTTCTCAGGAGAAAATTAGCAGCTGGAGAAAAGAACTTGGCCAACAACGCACACAGCGGAGCATCCAGATGCACCTTGCTTCACAGACATTCCTAGTACAAATGCAGACAAAAACCGACTCCATCGGTATTGCCTGGAAATCAAGACTGTTTCTGTCGGATCATGTACATTTAGTCGGCAATATTGCTCATGAACTGCACGTTGTTTAAACATGTTTACACCGTACGTCCCTACAACTCGTGGTCTAGCAAAGTGGCAAAAGGATGCAAAAGGTGCCATGCAATTCCGGTGCATCTTGACAAGTTCGGGGGATGCCGATTGATTATGATTGATTGTCATCACAGTACATCAGGTTCCTTTCAACCTTGGAAAACTATGGAACAGAAATCTGACACAACAAATCCCCAGAAAATCCATCAAAGTCCCACCCAGGAGACGTTTCGAAACGGATGTGGACCTTTGCCAAGACAGACAGGACCTCAGTGGATCTGTTAAGGCACCGTTAAGGACCAAGACCATGTAGCCTCCAGCAACTAGCTAGCATGGAACCGGAATGAACCGGAAAATCCGGGAAAACTGCCCACTTTCACGGGAAATTCATGTACTAAGATGAATCTGAGATTAGTGTAATTTACTATATGTATCTAATTATGTATATAATTGTAATATATTATAACTTTAATATAAAATGATATGTACATAATTGTACATATAACATATACATACATATATCATATATATATATATATGTGATTATGGTGGATTTCCCACTTCGATTCTGCATTGTCCAGTGATGTCCAGCGGTCTCTGAGGACATGGAGTGCCAATCCGGTTGATTCGGACCAGTGTTGCCGATGTACCAGGTTTAGTCCGTGAGTTTGGAAAAGAGATCGTCCTGTTCCTTGGCAGTCACGGTTGGCAGTCGGGGCATACTACCCTTAAATTACATACTGCATATGTTCAATGATTCACACTCAATCACACGTATATAGTATATATTCATATATTCATTCAAGTATGAGAATTCGAAGTTGATGCAGGCAGGTATAATTATAATATCATGTAATCTATCATGTAATCCTTTGCATCCTTCAAATTACAGCATTCTCACAGTGCCTCGGTGACACGGCAGCTCCAGGATCGACACGCTGCTGCGCATGGAAGAGGCTCACCAGCACATTCGAAGGGCCATGTTCGAACGTGAGGAGTTGGTGTGTGGCCAGCTGCAGATCATTGATGCTCGCCTTGGTGATCGTTATTGGGGTTCCAGCTTCGATGGTTTACCATGGCTTAGAAAGTGTGTATATTTTAGTCATTTGCAGACACCTAATGCCTAATTCACATCATTTGCTTCAGACCCTGGCCACCTATCATGAATTTTTAAGATGAGAGTGGGAATTGAAGATACTGCAAAACAACGTAACGGCCGTAAACAGATGTAAACAGTGACACAGACAAGCAGATCAAATAGATAAATATAGATAAATATAGATAAGCAAATGACTCAATGCATACAACAGATACATGGACAACTCTCATTCAATCGATTTTGGTCCATTGGTTCCACCACTGGTTCCACCACTGGTTCCACCACTGGTTCCACCTCTTAGATCTTAGGACATGGGTGACTACGGCCGCGTGCCAAACCTGGCCAGCCGCCTGTGGTCCAGCTTGAAACTGGCTGCCGAAATTTCTCAGATCACGGATGCCAACTATCCAGCAGCTCGATAGGAACTCCCCAAGAGGCCAAAGTGGCTGGGAGATGCTGGGAGAATATGTCCAAGAGTTGCTAGTGTTTTTCTGGAGGTAGAAACTTGGAGCAGGTTGAACTGGGCATATTCAGGCTTTTTAGATCTTTTTAGTGGGTCCGGCGAAGTCCAGTGCTGCTGAAACGAGCTGAGGAGACGGTGCGGAAGGCTTTCATCATTCGTTTGGGCTCATGTACCAGCATGACCTGGCGCTATTGCATCCAGCCTTTACTGCCTGAACGGACTCAAGCCAAGCTGATTCCATGTGGGCCCAAGGTGCAGTCGGCGGATGTTGGGTCCATTGTCGCCCCGCTAAATTGTTTCAATACCTCGCCCCCAACCCTGATGCGGTTGAAGGGTATAGTTGTATCATGTTGTATCAGCAGTGGCTGCATTCCATCCGGAATCCGAAAATAGTTTAGACACCAACAAAAACAAAATTGCATGTCACCCCCGGGCCTACAGCTGCATCAACTGTGAACAACCACGCAAAATCGCAAAAACAGCGCACATATGCGCACATCGTTTCATGATGTTTCGTGAAGAAGCATCTATATATCCGTTCCATATCCATCTATATCATTCTATATCCATCCATATGGCCATATGGATCTAGATGAATATATAATAATATATATATATATCCATCATGATCCATCTATTAGATACTATAATTATGTTTCTTAAATTCAGCCCATCGATCCAGGCCTCCAGCTGGCAGCAGCACCTGGCGGAGGAGGTGCCGTCCCTCGCTGCGCTGCCCGCCTTTCTCCGCTCCGATGCGCCGGAGGCGCTGGCGGTGGCCGCGCCTCAGGGCGGCATGGTGCCAAAGGGCCTGGCTCAGGGGCAACAAGGAGGGGAACTCATGGGGAAGTCATGGGGAACATGGAAAGAACATGCTGTGCAAAAATTGGAGGAAAAGGATGGAAAAGGATGGAAAAGGAACGAATATGAAAGTATCCCCAAATAACATCATGAAGAAGTTGGATTGAATGGAAAATATCTGGCGAAATGATCGAACATGGTTCATCTTCAGAAAAAAAACGGATGTCCGCTAAAGCTGGTTTCAGCTCAAAGATGACATCCTGCTGGGGAAGCCTCTTCAAAGATGAAATCTCACAATTCCACCTGTCACCAGGTCGTCTTTGATGGTTGAAATTCTTGGGTGTTGCTTTGTGAGGATGTTGGGAGGCCCGTCCGAAGCCTCGTGTTCCTCGCGCGGCATCGGGACTGGCCCCACGCCGGCACACCTTGCACAGATCGCTGTCAGAGGGATGGTGCCATGGCCGGAAAATTGGAAAGTTCGGTTCGAATTATCCCGTGTTCCTCTATATCTTTGGCCTATAAACCGCTGTCAAGTTTGGGGAAGGCACCAGCATACTGGTAGTTGAAGTTGTGTCATCAACTCGATTGATCAATACTTGTTGATGCAAGTCAGTGAAACCTTGCCAAGCGAAAGACTGTGCTTTAACAACTCAGGTGCGCCAAAATGCAAGTGATCTTTTTCAGTGCAATTGCTTTTGCTGCAGGAGCACTGGTCTCTTTGGCCGCAACCAGAGATGAGCAGATGAAGTTGTCGGTCTTCCTTGTCAGTCTTGTGCAAGATGGTGGGATTAAACATGCTGCTGGGTAATTATTCATTTTGTATAAAAAATATATTAACATATGTAACGGAAAGCATCCTCAGATTGGCAAACGCTTCAGATTGATGAATGTCAATTTGTTTTTTCCTACCTCGAGAGAATGCGTGTTTTGAGGCAGTGGAACCTGTGTCGCTTCTTTGACCGGGGTGTCTACGACCTATCGCATGTGTACTGTGTGCAGAACACAAGCTGATGCTGGGGTCCCCAAACCCAAGTTTGCAGCAAGGAAATCCATGTCTGACTATTTGGATCTATTTGGCTACTTGGGGACCCCTGCGAGCACACTATAATTCAGTCAATGCGAGTTTTGTCCATGCCGATGCGCAAAGAGCGTGACTGATGATGTCCGAGCAATTCGTTCAGCCTCTCCTTGCTCCAGCATCGCTGGTGGGAAGATATGCGAAGATCACAAGCTGGGTGCCTGTGGGCCCCTGAGATACTATATAATTTATATAATTTTCAGTGAGGTGACGGATGATTCCATATCATATGGATGTGATTTCCTGATGGTTCCGTGGGTGGTCTATTTTAAAATTGTTTAAATGGGGAATTGTGATGAATTCTGAATTCTGTAAGTTTGGGGCTCCCAAAACTATCCAATTCTTAAAATTTATCCAAATTCGTTTCGCAAGATGGACACCACCGCTTTGCGGAGTCTGGAGGGCCCCGGCACAGGTCTGGGATGCACGGGCGCCCCTGCGAAGCAGCAGCCCTGCGGTGGCAAACCGCCACCGTTTCTTGGGGGCGAGTGGGCGCAATGACCATAGAGATGTTTTGCCCAGAAATGGGCATGGGTCAGAATTTACACTAGGTACGCAGTTTTACAAATTTTGACTTGAACAGTTTGACCTCATAATCTCAGCTGAATCTTCTGTTCATGTTTGAGGTGCATGCAATGTTGACCATCCTGGTTTCGGGTGCCTAAGAAATGGCCCATCGCCAAATTGCAAGGCAACAATGAATCCCGAACAGATGCTGCCATGCGCCTGCAAGGCAACGCAGAGAGATGGTGCAGACGCAAAAAAGGATCAAGATGGAGCTCGACGATGTTTCCGTGAAGGGAATCTCCACTTGAAAGGGCAACTGGAGCGGTTCAACTTATATGCATGCTTTAGGTGTTCGGGTCATGATGGGTCATGTCATGATACGTTTGGTTGGTTTCAATTCAAGCTCTGTTGAAAAACAGCAGGGTATTGCATCATGATCATCATCGTTTGATGGATCTTCAGAGCTTCCAATACTGCTTTCTCGCAGCGGAACAAGGGCCGTTCACTGCATACCACTCTCTCCCCTATGGCTTTCTGATTGATATTCGCACCTCCGCACCTCGAATTCACAGAGCGCCAGTGCCATGGGAAGCCGGGCTGCACACAATTGGAAGCGAAGGAGCTGGTTGTCTGAGGGGAATGCAGGGGAAACAGTTTGACTGAGTCTGACTGATTTGGGTTCCTGTGCCAGGCAGAAGCTCCTGGAAAAGTGTTGAGCTGAGAGGGCCACATCAAGATTCTAGTGGCATTGTTTAACTCTTAATGCTTCTTTGGGGAAAGCAGTTGGGTCTGAAATGTCGCTACCCCTGTTGGGCACTTGCGGCTTTCGATGCGGGGTTTGGTCGGCACTTTGGTGTGCAATATGTCGTGCTACGAGACGTCATGAAAGTTCATTGAGGTATGGTGGAAAGGGTGGTGGCAAGGACAACAGCAAGGGCAAAGGTAAAGGCAAGACAGGCGATGCATGGTGACATGTTTCTACAGAGCTGGAATGAGCACATAGATTGTTGAACAGTCGGGTTTGGGTCTTCCCAGCCCTTTGGACACAAAGCTCATGACCTTTGGCGCTGGAGTTGTCTCATTTTTGCTGAGTTGGTGAAACCGTGGCTTTGCTGCAACCTTTTGGCCAGGGAGGAAAGTGGCAGAGAGAAGACAGACAAAAAAGAAGGCTCCGGGGGACAGCAGTGCGGTGCCCAGATTCCAGGAGAACGGTGCAGTGAATTGGTGCTCATTGCAGTCCTTGGTGATTGCTGTGCCATAGATATGCTATATAGATTTGCCTGCTGCCACATCAGCTGTGAATGCATCAAAGAGAACGATGCGTAAGAGCCGTCCAGAAAGATCCAGAAAGTCCATTACATTCCCACGTTTGTTTTTGCGATTCATGTTTCCAGTCCTGTAGCTCACAGGCTGCGAATAGAATTCAAGAACCCAGGACCTTGAAGCACTGCAGGGAAAATAAAGGACATTATAGGACATGCAGGTATATTCAGATGCCTTTGGCGCATCCTCCGTGCTCGGTCTGTATTGAGCTCAACGGCTTGCCTTATGGCTGGATGCTCCTGCCAGCCTTGAGCGTGAAAGGAGAGCCGTTCCTTTCAGTGGCACCAAGGTGGGAAAGATTTCTCCCAACAAGTGCCGATGGGCCTTCAAAAACTGACAGGAAGATATATCGACCGATATATACAGGAACCATATGGAACCATCAGAAAGTGGTCTTGGAGGATGATCTTCCCCTTGGTCCATTATGACAACTGCCATTTGCCGACATAGCCTGCTGGTGCAAGGCACTCGCGACCATGTGCCTGGCAACCACGCGGCTCATTCGTTGGGAGCAAAATTTGGCCGTTCTGTTTGCTGGCTGCTTGGCAGCCTGTGAGGCTATTGGTTAGGCCTAGTTAGCTGAGTTTCTTTGGCCCATCAGTAATCGCTGGTGACTCTCTTTGGCCGTTGGATCTGCTTCATGTAGGCTGAAGTAAATGATGCCGAACAAGAGCCAAGACCCAGTAAGGACAAACGACGACAAACGCATGCTAACTGCTTCCATATCTCCGTATTTCAACCGGATTCAAACGGGTAATTAAAGTAACAAATCCCTTATTGATGTGCTATTTAAGGCTGTTTGATGCTGTTTGAATATACGTAGCCACATCATGCCACAACTATATAGGTGCAGCTGTATATTCATGTATGGTATGCGACGCGGAGAGTCCCAAAATGGCGGCCCCCCAATCTCTATGAGCGATGCCCAATGAGGCATCAGCCACTGGACGCAGACATTCAACGAGACGAAAGCAGGCCATCAATTGGAAGGAGCTGGCGGAGCGTGCCGTGGAATGATAGCTATGATCACTGAGAAGGATGTGTAATGGGTTCATAGGCCGGTATTGTTGGAATGATGACGATGATGAGGACGACGCGACAATGACCATGACAGTGATTACGATGAAGATGAAGGCGGTGATGAAGGTGGGAAGTGGAATTTGAAGAGCAGAAGAGGAATGTAGTGGTGCTTTTGGTGCTTGTGGTGGCTGCGGTAACTATCAGACACCATCATCACAATTAGGTTGATGATGGTGATGCATGCTGATGGCGGTTGTCAACCTATCTGAGAACCGACGTCCCAGCTCAGGTGCCGAAGAAGTTATGGAGCGCATCTATGACCCCCAACCGTCACCGGATGAGATTCTGGCACTTCAAGATGAGCTGGGAATTATCGCCATTCTTCAGGCACGGAGAGAGGTTTGGATTTTGAAGCAACTTCCTGAAATTGTTCGCAGATGGAAACCCTCTAGCATGAGAACCCAGACCTGATTTGCCATATTAATGCAATTAATGTTATATATATATAATTATATATATATACAATGTTATATATATATAATTATATATATATATGTGATATATGTGAATAATTGTAAATATATAGAGAGAGAGAGAGGGAGCGAGAGAGAGAGAGAGAATAGATTTTATATATATATTTATTGTATTACAGAATATCACAGACTACAGATTCCACCTTTGCGAGATGACCATCTTCAAATGCGGCAGGATGCAGGGATCAGCTCTGAAAGACGAAAGGAGATGGATGCGCGACATGCCAAGATCAGTTGGTATGAGCAGCTCTTCCAGGAGCCAACATGACTGGAGATGGAAAGGTGGATTTTTTGGCTGGCAATGATGCAACTGTAAAATCATACAATAGATAATTATATATCAATAGATCACAATAATGACAATACTATATCATGAAATAGTAATAATGGTTTTGCCGCAGATGTTTGGTCATGTTTTGCCCAGCAATATCAACCGCGGATCACTTGTTTGAATTAACAAGTCCTGGTCGATAAATCAGGGAGATTATATAACCCCAAACAGCGATAATCTGTCCAACGGGTTAACTTTGGCGCAGCTTGTGAATTTCATTCAAACGCCGGGTTTGTTTGCCAAAAGGATTTGTTTAACGAATTTCCAGGAAACTCGCACTGCAAGACTTGCTGGAACTCCTGAGCCAGATGTGGTTGCTGGGATGCACAACACGAGGACTCACAAGAATATGAAGCAGAATGTCCTGAGCCTGATATGTCCTGATATTGTGGTACTGGGAAATCCGCAGTGGCTAGTTGATTTGCGAGTCCAAGACTGTTGGCAAATGACATTTGGCCAGTTAAACCAAGGACTGGAGTTTGATTGCCCAGCGCATCAACAAGCGCTTCAAATACAAACCTGGTTTGGATGCGTTCACTCCAGAGCACTACGCTTCCTATGAAGACTGGTTCTTGAGGAAGCTATCAGTGACGATGCATCAGAAGTGCTTGGCACAAGCGGGGCTGGCAGATGTTTGTGCACCAGTACAGGGCAAACTATGGCCACAGGCAAGGGATGCGTGGCTAAAGGGAACATTAATTAAGTAGATGTTCGGGTCATTTTCGTTTCTTGCTTCTGCGTTTTCTTTGGTGTCTTGAATCAATATTGCCCACACCAATAACGAAACCCCCGGAACTCGCACCTTCAAACAGCAGAAGCCAACAATAATCCATTACAGTATAATATACAGAAATATACTTATATATTTTATCCTCCGTCCCGTCAATTTGCACCTATCGATTGCCTACCCTTTGGCCCTATGAAATGCGTTTGTTGTGCCTTTGCAAGGTCATTCAGTTGAGGGTTAAATGCTGGAAGATGTTTGTATCCTTTTTTGGGGCACATACCTGGTGAGTCTGACGTCTAGGTTCTCATTTCATAGCGGCTTAAAAATTGATGGGCAATACTGGTAGTTGGTAAACAAGGGTTCGACATCATTGGAGGTAATTTCGTAGAGACAGCGGGGTCATTTCATAGTGGAGTACCATCAAAGGCCTTCACAAGGAGCGAGAAGTTATGGTTGGCGCATTGATAATTCATATATCATAATAAAGGCCGCCAAATTCAGGGACAAAATTACAGTATAAGCCACCCCACATTAATGAATTCCAACCGTTCTTCCTGTTATTATCTTTTTTATATAATGTATTTGTCCACATGTTTTTTCTTCATTTTTTCCATTTTCCCTTTTTGTTTGAGTTTGATTTCAAAGATCTGAAAAGCATCGGCCGAGACATGGGGGTATGGTTGACGGGGGATCTATATTTTCCATGATGCCCCCTATGTTAATCCGTTTCCCAACAGCGGTAGCTGAGAGTCTCAGCCCGACATATCAATACATATATATTTAAGAAAGGTTCGGTGCGGTTTCCGGTGCTTCCAGGGTGGTTCCGGGTGGTGGTGGTTTTGGAGGTTCTGGCGTGGGTTTCGGTGTGGGTTTTGGGATTCTTCCAGGTAGTTGAGATTTTGGTGCAGGTTCCGGGGTGCCCATGTGACCCACGTGGGGGTTCAGAGGTTCTGGCGTGGGTTCCTGCGTGGGTTCTGGTATGGAATTGGTCAAATCAACTGGCGGTTGCCAGGGTTGAAACTTGATGTTCGCTGATTATCTGATTGCTGTCACGCTTTCCTACCATCTTTGGGGATGCTGGGATTATTTCATATTATTTCCTGGGTTGGGTCAGGTTGGGTCCAAAATATTTGGCCCAGATGTTCCCTCAAAATTGGTTTCATTGGCTGCTGGAATCGTTTCCTGCGGCCAGGTGCTGAGCGGCGAGATCACCCTGAAGGTCTCAGTGATCGCGGTGGACGAGCTGCTGAAGCTGCTCCCGGAAAGCTGCAGCCTGCTGCAGCTTCGGCTCCGGTGGCCGGTGCCTGGAGCTCCAAAAATGGGGATGATGGCCGTCCATTGCTGTATGGGCTCTAGATCAAAGTTGTTTTACTATCTAATTAGTTAATATAATATTAGTTATATTTTACTTATTTTAGTCGATTCACCACCCTGAAGCCCTAAGCTATAGGATGTTAAATGATGTTACGGATATTGGGACAATACAGGGAGAGTCAGGGAGTTTGGGGTGGGCGTGTCCTGTTGTCATGGAGAAGTTTGGGCTTTGTATGGGCATTGTTGATCTTTGTTGTTGATGATGGCAGTGATGTCCATGCCACAATGCGGGTTGCTAGCTACATTCCGTCCAAATGTGACCGGTGACCTATGTAACGTAAATTAAAAAGTCGCCCTTGTCAGTGACGAATCAATTGCCCCCAGTCCCAAGTCCATGGAACATGAATCAAGTCTGCCAGCAACCACTTTCACATTTGTTCGCCCTTTAGCTTCAAAGTTGAATAAACAAATTGGTAAAGGTCCATGGCAAAGGAAAGCCCATCAAGTTTCGCATGGTTTCTGAGTTGCAAACGTTTGGCCGCGCTATGCCGGGCTACAAATTCTCCCTCTCTGGCCCCAAAAGATGTGAGGATTATCACCGTGTCCACAGCCCGGTGGATGGCAGCATCCAGTGCATGAAAGTGTATGAGAAAGATGAGCTCTTTCCTGGGGCAGCCGCTTGGCTTAGCAGCTTAGCGGCTTCGCGAAATGCTTGACACACCACGAACACCGGGTTGCAGACCGGAGAAAAAACATGGAATGATCGGGAATGGGGATTGAACAGATTGACTTCGATGGCCCAGATAGGAAGGAATTCCATGAATGACACTTGGAATTGCTCCGGTTTAGACGGAAATGTATGTTTGATGGGTAGACAATACATGGTGTTTAGTGAATTGGAGAGAGAGAGAGAGAGAGATGCGCCTCGGGATATGTGTTTTAGGGACCACATCATCACAAAAATGTTGGATTGCTGATGACCTGAACTAGGAGAGAAAGTGTGAGCAGCAGGGATCCAAAAAAGTTACAAAAGTCATGATAGTCATGCAACTATACTGCAGTTTCATACTCCGGTGCGATTGCTCACAGCAGCTTTGGTCTTTTCGAAGCACTTTCGGTGCATCTAAGGAGTCGATGTCAATCTTTGATTTTAAAACTGGCTTTGGACTAGTGCATCTTCTTTGTATTGGCGAGTGGTCCGTGCAAAGTTTTCGGGCCATTGTTTCTGCCGGGCAAAAGGTGCGAAGGATGGATGAGATCGGCCACTTCGATTTGGGGTCACAGGTCATCCTGGCTTTGCCAAAGCGTCTCCGAATCCTTCCAAAGGAAGGTGCCAAGATGTTTGTAGGAGACCCACTTGCTCAGTGCGTTGAGTGGCAGAAATCCGTCGGAGCTGACTTTCCTCAATTTGCATAATTTGGGGGAATGGTAGCAGTTGCAGCACTATGACAGTAGTTGAAGACATGTGCATTATTTTCTGTTTGAGCGTCCAGCATGCTGAGACGTCTCTCCAGGTAAGAAGGCACCGGACAAGGTCAGCAAAGCGAAAACTGTGAAGAAGCCGAAACCTCAATGGCTCGATGGCATAGTGGCCTAGAATGGCCAGATATGGCCAGGGTGTTTCTCTGCAGATTGCTATTGGTGAATTTGATGTCCTCAATTTGGTTGCTTTGGCAAAAGTAAGAAAAAACTTGCAGACTCCTTGCGGTCTTAGTGACCGCAGCTCACGAGGCGAAAATCGGATTCTGACCAGAGCGCACCGCAGGACGAAGATATTCCGTTCGTTACTGTTCTAGATTCTAAAGGGGCGGAAGCTCTGTTTTTTGGCGCAGCTGTTGGTAGTGATGGAGAGATCTCTAACCTCAGGACACCAAAAAAAGAAAGGCGCCTGTGGCTCTGGGCCATACTGTGCAGATCTGTGCAGTTTTGGAGACCTGTTTGGGACATTTTGGGACTAGATTTACTTTTTGATCATTTTTGGTCATTGTCAACGGAGGTGAAGATAAAAGTAGCTGGCAAGAAAGTGAAGTGTCGGGCTCAATGGAACCATACGTTTCTCTCCCCGGCCTCTAGGGACACTCTTGGAAAAAGGTTTGGGCTTGCTTGGGCTATTCATGTTTATAATATATAATTAATATTATATAATATTATATATATATTGCATATAGTCCTCAAACAGGTGGGGGCATTGATCCCATGTGACATATAGTTTTGGATTTCTTTACAGTGCTGTTTTTTTTTTTGTTTGGGTGGACTTGAAGTTTTTTCCATATACACACAATCACACACACAGTGAATATATGTTAAATACATATACATAGAGCATTATAGAGCTAGATACCTACTACAGACTACTCAACTTATATGTTGGTATCCCCAGCTGTCCGACCTTGGGACGTGTGAGGCTCAAGAAGCTGGTCTCAGGTGACAAGACCGGCAAAGGCGCTGGCTATGGGTGATTTGATGGTGACCAATCCAGTAGGTGAAGCATTTTGGATGACATCAATTCGGATTTGGATAATTTTTGGGTTCTTGGATGATTTCGCGAACGTCCACCATTTTCAACACATCAACTAGGTCAAGTTGATTTGGTTTGGTCAAGGAAAACCATTTTCTGCATTGTTGGGAATTCAGCAGACCATGATTGAGATGCTTACAGTCACGCTCAGCACGTTTTGCTTGGCACGTTTTGCTCCTGTCGAATGTGATTATCCACCGGTGGCACGTTTTGCCCAAGCAAGCGCTGATGTTTTTGGGTCACCCCGGTGGGCCCTTCCTATGGTGATGCATGGTGACCTTTGAGATTGATTTGAAGGGTGAAGAAGGGCTTCAATCCGGAGATGTTCGCCCCCTCCGCAAGGTAGAGGTGGACAGTGAACCTGGGGATGGCTATTTGTGCCCCAGCTGCCCCTTCCCCTGGTGGGCACTGCACTACCCGAGTGGCCGAGTGGTACATCGCAAGGGCCGGACCTTGTTTGACCCGCCACATGGGCAACCAAAGTTCCAGGACAAGGGTTTAGATGGGGCGTCCATCAATAAATACAATAAATATCAATAAATGTGCTCTTCTCACTGCTTGGTCAAGGAATAAGAAGCGGAAGCGGGATGAAGCGGGCATAATTACTCCATTGAGTAGGCAATGGGCACGTGAACATGGCCATAATGGGTGAACGACCCAAACACCCCTCCGACTCCTTCCCAGGATCGCAGCCTCAAGAGCTTCATGGATCAAATCCTGCACCGAGGACACAAGCCTTTTCGCTCGGGATTTTTTTACAACGACAACGGAGCTGTCTTTGGGGAAGAATCTGCCATGGAACATTTGGCGCAACAGTTGCATTTGATGGATGAAGGGCAGGAGATTGGGGTGAAGGGAATGTGTTAGGCTAGGGGAGGGACTGGATGCCAGAGTTTTTTTCAGCTTCACATGGTTCTCACTATTTCCTAGTTTTCCATCCTTGCCTTACGATAGGTGGCCCAACCACCCACCCATATCCAGTCATAGAATTATTCCTTTACACTCCCATAACTGTAAATTCCCATTTTTTTGATGTATAATTAAGCAATATTAAACATCCATCATTGATTTGGTGAAGCTTTCCGGCTGACTTCTGACCGTGCTCTGAGCAGGAGAGTCAGCCCTTGAGTCTGGCCCAATCCACGTCGGTGATGTCGACCGTCTCTACCCCGAGGTCTGACTATGGGTTGGGAAGACACCTAAGCCGCGGCCTCACCATGGACAGCGCCAAGAAGCAGGCACCTGCTCGGTGAAACTTCCTTTGGTAGTAAAGAATGACGGGGCAAACTCGGCATGGCGTGTTTGTTTATGGACTTGTTCAAGGAGGCATAGATAGGTTATATTACATGTTGCTAACTTTTCTTTCACAGTCTTATTGCATTATGGGTATTTTTCACCTTGGCCCAACATGATTTTTCTCAAGTTCGAATGTTTAAAATGAGCTTATTTAAGCAAGCCAAACCCCCCTGTATATCAGCCGACCATTTCCAAAGTTGTAGTCTCCATGTCGCAGAGGTTGAGTGATTGTTTCAATTTGTGTGCTCCTATAAGGTGCTCATGGAATGGAGGCCAGACGAAGACAGCTCCTATTGCTGCTTGCTCTCACAAGACTCCCATCTTCAACGTTTGAGCCAGAGCCTGTTCATGGTCGTTTTGTCCTCCTTTGATCGAATGACCTCAGTGCAGCTCTGCATTAGTTTGTTGGCGGACAAGGAATTTGAGGATCTTCGTGGCTCATGGGAGGGTCACCTGGTGGTGTTTTCCATTGTGGGGATGGTGATTCTCTACATGATCGTTTGGCTTTTGCAATCCGTGAGCCGGGCCAACGATGCCGTCCGGGCGGACATTGACTACGTGGGAGATTTGGTCTGGCCCACAGGAGCTCCCAAAGGTGTGTCCTGTGAAAGGCCTGAAGGTGATCGACTGGCGTCCAACCTTGCAGTGCGTGGCTGGGTCGGTTCTTAAAGATGTTGAACATATATCAGGTCATATTATGTCACCCTGCCCATTTGATATCCCCCTGGAAATGATGATCGGAGATAGATAGATATAGATAGATATAGATATAGATAGATAGATATAGATATAGATAGATAGATAGATAGATAAATAGATAGATACTGTAGAGAGGAATTGTAATGTTGATGTATAAGTTGGTATAGATATTTGTTTGTTCGTTCGTTCATTCATTCACGCCAGTCTGAAGCGTATCATCTTTAATATATATATATACACATGCGTGTGTGTGTGTGTGGTTCAAGTGTATGTGTAGATGTATTACATACAATTGGCACAGTTTTCATCATATGGTTTGTTTATGCGCTGTTTACAGCAACCACCGAGGTTTGTCCTTGACCTACTTCCAGTTGTTTTCCATGCCTCACCTGGTGACAGATGTTGTACAGCTATGTCATCCGCGTAAAGGTGCGATGAAATTCTCTGCTCTCAGCTACAGAGGAAAGATCCCTCGATTTTTCGCACTGGGTTACGTGAACAAGGTGGGGAATATGAGGGAATCATGTCATCTCAATGTCAAAATCGGACACGACCAGTTTCAAACACAGAATGGTACAGATGTTCCAGATGCCATCGCGTTTCTGATCTTGGTTGCGTCAGCCATGTCAGGTCATGTTCCACTTTGAAGAGACGGTGGGCGTTTTATCCCTACTTCCCAATATGGCCTTGGTAAAGCTTCCATGCATGGCCATCAAAGTCTACATGTTTTGCTTCTTACAGCAGTCTGTGCTCTTGCTGGTGAGTGTCTTGTGGGACATGATCCTGAATGGCGTAAAGACCTACAAGATCATTTCACATGTCAGGACCGCCAGGAAATACAAGAACTGGCTTGCAGATTCAGAACGATCAGATATGACCCTATCAGCCAAGACTGTGAGGGAAAAGCTGCTAAAGAAGCACTTTTTCTTCCAAGAGTCTCCAAAAACTGGAAAGTTGGAAGATCCTGGCTTGACACTCGGACTTCTTTGGTACATGTTTGGGGAAATATGTTGGGGAAATGTGCCTCTGCCAGCCTTGGAAAGTTCAGATGTTCTTCATTGGCCGAGGGGCAAATTTTCCGCGTTTGTGCTCCAAAGACAAGTGGATTCAAAATCAGCTACTGAAGCCTTATTTTTTTCATTAATGGGGATGCAAAAGCATGCAAGAAGCTTATTTGTACCTTGGAGATCTATCTACTATCTAATCCAATCCAAATTAAATTTTGATTTGATCTAATCTGAATTAAATCATGACTTCATCCAATCTAAATTAAGGCTTGATCATGATCTGAAATCATGTTCATCTACAAATCAAAATCTGATCTAATCAAAGTCTACCTCGAAATATTAATCTACTTTGCTCTGGTCTAATCTATATAATCTTATCTAATTCAATCTTTCTATCTTTCTATATTTTTCTATCTATCTATCTATCTATCTATCTATCTCTATCTATCTCTATCTCTATCTATCTCTATCTGTCTCTATCTATCTCTATCTATCTCTATCTATCTATCTATCTATCTCTATCTATCGATCTATCTCTATCGATCTATCTCTATCGATCTATCTCTATCGATCTATCTAATCTAATCTAATCTAATCTTATCTTATCTTATCTTATCTTATCTTATCTATCTATCTATCTATCTATCTATCTATCTATCTATCTTATCTATCTATCTATCTATCTATATCTATCTATCTATCTATATCTATCTATCTATCTATCTATCTATCTATCTATCTACCTATCATAGTACCTATCTCTATCTATCTCTATCTATCTATATCTATCTATATCTATCTATATCTATCTATATCTATCTATATCTATCTATCTCTATCTATCTCTATCTATCTCTATCTATCTCTATCCATATCTATCTATCTCTGTCTATCTCTATCTATCTCTATCTATCTCTATCTATCTCTATCTATCGATCAATCGATCTATCTATCTATCTATCTATCTATCTATCTATCTATCTATCTATCTAATCAATCTATCAATCTATCTATCTATCTATCTATCTATATCTATATCTATCTATATCTATCTATCTCTATCTATCTCTATCTATCTCTATCTATCTCATATCTATCTCATATCTATCTATATCTATCTATATCTATCTATATCTATCTATATCTATCTATATCTATCTATATCTATCTATATCTATCTATATCTGTCTATCTATCTATCTATCTATCTATATCTATCTATTTATCTATCTATCTATCTATCTATCTATCGATCTATCTATCTATCTATCTATATCTATCTATCTATCTATCTATCTATATCTATCTACCTATCTACCTATCTACCTATCTACCTATCTACCTATCTACCTATCTACCTATCTATCTAGCTATCTAGCTATCTAGCTATCTAGCTATCTAGCTATCTAGCTATCTAGCTATCTAGCTATCTAGCTATCTATCTATGTATCTATCTATCTATCTATCTATCTATCTATCTATCTATCTATCTATCTATCTACCTACCCATCTGTGTGTGTATCTGTGCATGTAAATAAATAAAGAAATGAATATATCTATATAGATACACAGGGTACGATAGGATCAGATACGGGCCACGGTTAATATTTGGTATACAGCTCCAAGTCATCAATTTTTGAAGAGTGTATTATAGTTTTTCAGGTTTTGGTACATAAGCAAATGTTTTCGTTTTTTGAAGAGTGTATTATCGTTTTCCAAGCCCCAGCTCAATTTTGAAAAAATAAAAATGTCTCGAATACTACTCTCCATTAACCTAGATTTTGGCTGTAGCTCATATGATAGATATAATAGGAAAATAATGGATATAGGTAAGGATGGGGATAAGGATAGAGATACAAAGAGAAGTTCAGATTTCGATTAAGATTTAGACTAAATTGGATTAGAATAGCTAGATAGCTCGATAGCTAGATAGCTAGATAGCTAAATAGCTAGATAGCTAGATGAGATTAGATTAGATTAGATAGATAGATCGATCGACACATCGATAGACAGACACATATACATGCATGGACACGTAGATATACAGATAATAATATTTTAATCAATCATGATTTGCAAGAGACTCTACCACATTTTGCCGGGGGTGGTCCTTGTCCCAAGGTTGGGCTGGTTTTGGCAACTTTCTGGCGGCCGCTGTTGCGTGGAAGAACTCAGGAGCCCCACAGGCTACTTGGGACGTTGGACCCTGCCGGAAGATGAGACGTGTGCAGAAGATCTCCGGGCAGACTGGGTGCAACGATCCGTCAAACTCAGGTCCGGGGTTAGAGAAACTGCAACCGTCCTATCAGCGAATTGTAATACTCTGGAATAGTTAGAATTCTTTTCTTGCCTGGTTGCCCCCCATAGCGAAGCGTGCTGTTTAGACATGCATACATAATTACATATGACGTAGTAAGAATACGTTGCATTACATTGCATTGATATACACTTACATGACTTACATCTACATACAGTGGCATACATTAGGATACGTTTGCATACATTTACATGCATTTACTTTACACCCATAGATCTTGCCGGTTCACACGGTGTTTCAAGGGGTGAGGGAGAGAGAAAGAGAGAGAGAGAGACATTCGCATTACTTGTACATGGCATCACATCACATTGCAGTACATTACAAGTGTGGATTTATCATTATTATTCGTATATATTCGTATTAATTGTTATCACATATAGTTTTCTTGACATACTTGTAATATCTTGTACCCTCTAGTAAATTAACATAGACCCTGCCAGATAGGGGTTGGAAGATTAGTTTCCATTAAAAATTGGTGATTCTCAGGGTCTATGTTAATTTACCAGAGGGTAACTACCCACTTGCAACCATGTTGACGTCCCAGGTCCTTGAAGTCCATGTTGCGCTGCCGGCCGGGCGAAGAGATTGGCCGCAGGGTGGTGTGGAGCTGTGGTATGCCCACCATCCCGGCCATGGTGGTGGAGAATCTGGAACTGGTGGATCCGGTGACCCAAAGGACAGCGCCAATGTTTTTTTCTCACCAAGTCACCATGGATTTTGCTGTTGAAAAAGCAATAGAGAACATGGTGATGCGGCAAAAAATCCAGTGAATATAAAAAAGCAGTGTACCATTTTATGATGTAGGCTCCTTTCAAACATTCCCCAGTAAAAATACCGGTTGCTGCTAGTTTTTGCCTATTTCCAAGACATTTAATGGCGCAAGTTGAAACCCTGGAAGGGTGCGCACCGAATTCTGGTACACGGCCAGTGGCAGGGTGCGGTACCACCCACCTCAGAGGAAAAAACCACAAGAGGCTGAGGTGCCGGATGAGTGTGAGAATTTGGAGCCGGATGAGGACGGAGGTTTTTCATGGTTTTTCTTTTTTTTCTCCTATGACCTAGTATGGAGAGTAGGAGTTTTGAATGATTCTGTAATCGTTCCATTATTCTTGACGAAGAAATGGGCGGGGATTATCAATCAAACTTAGGGGCTACATGTACGTATCAAATCAAAACGGGGATGTTGGTTGTACCCCATGAAACAGGGGGCCTACGCACGAAACAACGGGTGAATTAGTTCCCTAAGTGTCCTGATGTCTTCTCAACCCACACCTGAAATGTCGACGCGCAATCAGACTCGGGACAAAATGTCTCAATACTAAAACAGGGGATGCCAACATATGCCAACCAACAGCAACAACAACGTCCAGAACAAGGAGAACAAGAAGAACAACCGGTACAACAACAGGAACAACAAGAGCAACAACAAGAGCAACAACACGAGCAACAACACGAGCAACAACCAACCAAACAGACAAACAGACGAACAGACGAACAGACGAACAACAAACAAACAACAAACAAACAACAAACAACAAACAAACAACAAACACCACCAACAACACCACCACCACCACCACCAACAACAACAACATCCACGACGTCAATGTTGGACCTTCTGTTGGGAATATATCCAGTGCACATCCATTTTTTTAATTTTAAGCAGTGCCTTCTGTTGTAATTAATTAATTACTGCCACCTTCATGTGGTAGAGTCACCCTGGAGGAGTTTAGCTATGCGAGGCTGTTGACCTACAGCAGTTTCTCCATGAGGTTGTGCGAGGCGCTTGCCAGGGCTTCATGCACAGCTTTCTACAACATAGCGATGCTGAACCTGTTGGTGGAGATAGTCACTACTAAGGAGACCAACTTGGCTTGAGGAAGTGGGTCAACTCAGGCCCCTTCTTGCGGTCTTAAGGCTGATATAAGAACCGTGCTCTTTTTGAACGGCATGAACAAGGCTGCCAATTCAGGTAGTCATGAGGGGTTCAATTTGGAATCACATGATTGAGATGTTCGTATTATTAGCCCCAAGCGCCCACCAATCCAAAATGTAGTTCCTGTGAGGTTCTTGCAAATTCTTGCAATGTAAGACATTATCATTGGGACAGTCATTTATGTGTCAGACCCCCAGGAGCTGTCGGGGTACTATGATGGAGAAATCTTGGCGCTGTTCATCGTTTCCCGCTTCTTGTGGGTATACATCTCACTGCGGCGGGCACAGCGGGTCATCGTCCTGGATTGGTTCGATAGAGGGGAGTATGTGACTTGGTCGTGGTGTCGGGTGTGACCGCTTTGCTTCTGGACTCTAGGGGAGAACATTCATTGACCAAGCCGTTGTAAGGAATGGCATAGGAATGGCATAGGAATGGCATCGTTGCTTTGGGAGGATATCCAATGGTCCCCAAGCATTGATATTGGATGATGTTCTTGTTGGATATTTTTGGTGTTCTTGTCCAAACCCCAAGCATTTTGCCGGGAATGATGCTATCCCGGCCGCACCTGGCATCGTTCCCAGGTCACCAATGTGGGTTGCTTCGGGCGGTTTGGGCTGCTGGGTTCCGCCACCATCGTGGAGATGTTCCTGTTGCCCCGCATGGTGCGAGACGCGGTGAGCTTGCTGCATCCGGACAAGACGACCCAGCCCTTCATGGCCTTTGGGGGCAAGTTGTATGGGCCCAGGGCATTCATCCTGGGCTTTCCCAACAAGGACCAGTTGGATCCGTTGGGCTTTGGATGACGCCCTGGGTGGTTGAAGGGTGGGTTACCCTAGAGAGGTTAGAAATGGATCAGAGTTGTGGCGATGGCATGCGTATTCTGCCTGAAACCGTAAACCCTGAGGAAATGTACACCACCCAAAGCCTGAATGGCATCTTGTCGCAAGTGCCAGTGCTCATGGCAGATGTCGCTCTGACCTGTGGCCTTTGTTGGACCCTGAGCGCACGAATTGGTCTCTTCTACTTTTCCGTGCCGGCAGATCGTGACTGGCTGGTGGTTTGTAATATGATGTTTCATGTCAACTTATGTCAAATTCAGTTGCCATTTATTTCCCACCCTACATGGAAGGATGATCCCCAGGGCCCAGATATCCAAGTGACTTTTAAAGTTGCGAAATGAGTTGAATCATATTGAAACCACAGGCGAGCGTTGGCTGTGGTGTCGGTTGATGACATGGTTGGTCTTGGTCTTCACCGTCCTGAACTTCGTCCTGAAGTTGATGCTCCTGTACAGTTGCTGGCCTTTGGTTTCAGATGTTTTAGGAGGGGTCCAGCCCTACAGTACTTTTTTTGGGGTTCCAAGTCTTGCAGATATTTCTGTATTGTTCTATCCCTACCAGGGATGTTTTCCCAATTCTTTCCCATGCTCGAAAATGTTATTGTCTATCCCCGCCTGAGATGATCAATCTATATCAATCTCATATAGACCCGAGTGATGTCAATCTATTTGGGGCTCCCGGGTGCGTTTGCATCAGCAAGGATACACTGGAGCTCGCAAGCGTTACAGGACGTGGTTGAAGCAACAGCTGCAAGACATTGGGCAACCGGATGCCATCCTTCGTGCCCTGAAACGAGAGTGGCGCACATACTACGGTGAATTGGACCAGGTCTTAGCTTCTGGCCCATTGAGTCCCTGAAAGATCTGCTGTTTCTATTTGTTTCTACTCCTGACTCCTGAGATCTCCTGAGATCTCCTGAATTTGTGGTATATAGTTGATATACCTTGACTCGTAGCCTCTCACTCAAGTGTTTGAGCTGTGAGCCATTGGTCACCAGCCCGTGGTTGGAGGAACAAATTCTTTCGGCCATGTCGGGAATGATGCAAATACCAGTTGGCACACCAATCGCTGGCTGGTGAAGGTTTCAAATAATGTTCTCGTTGTTTGATTACTGAACAAATATGACCAAATTGCATTCTGGCTACCACAACTCATCGCACCAGGTGGGCCAGCACCAGCCAGTATGACTTGTTCCACCTTGTGACACAAAGATTTGATCACCCTGCGTAGCCGGCGTAAAAGCAGGGACGCCCTGCCCAGCTCAGATTGGCATCACATGCATGTCATTCATATCATTCATCCCGACTCGCCAGAGCTGGAATTTTTGAACTCTGACCTTTCGCACCCATGTTACATGTGTTGATCTACTACCATGAATCCAGACTGGTTGTGAAATGTGACAACTGGGTTCATATCGTTATATATATAATATATATACATAGATTGAACATGATCTAAAGATATAGCATACATGACAATATGCTTGCATGTGCGCCCCCAACAAGGGACATTCTAGGACCATCTACAAGTTAATGGTGGTTATAAGGTCACTTATAACTGGCAGGCCATCACTTTAGACGCAGGTACATTGGCACAGGCAGTCGGCAGTGGGTGGCTCAAGACATGGCCCGCGGGCCCACAGCCCACATGGCGCTATGGCTTTTGACAACGTGGATGGCTGGAGCTTCGGCCTCCCAGGTGCGGTTGAATCATTAAAAAAAAGCTGCACTGCTTGTCCTACACCGTCCATACTGAGGTGGTCTTCGTAGATCCGTTGGCATGTGAAGCCTCGAGTTGTTGCGCAAACTTTGTGCAGCAGGCGCTCCTCATCTAGACTGTAAATGGATGTAAATGGGACATTGGGCCATTGCAGAAGTTTCATTATGCCATGAAATGGGTCCAAGAGAAAAGATGTGACTGGGTACACCGGGTACACCCCTTTCTTCTTGTAGTTCTGGTGGTGGCAGTGGGGGCGGCGGCGGCACTGGTGGTGGTTGTCTTCTTTTCGTTGCCTGTCGTTGCTCGCCACCTCGTTTGCCAGGAGGGCTCTCCGGCCTCAGCCGTGAACAGTGCCTTGAACGCCTCTGGGTCCTGGTATTTTGTCTATCAGGGCAAGGAGGCGGCAGTTCAGGATGTTGTGCCATCGGAGATGCTGCTGCAGTCTGTTCCAGCCTTGTTGAGGGGATACTGTACCTGGCTGAGTTCAGACACTTTTTCTTCATATCCATCCCAACCAGTGGATATTAGTCGGGAGAAGCAGGTCAAGACAGTACTTACAACAACGTTTGGAGAACCAGTAAATTGGCTGGTCGGGGTAATACTTCAACATTTTTCATTATGTTGGCCTTCTCCACTTCTCCACCTGGCGGGAACTCACCAGGTATGACTTGGAAGCAAACTGGGGATGCGCAGGGCACAGCCACAGCAGAGTCTCAGTTGAAAGAAGACAGCAGCAAGACCTGTGCAACTGGAACTGCATTTCGGATGAGCTCGGAGGGTGCCAAACACTACGAAGACTTTTGGCTTGGCCCACAGCCACTGGCCTCTGCCAGTCGCATTCGCCTGACCATGACCACGGGCCAGCTGCTAAAAGCTACGGTGCTGGTGCCCAAGCTGCCCATGCGCGAGGAAAACACCTATTTTTCAGAAATTTGGTTTGATGCCTGTGATGAGGTCGCCAGTCCCTTTGAATCCTAGCTAGGTCCTAGTGGTCCTAGTTGCTGTGGCATGGCCAGTGTGGCAGCCCGGGCGAAACTGGGCCAAAGATGCCCAGGGGCCAAGGGCCGATAGTTTGCCACTGGGCTGTGGGGCATGGAGCCACAACTTCAGTGATAGACACCATCCTCCACAGCCACTGCCTGGTACATGACGAAGGTTTCACAACTCCCTCAGCATGCATCATCCAAGTTATATGCCAAACGTATCCATATCCGTGAATTCGATGTCCAGTGCACGCCATGACAAGGGCTATCCCCCGTCGAAAATGCATCAGGAAGTTGCAGATGACCTGTTCGATGAACCTTTGTGAATCCTGTCACATAGCATGCCAGGATGCATTTCAGCACCACACTTTACAGAGAACGGATGACAAGTTTAAACAGAAAAACATTCTCACAGATCCTCAGTTACTGGCAGTTGCCAGGCCTTATTGAATCATATTGAATCCTTAAGTGCTCCAGTGGCCGTGGAAATCCTAGTGCGCCAGGAAAGACTTTGAAGACTAAGAAACTCAGAAAGGAGCTGTGTTGCTGCTGTCGCATTTTGAGCACCTATCCAGGCTGCAGAAGTTCTCAAAATTTCTCAAACATACTCTGGAAAGCGCCTTGATGGCAGGTCTCAAAGAAGTCATTCCAGAAGCAAACCGTTGGATTCTTATCACATCTTGTCACAGTATGTTCAGAAATGTCCAGAAAATTCACGATGCCCCAGGGTCCCCAAGCTCATTAATACATATTAATACTGGCTTTCCATTCCAACTATATTAAGCTTCAATCCTTTTTGCAGATGTAATCTTTGGGGAACTTTAGGAAACTCGACTCCTGACAGAGGCCCGTGTGGTGTGTCCGGGGAGCTTGACTGAACGCTTTGTTGCCTGTGCTTTGGCTGCAAGTTGAGCCGACTCTCACATCTATGAGCAAGACATCAAACATGTAAGAACAGGTGCAAGCTTTGAGTTTTGGAACTTTGCGGTAACCTATTCGAACCGCAAGACTTAAGATAGCTATATATATATTATACTAAGTCTTGCGGTTCGAATATATTATATATGTACATATATTATTTATATACACGTTAATTATAGTTATTTATCTATCTGTTTATCTATTTATTTGTTTGTTTGTTTTTTATTTATATGCATGTGTGTGTGTGCATTTGTTTGCCTGCTGCACCAAAATATGCATGATGTTATTTGGTTCCTCCTAATTATATACTATTATATACTACTTTCTTGTCACTATTAGGAAACCCCCACGACTATTGCAACCAACCGGCCAACCAGAAGACTATTGGTCAATCAAGCAACACACTTTGTCAGTCGGAGCTATTGGCATCGCCACGGTCACAAGGTGGAAGAGCCACATCGCACAGTGCTTTGCTGCTGGGCCTGGTCTAGTTGGAACTTGATTTCCAGGGTCATCTGTGGAACAGTTCCCTCGGCAATATCTGGAAGTTTGGGCCAATGTGTTTTTTCCCATGTTTGATCCTGGTCTTTTAATCTTTTCAGGAGTCTAAGAATGGTCTTTCTCAACAGGTGGACAAAGGTGACATGGCATTATCGCGGCAGTGACTCTCTAGTCCGATGGGTTGTGCTCCAGGATGACTCATTGCAATGTGCATTTTTCCGTTCATACATGCTGTAATTAATCGGTTTCCCCTAAGAAAGGCCACCAGAAACCCAGGTTCAGCAATGAACAGGTCGATTTTCCTAGCCCTTTTTAGCGGGAGAGAGGATCTAGATACCATAGTCTGCGAGTCTGTGATCTTGCTCAGCACCCAGAACCGCCTTTGAGCGGGGCTTGCTGGCCACTGGACCATTGAGCACGAAACCGAGCTGTGGAGGGCCTGGGTGAAATGGTCCCCCGGCCAGATGTCTAGACAGGTGGGGTTGCAACTATCCTTAACTGGCAGCAACTAGGAATCGGAGTTTATTGGAGGTGCAACCCAGCAAGAAAAACACTTCAGTGCCAGGAGCCTTGTATTCTTGGGCTCTCCATTCTTGACATGAGATGTGTTGGGAATCAGGTTGGCGCTGGCTGCGGGAACAGGAGCTGACGTGCAGTAAGCAAAGATGTCAATTATGGTGTGGTAGATGGTGGTAGGTGGTTGGTTAGTGGTGAAGAAACAAATGCAGCTTTCTTTTCAGGTCTTTAAGAGGGTGAAACTTCACCCCAGTTGAATTTTCAGAAAATTCATAGGTTGCTCAGGCTCAGGCTCTCCCTTTTGCCAGCCATGTTTTGTGCAGCAATGGGACCAATGGGAGGATGAAGATCTCTTGCCACCCAAGATGCGGCCTGTGGAGGCTGGGCTTCCCAAAGGTCCCAACCTCGGCAACCTCTCGGCCGTGCCCAGGCGGACCACGAGGGCCATTCCCAGGCCTTGCGCGAAGCCTGTCGCCTGAAATCTGCCAAAGATGCAGAGAGGCAGCTGATTCCTGGTAACTCCACTGGGAGGAGCAATGCCTTCGATGCACCCGAGGCTATACTCCATCATACTCCATCAATATCCATCAGTTTACAAGAGCTTTGAGAAGTTGTCAATCAGATTGTGTTGTAAAACCATTGATTTGGTTTTCTTCCCCTTGTGCTGTTGTGGGGAAGACATCCCAGATTGCAACAAGGGCTCACTATAGGCTGGCTATTAATGACTCAACCTTGATGAATTGATGTCAATTGATAAGCCAGAAAAAGAAAATCCTCAACACATTTGCGTGTTTTCGGGTGAAAAAAGTAGTATGTATATACATATATATACATATATATATATATATGTGTGTGTGTGTATTCAAGTTTTCCACCGACCGGTAAGTGATTCCAACATATCGCATATGAGTTTGACCACCCACTTTAGCATGGAAGTTTCGCAGGAATTTAGGTTTAAGATGTTTAAGAGATAGCTATGATAGCTCACAGGAAAACTCCATATTAGTGGCGCCAAACCACGTTTTCTTCCTATAGATATTCCAGAGAAGTTCCTTTAGAGCCATGGATGATTTGAATCTTTGCCAGTGCCAGGCTGCAGGGTTTGGACGCCATGTTGGAAACGGATGGGCTGTGGCCACGATGTCCGGCACGTGCGCAGACCTGTGATATCCTGTGATACTTGAGGGTTGTGCACGAAATCCAAGAGCCAGCGAGGGTTGTTCATCGTTCAACCCTGCTGGATCCCGGGAATGGGGTCATCCAGCATATCCAGACAGTGTAGAGCTTCCCAGGTGTGACCGTGGCTGATCGCTTGCAGAGCCCCAAGGGTTTGAAGCGGCGATGTGAGCGATACCTCAAAGAGGCTCGGAAACATCCGGAAACAGATGAAAGAGTCGCCGGCCTGGGGCCGGAGTTGTGCAGTTTCTGACGGAAGACCGTGGAAGATCCCCTTTTTCTATTTTTTTCTGATTATTCTGATTGGGATGCATCACAGAAGCATGGTCTGAAAGTTCTTATCGTTCTGAAAGCCAGTCGGTCCAGTCGGTTCTGTTCTGAAGCGTGGATCATCCTGGATCCAAAGGCGATTGTCCCGCTTGCTGATGAGCTTGTCCTGAAGACTGCGTCCGCAGTGGGAATCTCAGGCTTTCAAGTTCAGCCGTTTCAGAACTGATCAATGCCTGAAGAACCCGAAAACCCAATCTAAGCCATTCCAAACTTAGACCCAATCGCGCCCGGATTGTTTTCTTCCCTAAACAGGTTTACCATGGTTTACCTGTTTGGGGTTCTTGCTCCTTTGAAAGGGTTGCGCGCCTGGGCCGCACGATTTTTTCTCCATCAGTGATTCAATTCCTCAGGATTCTTAGGCACTCAAGTGTGTTGTCCCATAGGGCAATCAGATGTTCGGGAAAACCTTCACCTTCGAGGAGTCCAGCAGTTCGCAAGCCTTGAAGCAGGTGGCCGTACATTCATGACATGAGGGTGCAGCAGTTTGTGCTTAGTATGGTGGGAAATAGATCTAAAGTGGCTATGGATCAATACCTATACATACCATTTTAGGGGGATGAACATCCATTTACCAGCTATTTTGATGTTCACCAGGGAGATAGGGTTTTGACCCATCCCCAAATGATCTAAAGAATTCAAAAGATATCTAAAGCATCATATGGTATCATACCTCGCTCCGGATGATCCTGATGCGTGTTTTCTTGGGGCACGCCGGGTGAATTCATCAGTAAGAACGCTTAAACATCTTCATCCACCAACCATATGTTTGAAAGGCCGTGTGCATGCATGCATGGATGCATGTGGGTATGAACTTGTATGACATATTGTGACACAATATAATTTCTATACGAGATTTGCAATGATGATGATACTAAATGATATAAATGATAACAATGACAATGAAATTAAACGCAAAACAACGTTTTGTCCATTCTTTGCAGCATCAATCAAGCCGCACAGCACTGGTGATGTTGTCCACTTGCACCCTAGGCTCACCAGCTGGTGACGAGCTGCGCACACGCTTGGAGGGAGGAATAGCTGGCTTGATTTGCCCTGAAGAAATAGAGAAGCCCACTGAAGCTGGTTGTTCAGAATGCTCGAACATGTCATGCAAAATCATTAGGTCATGGAACGTAATGTGGAAAATCATTGGAATGTCATGGAATCATGAACAAATGAGGAGGAAAAAAAATGGAAAACCCATGGGTCAGCCACTTCTTTGCCCATGCTATTCACCTCTGCCGATCCCCGGAGGCAGCTTGGACTCAGGAGCCAGCGGAGGCAGGGCATCTCTTGGGATGGCTACAGGAATCATTGGGCAGGTGTTTTTTTTTTTGTATAAATCATCCCATGTTCCTGCTTTTACTCGTAGGGTGCTCAAGTGGACCAGCCTCACAGTAAGTATAAAATTGGATTATTTATATAGGGTGATGCAGTGATACAACATTGCGATGTTGTTGTGGGTGTGCTTCCCATGAAGGGCATGGGGAAACATCGAAAAATGATAGAATCGATAGAAGAAGAATTGACCTGAGATGGACGTGGATGTTGTGAGCTCAAGGAATTTCAAGGAAGATTTCCCTTGGTGCTGAAGGCATCCAGTGCAAAGATGCTTCACCGGGCATGGCCAGGAGCTTGGCCAGGAGTTTAGCAGTGAATCCAGTGACATGGGGCATATGACGGCAGATGGTGATGCGTCGGTAGCACTTAGGTTACACATGTTGCACCGCTCCTTGGCTGGCAAGGCGCGGCGGGGTCAATTCCATGGTTTAACTATACGATCAAGTCATAGGTTTGCGATCAATTGGTTGTCAAATTATGTCAAATTGGTATTTTACTATATCTGATATCTCTTGGGCTGCTTTTTTGTTTTGCCATGTTATGATATGTTATGATTACTCCTTGTCACTCACGCTATTTTCCAGCGAAAGTCACAGGAGTGCTGCAAGATGCTGCAAGGAGTCAACTAGAATAAAGCCTGCGCAAAGCAAAGACACCGACTTCTTGCATCAAACCGCTTTAGATTGTTCAGGACGAAGAGCATGTACCAGGGCCCTGGCAAAGCTGGCAGGGCACATAGATTTTTTTTTGGCACGTTCACATGACAAACTGTGAAAACTGCTCCCACGTGGTGGTTTGAACATGTTTGAAACAATTGTTATTTTCGGCCCAAAATGAGATGATGATCCCTACCAACTAATATAGCCCATATTTCCCCACCTGCCGGGTGAGGGTCTTTAGATTTTCACGAAGGTGCAACTCCTTCACTCCTTCCTTCGCCCCTTGCTTCCTGTGGGCCTTGCCTGGACCTGGACGCCAGATCGCCAGCTTGGGCACGCCTGAAGCCGAACCCTATCCGGAGCTCCAGATGCAGCTGGGCACGCCTGGACCTGAACACTTGTTAGATAGCATGCCAGAATATGCCAGAATCAGATAGAATAGAATGCCATGTCAGAACGTATGCGGGACAGAATGCCGGAAAGAATGTCAGGAAGAAGGTCAGAATAGATGCCAGATAGAATGCCAGAATGAATGCCTGAAAAGATGCCAGATAGAACTCCAGAAAGTACGTCAGATTATGTCAGACAGAATGTCAGATAGAATGCCACACAGAATGCAAGAAGGGTTGCCAGATAGAGTGTCAAAATCTGAACAGTTGTCTAAAATACCACGGTGGGGATCACTCGAAGTAAAGTAATTTTTGTATATGTTTGTGGAGTTGGAACCACCAACCAGTTGAGATGGAGGACCATAGTATTGGTTAATTTTTCATTTTGTGATGTGTTATGATGTGTCAGCATTTGGGCTTGCACCGAGGCTGACGACTCTTCGCCAGGCTCGGTAAAGCGTTGAACCAGCATGATCCGACAAGCTTTTCAGCTATGACTATGATTGTATAGCCGAAGGACCGGCCAAAATCAGGGTTTCCCCATGTTTCTGTGCGGGTTTCCGATTTGAAATGAGTCGTTGGATCTATCACACATGCAATACCCTCGGGCCAAAAACTTCTAGTCGTTCATGGCATGGCAATCTAGTCAAACATCCAAATATGGAGAAACCAATTTTGACCATGAAAATCATTAAAGGTCCAGATTTCTGACAGGCTGTTGCTCAGGGGCCAAGAGAGCCCCCGTCTCTGAGGGGTTTCTTTCCAATTTTCGCTTGCGGAGTCGGGCCATGGAATCTCCAGATGTCGAGTCCAATGAAGTCTCCACCAAGAATGGCCGATCTTGCGCCCACTTGGTGCCAGATGAGCCAAGATTCAAACCGCTCTGGCGCCGCTTTTTGCCGGCCATGGTGGTGTATCCATTGTGGTTCTACGTGATGTTGAAACAGGACCGCTGGGCGATTTCATTAGATATTATTTGAGCGATATGGGATCTTATTTGGGTCAAGTTGATTGACGAAGTTTTCACAAGAAAACATGATGTGTTTTGTTCGGGTTTCACTATCAAATTTTAGCACATTGCTGTAGGTATTTGTTACCTCTCATCCAGCCGCTGCAATACATTGCCGTTGTCAGTTTTCCATGTTTTCCTCCCAAACTGGCCATCAAAATCCATCCAAAAAACCATCGATATCCGGTTGCCAACAGATTTGACCATTAAAAGCACTGGCCATGAGGATGTTTGGATGGAAGCCTTTGGCCAGTTTTATATCATGTCCATAACCATGATCTTCGGCAGCCTCGTGGCTGGCTCCACCCCTGTGGGCGGCGGGGCGGTGGCATTTCCGGTCATGGTGCTTTTCATCAAACTTTCGGCAGAAGATGGGCGAGATTTTTCATTGATGATCCAATCAGTGGCTGGACTTCGCCGGGCGTTTCACCTTTTTTTCTTCAATCTGTTTCATGTTTTCCCGGGATTGTGGGAGGATGACGCGATCTTTATATATATATATATGTGTGTGTGTGTATATATGTATATATATATATATTTGGGATTGGTTGAAGCCCCATGTTGCATTTGTATGCATTTGTTGCATCCCAGGTGGGCATGTCCTCTGCCAGCTTCCTGATTCTGTATGCCAAGCGACACTTATGCCATTTTTGGCTCATTCTGTGGATGACCATCAGCGCAGTTCCCGGGCTGATTCTGGGTTTGGAAGTTGCCACCAGTAGTCGCATCACTGCCTTGGGCTTCACCACGGCGGTGAGTTGCTTCGCCATTGCCTTCTTCTACCACCGGGAATGCACCCGGCAGGCTCAGGAGGAGTCGCAGGCAGATCAGGCAGTGGAAGCTTGGGATTTGCTGCGCTTTGATTTGGAGAGTTCCATTGGTCGGAGAATTCCATTCACCAACTTGCCATGGCTTTTGACTGCATTAGCCTGCATCTTTGGGATGGCAGGGGGCTTTCTCACAGCCAAGTTGGGCTCGGGAGCAGACATGTTGGCATACATCTTTGGTATTCTGTGGAATTCACTGGTGCCAAAAGAAGCACAGATGTCCGAAAACATGCTCACAGCTTCCTCGGTGGTCATCATGGCTATTTGTAGCGTCTTGGGCACATGTCTTCGCTTGCTGACAGCAGAAATCTCTCACGATGTCATGCTGTGTTGGGCTGCTTGTGTGCCGGTGGTTGTACTTGGTGCTCCCCTGGGCTCCATGTTGTTGAGTCCCAGCAGCACCAAATTCTTGCGTCGCTGCTTCTATCTTTTTGTATTACTACAATTCATTTCGATGGGTGTCTTTCAATTGAAAGCTGACTTGGTGGCATGGACTGTCATGCTGCTTGCGGTCCTAATCACATCTTTAATGAGCCACCTTTTGCTGCGGCGAACTGGGTGGTACCCATCCACCCGCGCAGATGTCGAAAGACGGCATCATAGCACTACTACATGAGGTCTGGAAAAGCTGGGCTCCACGCTTGAATGATCGCTTTTAAACTATATATATATTATATAATATAATATATATATATATAACTTTGAATAGTTTCAACATGCAACATGTTTTATTCTATAAGCAGCTAATTTTTTATGGATCCCTCGTACGATGGGCGTTGGCTGAGACATCTCCAGGGTCCGTACTCTTCAACATTTTGATGGTTTGCATTGCCAACTAAATTGCCAAACAGGCACAGGCCAATCTGCGTGTTCTATTTTTCTATGAAAAGCGCCGTCCAAACCAACACAATTTGCCCAAATGATCCTGAAGGCATCAAAAGACCTATAACATGAGATCACGTGACATGCAGGTGCAGTTGGCTCGGCTTTGCCCTTACCTGGATACTGAAGCGCAGACGAGGCACCAGCCGCACCGGGGGGATTCTTGCAGAGGGCAGCGGCCTGAAATCTGAAAGGTTGTTGCGCTCCATTGCGCTGTCATCTCCAACCATGCAACAGGAGACAGGGCAGGATAGGGCAAGGTTGAAGGACCCCAAAAGCTGGAAAAACGTCCACAATTTTCCGAGAGACACGGAAACACATTTATTTTTTGCTTACATTCTGCGCATAATGCCCACAAGGATGACACGACCCAAAACCCTATTTTGGTGGCGCTTCTGCCAAAAACCATTGCTTTGACGCCCATTGGCTCCTAGGAGGTTGATTCGGCTCCAGTGGGGCTCTCAGGGTTGCCATCAATCAATGATAGCCGGCCAACATCAGCCAACCAACCAGCTCTGGCAGAATAAGGTGGTGATTCCCTTGGGACTTTTCACCTTTTGGCAGGCCATTTCCGGGAGGTTTGGGGATTTTTGGGGGGGCTAGGACCACACACATCAGTAAAGATAGTGGAAGCCAATGAGGTCATTGAAGTTGCGTGGAGTGTCTCACAAATGGGAAAGCATGCGGAAAACCTCGGTGTGAAGACGATGCTCACATCGCACAGCCCGCAGCCTTCAGCTCAACCAGCCCCGCGCGCGCCGATCGGATTCGACGGATCCCATTTGGCCTCGAGATCAATGAGCTTTGGCTGAAGGAACGGCGAAGGAGGCCTGCAGCTAGGTGTTACTTTGTTGCATGAATTCAGCGTCCTCCGAAGGATTTTGTTACTAGTAGGACCCAAATGCGCCCAATATGCTCCAATTTGTTGGAGCCATGTGACGTAATGGATGGTATTGATGTATATATTAATGTATGGTGTGGCCCTGTTTGGCCAATCATGCAACGGCATTGGAGGAATGATTGATGACATCAGACATTTTGCCTCGACGTTGCGAATGGCTTGTTGGTGCCAGGCACCGAATGGCAGAAACGCGTTCAAGGACTGACACCCAGCATTTGAAAGCGGCTTCCAGCTTCCCGGTTAAACCCTGCAGATTTGCATTGATATGGATCAAACATGGATACGTTGGACACATGTCCTCCGAGAGCGGCAAAGTCAAATTAATGTTTCTAGCAATTCGCAACGCTTGTGGCCCCAGGGTTTGACACTTAGACCGTCGACCCATCCCCATTGACATGGCAGTGCCCCAGGCACAGGCACGAAAAGCCCCGACGTCGAGGCAAGGCGGAGGCTCAAGCCCGGCAGCCTGGTCCAGCCTGGTCCAGACATTTTCACTCTGTCGATGGGAAAAATATTCGCCACATAGATAAATATAGGTTCATGATGGTTCAGGGCCCCATTTCATGGTTCTTATGTATATGGTTCTAGTCAATTTGCTTGAGGTCCTTCCATGTTTGAGGGTTGGAAGTTGGAAGCGGTCATTTAATGATGAGATCCAACCTCCCCCAACATTCGACAGAGCAAGAAGCCGAGTTGTTGGAGACCAAGGCCTGCTGGATTTAGACGATTTAGCATGTGCCTCTGCAGATTCAGTTTTGGCTCAGCCTTCTAGCGGGCACAGCTCAAGCCCAAAGAAAGCAACAGTTCAAGAGTCGCAACAGTCTCAGTGGACCGTGGTTCTTTCGTTCCATGTTAATCCCTGCGTTTGAGTCCCGTTTGAGATCGCCGGGTAATGATTTGGCAGTCAAACCAAGTTCAGACATTTGTCAGTCCTCCGTGGAACCTGCCATGAGACGATGGCAGGGCGCGTGGCAGGTCGCATCCGGCTGCGTTCCATGGAGAACCCTGCAGTCTCCTTCGAAGTGAATGAGGACAAGGGCTATCGAAACCACAAGGCAAGTGCGTCCCGTGCTAAGACATGCTAAGACATTAAGAATTAAGACAATGAAATCTCCAATTTATATTATTGCCTATGGGATGCTATGGGCCCATCACCGTAGCATTGGTAGCTCACGGCATAGGAGCTGACCATCGGAAGGGCCTTCCAGTCGGCCACTCTTTGGGAGCAGCTGATTCCAGAGGAAACTGCACGGAACACCATCTCCCGAGCTCACTTCGAGGTGGGGTCAGGGCCCAAATGTCTGGAAATACATTGGATGTCATTGGATCAAATATTTGGGGCCAGGTAGTGGGGGTCCCAAATGAGGTTTTCAATTGTTTTCATACTGGAATTTCTGAACTTTGGAGAAGTTTCTGGTCTCAGGGCCTTTTTTATCCTTTTTTGCTAGAAGAAAAGCGGGGTAACTGCCACATGTTTGCCCTTGAGGTGAGGTCTGACTCTTCCATAATCAGTGTGAAGAATCTCAGTGCCAGCGGCACCCTGTTGAATGGCGCTCCGCTTTCAAATGCCACATTGCAAGATGGTGACTGGCTGTTTGCTTCCTGAAGATTTTGCTGCGAGCCACGGTAGTTGTTTTTAAGGAGGAAGACTACCTTAATTGGCTACTAACTAGTACTATAGTTATATACTAGATTATACTAGCATTTGACTAATTAGTATCATTTGTGTCGAACATTTGTTCGCCCAATTTTGTAGCCACCAGCCAGGTGACATCATCAGTGCAGGATATATCGACTGTGAATATGGCAGACGGCCCGCCCTCCAGCTGAAAGTGTGCCTCGCAGCCCCTCCAAAGGACCTGTCAGAGGCCCAAAACCCATTAGGCACGTTGGGTCTTTGCTTGAGCTGTTTGGACTCGGCTGCCTCCAAATTATTTCCTGGGCCTACAGGCAGCATCCGTGTGGGAAGATCTATGCAAGCACCAGAGTTTTGGTCTTCCTTGGTTCCAGATGAGACCTTGAGGAATGCTGTTTCAAGACAACACTTTGAAATTTCGTCGAAAGGAGAAAAGCTGATGTTGACGAACTTGAGTCTGGCTGGAACTTTAGTGAATGGTCATATGGTACAGCAGCAGCACAAGGTGCAGCATGGGGATGTTGTTGCAATCCCTCTCCACGGCCGTGTGCATGAAGCACCTCCTATTGTTCAGTTCCGTGTGGAATGCAAGGGGGTTTCCATTGCAGCTCCCAGATGTTGCGAAGCCTCTGTTCCGCACACTGCTGGTGCAGAATTGGTTTCTGGGATAATTTATTGCAACCAACCTACATGCGATTCATAATTTTGGGTATCCGACAGCATTCGGCCATCCAAGGTTTTTTTTGGAGCCCCCAAGTCTGCTCCGCCCAATTGAAAATATAGGTCATTTGTTGCTGGACTTTGTTCAGCCATGTCCAGACACATACGATTAGGATCAAGCAAATCAAGACTCCAATATGTGTCCAATCGCTTCTGACTTCGTTGTCATTTCAGGTCACCAAAGATTTGGAACCCATCTTGGAGACTCCACCAGATACACCGGTGGCACATCCGGTGGCACATCCAGTAGTACAGGTGCAGCTGGATGCTTTACCTCCACCATTTTCCCTTCATTGCATCGGCTCCGAATGGACCTTGGAGGCGCCCTTTTCCAAGGCAGAGGTGGCGATTGGGAGCCAGTTCCAAGCTGAAGAGTTTCTGGTTTTGTACAGACACCCATGTGTTTGCATTTTTTGCTTCCCCACTCTTCTCCCCCAAATATATCCTCCAAAAAAATAGAGAGAGGGAGAGAGAGAGAGGGAGGTGTGTGTGTGTATGTGTGTTCACAGTTTACAGGGAATAGAAAATATAGAATTTCAGATCAGATAATGAGCCACCCCCAAAATAAATTGGACAAACAAAGCCTTATTTACCTGCTCCAACCCAACTGACCAGGTTTTGGTCCAAGTTGCTGCCGAACCCGGTCCAAAGAGAACAGCTGGCGCCGTGTCATTTTCGGATCTCCCTCAATCATCGAGACGAGCAGTCCATTTTGCTATTGCAGGCGATCGTGGCCACTGAAGTTAACGGCAATGCGGTGGAGAGAGAGGTGGCTGGTCGAAATCAGCAAACCGTTGTTTGAGGCTGCCGTGGAGCACCAAAAAACATGGGTATGGTTTCAAGAGAATGTGGATTTATGCGTCAATAGTGGGGATTTCACTAAAACTAATGGGGGGCCGCAGCATGCTAGACCCGCAAAGAACAGGTTGAGCTTGGTATGACAATATCTTGCCCTTGAGTGGTAAGGGTCCTACGCTAGCTAGTACATGCTAATACTAGTTCTTGGTTTATCACCATGGCAGTCGCCAATCAATGGTCAAGATGTAGTCGCTTATGAAGCAACTTGAGCAGCCACAAGGTGTCTTTGTCGCACAATGACGTTGTAAGCATACGACCTGCAGATGCCCAAGCACCTTTGTTGTCATTTCGAACCTTGGACCTGGAATTTGAAGGGTGTCAAATGGTGGTGTCAATGAGGCACTTGTACTACTGACAGGAACGCCAAGAAGAATTAGGGGATAAAGGGGATAAAGGGGCTTGGGAACCCCTTGGTTCAAGGCACCTGCTAGGACCGCACCACACGAGGTCAACCAATACCGCTCAGAGACTGTAGACTGTAGGATGATTTGGGCGTGAGGCCTGCGGGAACCCAACAAGCATTATTCTGGCCTGCTGATTATTGCTGTATACCTACGGAATCCCTGATATCCCTGGCCTCCCCCTGCACCAGACAGCGGTGGCCAGTCTTCAGTCTGAGGAGTGAATTTTACCATTTCCTGATTCTGAGCAGAACACCTTCCGCGACCGATCCGGGACATCATGGGACATCGATCCACTGATTTGGTTGGAGATGTTGTAGATGGAATCAGATGGAATCAGATGGAAGTCCATGGCATGCGATGCTAGCCGCATCTACCCGCTACTTGCGAACTGATGAAGTCAACGAATTGGATGATCTGGGAAGTTCCAGCCATGGTACGCTCCAAATCGCTGCAGAGAGGATGTCTATACCCTTTGGTCATCCACAACCCACAACTTGCGACTCCTGAGACTGGCAGTTGCGCCAAAAGCAACTTGATATTGCAAATGTATACAAATTTGGAGTAACATCATAGGGTTTTACCCATCCACATCATGCATGCACTACTCAGTCGTATCAGTCATGCTCTTTTTTATTGGGTTGGAAATACTACTGTAGAGAGGGCGATGGAGGGAGAGGGGGAGTTTGGTGCGTGCCGGCAACTGCGCATCTTATTTGGCTCCTCACAGGCACATTTTTTTCAACCGAATCACGGAACAACTGACTGTGTCAGATGCCAGTCAGCAGGAGAGCCACGTTTCCTTGAAGTATATTTAAGATTATTTAAGCATGATATCAAAAGACAAAAGATTTGCTGTACATCCAGTTGCTTGTGCTGCTACAATCTATGTCTATGTGCCTAATAGCTGAGATCTAGTGTTGTACTGTGTTGCACATGTATGTTTCAACACACATATGCACTCCAGTGTCCTCAGCATGGCTGAGTGCCTTTCGATCCGCCCTGCTTTGCGGTGGCTACGGGTTGGCCGGTCCTTGTGTCACCAGGCGTCCTGTGAATTGGCTCAGCTGGCAGAGGACTTGAGACCCTCAGCTGAACAACTGCAGAGGGCAGAGGAGATCCAGCAACAGCTGCAACCTGTGGTGGACAAGCTGGGTGGCACCTTGCAGTGCTATGGCAGTTGTAGTAATGGCACCTTTATGAAGGCCTCTGATGTGGATTTGAGCTTTTTGGTGGATGAGCAAAAGATCCGGGCTATTTTCCAACCAAAACCGAAATTGGCCACAGTCCCCAAGCCCCCCAAGGCCAAGCCGCCCACCTTACCACCCCCAGGACCGCCACCAGGCGAGTCTGTAACGGCACCAGCACGACCATCTGCACCGCCAAGGGCCGTCCCGCCACAGGCCGTGCCACCGCCACCGGCCGTGCCACCGCCACCAGCGCTACCAGCGGCACGAGCGCATCGAAAGATCGAGAATTTACACTACAGAGTGCTGCGCTTATTGAAATTGGAGGCTCAGCGCTGTGGGAAAGCAGGTGCTCAGAAGGTTCACCTGGTCAATGCGAGAGTGCCAGTGCTGAAATTCATTGGAGCGGAGAGGGAAGTGCTGTGCGACATTTCGGTGAACAACACGGAAGGTTTCTTGAATTCTCTCCTGGTGCGAAGATTTTGCGAGACTGAGCCTGTTCTGGCTCCGGTGGTTCGCCTGTTGAAGCATTGGGCGAGATGTCGGCTTCTTGGCGACCGTGCCACAGGCGGTTTCAGCACCTACACGCTGATTTTGATGGCGGTGCATGTTCTGCAAACTGGAGAAACAGCCCTGCACCAGCAGATGGTCCAGAAGCTCAGCCAAGAGATTGAGAACAGCACACCTGAGGCGGCCAGCAAGGCGCTGGAGATTTGGTGTCAACCATCAATCAAGTCACAGCAAGTCCGAAAAGTCTTTGCCAAGTTTTTTGAAATGTATTCCCAGCCGGCCTTTAAAGCTGGCGTGACTGTTTCCATCGAAGCTTTAGCAGATCAAGATCAAAGTTATCACAGTGATCCAAGTGGTCCCAGTGGCACCCTAAGGGTATTGTGCCCACTGACCAAAAGAGATGTTCAGAGGTGCACTGAGAATGAGTGGACTTTGATGTTTTCCGAGATTTCACGAGCTGCAGCAATCCTGGGCGAAACTGATCAGTGCAGTCTGCAGCTTCTTTTCGAAAGTCCGTCTCCTACGTCTCCTAAGACATCCAGGAGACGGGTGCCAGGACCGCCGGCCTCGAATGAATCTCCAGACAGGGTGGATGACAGGGTGGATGTGGATGGCGGCACCATATACACTGCAAATTCAGTGCCGCCGCCACCAGAAATTAATGGACGGATCAGCATGGAATAGCTGAATAGCGCTGAAAAAGAAGATCACCAGTTTGGATTGGTCCCTGAGGTTGATAAACTGGATGACTTTGGGGAAATATGCCATAATATGCCGTTTGATTGAACCCGGTAGCAGCGAACATATCCTGCGCTATGGGATAATGTGCACCCTGAAAATTATAGAGAGCTCCCATTGCCGGGGTGTTTACTGGAGTGCAAGCTTGACACTGGAATATTGTTGCCGGAATGCTGCCTTTGGACCCACTTTCCAAATCATTCCAAAGCATTATCTCACGTTATTTCCATATTATCCTAGCCGCAGATGGACTTCGGAAGGTGACCAAACGTGCCTACGAGATCTGTTTTCAGCATGTTTTTCACTTCCATCTTGAATGGGGTGTACCTCATGATTGTCGCATATTGTGTTTGGCTATCGAATCCCTAGTGTCCTCATAAACATCCCCCACTCATATGGTTCATATCTGGAAAGTCATGGGGATGTTCACCCCAACATCCCCAGATATCCCCAGACCATCTCCACAAAGGCTGGACCTTCATCCTTGCGAACTCGAGTGGTGGTTTGTGTCTCCTTGGTGCTAGTTGCCGGCGCCTTCCTGATATCTGAGGCGGTGTGGTCTGGGAATGTCTGGGATGTCACCAAAACACTTTGACTTGGGATTGGATATGAAACATATGAATATAAGTAAGGCACTTGAAAAACATACCCCACACACCACCACACAAGGGGAACAGTGATTAATTTATAGTGATTTTGGTCCTGGAGGGCTTGGAGGGTCCTGGATTCCCCGGACTTTCGAGTTGAATCCGACGATGTGTTTTTCTGGCCAATTTCATGGTTAGTCCCGCGTTCCCCTCTTCCTTTTTCATGAGGAAGGAACACTCGATTTTCCATCACGAATCTCTCAGTGCGGATGTGGCAAAACTTTTGAGCAGCCAGCTATCCCTGTCATTTATGCAGAGGTACATTGACATAGAGGAACTTTGAGTGTGTTCCATACTTTGGGGCCAATTGGTTATTGACACATGTCGACAAACACAAATTTCACTTTCTAACGGCACCAGTCGTTCCATGCGCGTCCATATGTTCAGCCCTGGGTCCAAACATGAAATTTTCAGGACATACCTGAACGCAGGGCCCTTGATGCCCAGTTCCATGGCCAGGTATCCTTGACCTCACGAGCAAAGAATTGGCGCGTTGGTTCTCAGACTCTGAAGTTGTGGAGTATTTTAATACATGTTTGACATATTTTTTGCTATTTCATGTTTGATAAAAAAGATGTGCCCAGGTGGTGGTGCAGCAAACCGGCGCTTTCCTTGCCTCTGGCCAGCCGGCACCGCCTGCACCAGCACCACCACCTACAGAGACAGCGCCACCAGCGCCACCAGCGCCACCAGCGCCACCAGCGCCACCAGCACCTGCACCGGCAGCAGCCCCGGTGGCGGTGCCTGATGCATCGCAGCCAACAGCTGCAGCTGTAGCTCCAACACCAGAACTGCAGGCAGAGTCGTGTCACATTGTGGGTGCTGTGGGAATTGAAGATTGGGGTGGGGTAAAGCTGGGCCTTTTGATGCTTCTCACGGATGTGTGGGTATTGGTATTGGATGTATTGAATTGATGATGTTTTCATATTGTCAGATCCTTGCCTGTTTGTCATGTTCTCTGCATTGAACATATTTGACCATCCAAATTTGGGGCACCACGAGGTATCCTGTTTGGGCCCACGCCCACACCATCCGAAAACACGCTTTGGGCAGGCTGTGGCGCCCGCTGAGCCTGCACAAGTTGGGACACCTTCGTCTGAGCTGAAATCATGCCTGTCCTTCATTCACATCCCCAAGGCATGAACTGGGGTTCGTGGATGGGTTGGGTCTAAGAACACTCTGGATGAATCAGGCATTAAAAAGCCCAAGCTTTCTCAATTTGGGATGTTTTGGGGGTACCCAAAGTTTCAGCATGTTGAGTCAACAGAGTCAAAGACCCAAGAGCTACTTTTCTCATCTTTTCTCCAGGCTGGAGGCTCCAATGTCGAGGGTCTCATCGCACGGGCTTTTGGCCACAGCCTAAGTGGGATTTCTGCACAAACTTGGAATAAATTAGATGATTAGTACCGGTACCAGAAGAAAATACAAGAAATACGAAACAAAATGGGAGAAATAAGAAGGAAGTAATTCTTGGAGTCTAAACATGTCTAAACCATCCCATGTTTCGGTGCCCATTGACTTGAACCGTGTCAAAGAAGTTAACTTGACATCCTTTGCTTCCCTTGTGGCCGAGGATACAATCAAGTCGTTGAGAATCCCGGGGATTGTGATTGGGCTCAGCTGCAGCGATTCTGTGTTCCGAGGCAATAGGCCAACGGAATGACTTGGATGCCCGTCCTATGATTTGCAAAACCCCTGACTGGGTTACCCCATCTTATCTCACGTTTCAGTGGGACAATACCTGATTATATCTGATTATATATGACTCATGACCATTGCAGTTGCTTACTGGGAGGGGGGCGCAAGATGGGTCCTTTATGCGCTGCCTGAGGCATCTCCATGCGCAAGATCGAAAAGGATGTTCGCTTCTGGGGCATGTGTGACGACCGGTTGAAATGCGCAGCTCGTCCCAGACATCGGCAGCGGCGTGCGAGACTCCCCATAGAAAATAGCAAAAAAAGAGTCCAAAAATCCCAGAAGGAATGCGGCTGCAGATTGTTGAACCGTTGAACCCTCCGCAAATGCCAATAACTCATAATAATTCTATACATCCGCAAATTCTTACACTGGCTCACTGTGGTAGTCTAACATGGCAAACAATTCTGCCATTTCTCGGCCGAATCCCAGGAGACTAAGAAAGGCTGCGGTTGGTCTGGCGACTTGGCGAATTGTCCATTTCTGGATGATGGGCCAATGGCTGTGCCCTTTGAAAATCAATTGGTCCCATCATCACTTCATGTCCCATCAAAACCATGTCAAAATGTGTATTACTGTATTGTTATTGGATGTATTTTGATGTTCTATATGTGTGATGGCTTGATGGATCTTGATGGCTATCATTGCCATCATTGAGTCAACGCTTCACCTTCAAAACAAAGAACCCTGCAATGTGAGCTTTCCACATTTGCCACCGTGCTGTACTTTCCACATCTTTCCACGGCCCATCTCTTCGAGGTGCCGACTGCTGCTTTGTCAACGCGTCCTTTGCACCCCAGCCACCGAAAAACACTGGCAAGGCCGCTTGGAGTGCAAAGAGCAGGGGGCCATGGCTCAAAGCCGAGCAGATACAAGTTTGCTCATGTTTGCGCGTTTTTTTTGAGAACATTTTTTCTTGTGTTCTCCAATGTGTTCATTTGCTCCAAAGTGGCACTGCCACAAAGGACCGTTGCAGTTTCTGGCATTTTCCACCATCCCTCGATCCACTGCTGGTGGCGCTCTCAGCAAGATTGCCCGGTCAAGGGTTTGAAGATGTTTGAAACATTTCGAGACCAAACATTACTTGATGATGCTATAAAAAATATCTACTTAATTACATCTATATAATCCTATACATATATATATATTGATTTATAAAATATGCTATTTATCATTCTTTGGTGGGAGCTCCCGTTGTGTTTGGAGATGTTTGGAGACCCAAGAATCTTGGCCCAGAAATCGCTGAGGCGTCGGCCTACACCAAAGACTGTGATGCGTTTTGTGTGGTGCGCGATCCTGTGACACGTTTCCTCAGCCACTGGAGGTGCCATTTAGCAGCGGCATTGAAGCAGTAGCATGCAGCCCGGATGGCTATCATGCCCATACTGTCAGTTGAACTAGGGAAAATGAGTAGTGAAAGTCACATGATTCACATGTAGGATATGGATGGATATTATGGATATGGACTGAAACATGTTTTGTTGTGTGCACCTCTGCAACAGATGGCGGCATTTGGGAAAGACTGGCTGCAGCACCGAAGCCTTGGAAAAATATACCAAGGACAATGGATGGATTAGCAGGTGGTCGCAGGTGATCAGAAAGTCCTTTGAAGTTATGGATAATAGTATTTATATAATATATATATATACAATACACACACACACCATGGTAAACCATCATGATTTTCAAGATTCCAAGGATTTCCAAACCGCTAGTCTATAGTGATCATATAGTGATCAGCCATGAATATGTGTTCATTTCTTGGAACAAAGCCTGGGCCACTGCTTGGTGGCCCTGCCATGTGGAGTCTCAAGGCAGGCTGGTACTGACCAAGAGCAAAAATTAAAAAACCCACGAAGGTGCCCTCCGCATTTGCACATCCCTCTTAGATTGGAACAGTCATATTTTTCGTGGCCAGGCTCAAAACAAAACGAACTATACTCAGACCAGCTGCTAGGGCTGGTCAGAAAGACCCTCCATCTTGAGTAGGTGCTGTAAGCAAACCCTGAAATAGCACCAGTCTGGACAACCTTGGGTACTGGAGTTTTAGCTAGATGCTTTGCAGAGATATATGCAAGGAGAAATTGGAGCTGGCCAAAGACAAGGAGATCTTGCTGGAAGACTGCCATTTCAATACCCAGGCTCGCTTTTGGCTACGCTCTCCTTGATTTCGGATCACAAACCTGAGTTGAATACTGACATTAGTGACTAATTATGACTAATTACTGTGGTTGAACATGTTTAAAACAATTTTTTGGTGCGCCCGGAAGCAACTGCAGGTGTCCTATGCCTTCTATGGTGGTACCATGCTGCAACTAGCATCCTTTCCGCCCGCCAGATGGAGCCTCACACCCTTTTTTAAATCACAGCGGCCAAGGTAATCCTGCAAATGAACGGATTTGTCGACACATCATCAAGCTGGAAAACTTGAGGGAAGAGTTGCCTCCCCTCCTCAAGAAATACAATTTGGACAAGGCCGGACATCCTGAGACGTCATTTTGGGCGCTGGCATTTTGCAGGAAATCCACCTGCTCAATTGACGTCAAAATCTTGATGTTCCCAAAAGCCCTTCCAGAGGGAATAGAATGGATTGGCAGACAGGGTATTGCTACTGGTAATAAATGCCAGCGCATCAAGCACTTTTAGATTTGCAAACGTCAACTGCTTCAGTGCAGACTGCATTTATATGGTTCAAAGTCGGGTATCAATGGACCTACAGCTTTGGCAATTCCTAGTTGTAAAATGTTGTAAAATGTTGTAAGCTTATGTAAACTTCTTAAACCCGTGCATATCCGTGCATTGTTTGGGGCCAGCAACTTCATCCGAGCCGCGTCAGATCAAAGTGGGCAAAAGCAAGTCCCGTGCCAGTGGCCTGGACCAAAGATGTAAGGATTTGTGAATGGTGGAAGTTGACATAGCCGGGCGTTTGATGATGTTATGATGATGTTATGATGTTTTTTGGATCGGTGTTTTCAGATTAATTACGAATTGTTTGGATCAGATGTTATGTTTTATGATTGCTGTTGCGTGACTTCTTCAAGTGTCACATGGCAAAGTTTTCTTTCAGCCCATGCCAAGTCGCTGGTGAAAATCACGGGTGAAAGGGCAGTGTGCCCCGGTGAACGCCAGCACCCACTGAAAAGTAAGATTTGGAGAACATCAAAATCATCAAATACATTTGGGTTGCCTTTGGGTTCTTTGGATAATGAAGTTAGTTTTTCATGTTTATTCCTGCTTCATGAGAAGTGACCATTGCGTATGTGATTCCTGATTTTTTTGGGGGGGGCTTTCCATGAGATATGGCGAGGCCAGGGGTGTGATATCAAGCCCACGGAAGAAACGATGCGCCTCATTAAGGACAGCTTGGCTTTGGGCTTGGCTTCAACAGCAAGCAATAGGGTTTCTCTGAAAATAAATGGGCAACCACCAAATTGGACACCTCTAAATCCATTAGTTTTTAGTATCATGCCCCCTCTTAAATGATGGTTTATCATGGGTCAAAGCAGTACCGCACAAGGCGGCAGCGGAAGTTTCAAAGATAGGAAACCTATAGGAGAGGTGCGTCAGATTTCTGTTTTTTTTCTCAATTACTATGGACAAAATACCAGTGTCCGCGCCATCTACTAAGCCCCCTGGAATTCAAGAATCTGCGCCACTTATTTTCACCCCGGTGTATATAATGATATACAATGAATACAATGTTACAATGACATACAATAAATCCAATTACATATTAGAAGCAATGATCCGTGAAAATAAGACGTGGCCGATGAGAGACCCTGAACATCCTCTGTGAAGTTTCACTATGCAGTGAAGCGATATGACATGATGGATGCTTTGATGTATATTGCAGACCTCTTGGGAAACAAAGATAGAATGGAAATCCGCACATTTTGAACTATACAAATGACAAATGGATGTTCCCTTGCCAGGTTTGTCGAATCTTGTCGATATGGAAACATGCATGCCACGTCATGCCACTGTTGAGAGGAGTTTTATGCAGAGGACTTCAAGGTGGGAACCCATTTGGAACTAGTCTTGGAGGGAACTCAAAGTGATACTCTCTGGTAACCCAACCTGACAATGGAAGATCCACAGTTTGAATAGGTAAATCATCTGCAAACGTTGGATGTTTCAGTGCCGGGTTTGATTACAAGAGGGCAATCGTTACTGATCATTTTCTGCAGAGGTCATCCCAGTTTTGCCCTGTTTCTTAAATATTGGCTCATGGTTATGTCCCGCGTGAGGCGTTTGGCTATCCTTTGCCGTGACAGTTGAGCGCGCTCGTGCATGGCAGAGTGGGATGATGCTGTGGGTGATGACATCTGCCACAGAAACGAGGTTCCTCAAAATGGGGAACAGCAAATCATTGACCTATTTGCCTCAAAGAATCTCAACCACAACGGACTTGCATGCAAGATTGTGCCATTGATTAGTGGTTGGGTTCCGCTGGATGAAATTCATTGAAATTCTATTTAATATATAGTTAATCTGATTAAAGGTCCTGCCAGTGATATTCATGCGGACACTGCAGATGCGAAACCGTGTGATATTGGGAGATTTTCCTCCAACATCCTCCGAAATGACAGTTGGTGGACATTGTACAACGGTAGACAATGACAAGAGTAGTTGCTAATGACACCGGGCCAACGGCCCTGCACCAGCCACAACATGTGGCCAATGTCGGTGCATAGTAGAGGTAGACGATCGCTGAAATGTCAGGCTGAGGGCCCAAAAATCAAACAAAATTAGTAGTTACATGGTTGGAAACAGAAAGACCTGATTCACCCTAGTATGCCCTAGCGTTGCAGTGCAGATGTCAGTTTGCCCAACTTTTGACATCCGCCAACAGCAGCTTACAGCTCAAGAAATGGCTTGAGTTTGAGATTGTGATCAAGTCCTTCAAGAGACACGCAGAACTCAAAACCCTCACATGTTTTTCCAAATATGTGCAGCACATAGATTCTCCGAATGTGGGTTGATCATGATCATGGCTAGATTACAGGTGATTAATTACATGTTTTCTGACACCCAAACTGATCACACGGACCTACCCAGAAGCTGCGGCCCTTTTGCATCCTATTGCCAGGGGCAACACCATGCAGAAACCAATGGGCCTGGAAAAGTGAGATGTTGGCAGCAACCTGGCTGCGAGCTCGAAGATTGGGATGGGGAAGGTGAACTGGCGAACCCTTCCTGTTGAGAACTTAGCCGAACCTGCTCAACTAATGACATATGGGAACTGCATCACATCATCACAATCAGCTTTGACTGGGCAGTTCAAAGAGGATATCTATAAGCAATACTGACTGCCTAGTTGACCGAGTCTCATGAGACTGTGCAGGCAGAAACGAAGTGAAACAAGCAAATTATTTATGGAACAAACGGTTGAGTAGATTCTGAGTATATAGATAGCTCACTTCACTTCAAAACGAAATTTCTTTGCTACTTTCGATTCTTCTATGTAATTTCGGCAATTTGAGCGAAACACTGGTTCCCTGAGGCAGGCTGGCAAATGGATCTTCATGCCTATGTGTACACATGTAGTATGATAATTTAGGCAATTTAGTCATACGCTGCCTGATCCTTTTTACAGTATCATGTGGTGTCCCTAAACAATGCAAAGTTTTTGTGCCCCAGTGCTGTGGCTGAGGCAGATAAGCTGGAACTTACGAGCTGCTGGGCCGGAAATATCTCAGGTTTTGCTCTTGCCACTGAAAGGTGGCGAGGAATGGCGATGAATGTTGGAGAGGGTTGGATCCTGTGTGGGGGGTATGGACGGATAATATCAGATAATTAGTAAGGATGGATTTGGGAATTGGGGGGAATTTTTATTGCAGCAGATGTCTTCCTTCGGAGGCCATTTTTCACAGTCGTTTTTTCAGCAGTGCCATCAGGCCTCATCAAGAGGAATGCCACCACATTGAAGGGCAAGGACGCGATGCGGCGCTCATTACATCGATTTTTGAATCGTGGGGCCCGTAGAATAGACACTTACATATTTGAGTGGTCAAATCATGTAAAAATATGTAAACATTATGTAAACATGAATCTTCCTTCCAAGAAAATATCCCTTCAACTTTCAACCCCAGCTGACAAGAAATCCTGTCACCTACGAAGGAGCTGGAGCTGAACCAAAGCAACTTCGAAGCCGTAGCCACTCAAGCAGCAGTCCTTGCGGGCTTTGCTGTGTGCATGCTGGTTCCTTGGCCAAGCAATGCCAAGATTTAGGTTGAGGGTGGCTACATAGTTGGGTTATTTACTGTAGCTATATATTAATATATAAATAGTATATACAGAAATCTTAGTGAAAATTAAAGATTTGAAATGGCTAGCTGCCAGTTCTGTGTCTTGAAAGTCTGGGTTTTCAGAGGTGGCGAAACTTCCCCAGGTGAAGGTTGATGTGCCTGATGGTGTTCATCCTCTACTGGAAGCACTGTATTACTTCTTCGCACTGATCAACCTAATGTGCAACATGGTGCCCCGGCAAGGAGTTTCATTGAGATTTTGCAACGGCGCCATCACACATTTTCACTGTGGTGAAACATGATGGAGCTGTGGACCGGACGCTGGGGGTAGACTTGGCCACATTGGATCCCACAGTGCTGTGGCCACCTTGAGAGACACTTGTTGGACCTCCTAATCGGCCGCTGCTAAGCCATGCAAAGTTTGACCCTTAAGACCCTTAACATCCCTTAACCTTAACCGGAAGAAATCCAGAACCAGAGTTTTCAGCTTTGTGCATCCAGTGTAGGTGACCATGACCATTCTCTCATGAATCATTCTAAAAATAGGAGGATTTGCATGGATTTGTGAGAAAGCCCACGGATCAACTCCCATTCCTTCTGGACCTTTCTATATCTTTCTATCTTTCCCGGTGCATCTTCAGCGCCAAGGCCTGTGTCTCGGCGGTGGCGTGTGTGAACATCCTGGGGACCAGTTTGGGCCTGCGAGGTCCCGATGGCTCCGTCAGACAAGCCGCAGACGGGATGCACCAGCAGCCCCTGGACCAAGAGGGACTTGGGGGCGGGTGGAAGATCATTTGGGTATGGATCAATACCTATTAATACCTATTATTATCAATTCTAATGGGATGAACATCCATTTACCAGCTATTTTGGTGTTCACCATGGGTATAGGGTTTTGACCCATCCCCATTTCTGTCAGAGTTTGAACAAGAAAACATGTCAAAACAAGGGGACTTTAGCAAAAAAACATAAAAAAAGAAACCACGATTCTGGACTGGAGATGGTATGCTCAGACATGCTCAGACATATTTCACCTTTTCAGAACATGAGTTGAGGTGGGGATGGTTTGGTTTCTATTATGTTTCATTGTTCGAAGTAGGCTTTCTTTCAGAGTTCGAGCATCGCAAATAATGTTTCGAAGTGATCTAGAATCTAGAAGATGAGAACCTGTTTTTTTCATGTTTTTTTTCGATCCTGCTACAGTGGAGGTCGCAGGCTTAGTTTTATCTTAATCTTTCCCGTGACTGGACCAAGGGGATCTCATATCTTTTGGGTTTTCGGCGCTGGCTTGGTGTCCTGCTCCTTCGTCTCCTGGCATTGACTTCTGTATCTCTTAGCCATGGTCACATGGTCCGCCACAGCAAAGCAGAAGGACAAACATCACAGGGTAGCTGGCTGGGATCAAAACCATCCAAAGCCATCCAGAGCTGTCAGATGTTGGCCATGTTTAGCCATGTTGGTAAAGCAATAAATGTATATTAATATAAATGTTACCACATGTTACCACCCAATATGTTGATGGTTTTTACCACCCATGGTGATTTTGGGGATGGTTTACCAACCAGCCATTGCTGCTGGGAATCGCCCGAGGCAATGCTGTTGATGGCCTGGATCAAGATGCAGCTCCTGGATCGGATGGTGGCAGGGGGGTCGAAAGATGTCCGAAAGTGAGTTTCCATCAAATAATCCATTAATATCCATTAAGAAGCTATAATTAGCTATAATTAGCTATAATTAATCTATTAGCATTAATTAGCTATTATGCAATATATGAAATAATATGAAATAATATACTTATTTCATGATAATGTAAGCAGGTACCGGCACAAGTCGTGCCACTCTTATCATCTCTTGTCCATGTGAGAGTAACATGATGTAACATGGCACAAGGGGTTCAAGTGTCCCAGTACTAATCAGTACTAAGGACCTTGGCTGCATTGTCGTGCAGCACAGTATTGCTTTGGGGGTTGGTTTCAGGACAGCGCTGAGTACAACCACAAGCCATCGCAGCGTGATCAGTTGATGTGCTGCAATCGGTTTATGAATTCTGCAACACTATCCGGGTTTTCCCGATGTTTGAAGGCGCAAACATCAAACATGTGAGGGAGAAAGAGAAGTTGGGATCAGTTTGGTAGAGTAGAGTTTGAGGCCTTCACTTGCGCCACAATCAATCCAGTAGTTTTCCAAGAGCCAGACTTGTCCATGCTTCTTTTCAGGAGCTCGCCGTGCTTTGCAAATGAAGAACCTTGGCAAAGGCTGAAGCTTGTGCATTGTGATGTGAGAGCAGTGTGGCGCTGGGTACTCCTGCGTCCCAAGGATTCTGTTTAGATACAATGACCACCACGAAGTCGTGAAGGTGGATGACATGTTGCTTGGTTTTTTCATAGTCATCCTGGGCAAAAGAAACGCAGCCAGCGATCTTGATGAAAGCCCCTTCAACCTGTGACTTCAAGAGCACATACGAATCAAGCAGATTTAAGGCAAAGATGTGCCTCAAATGCCTCAAATATCCTCAAGTTACAAACAGGTTTGTCAACGAACCTCGTTGCAGTTTGTTTCCCCAAATTTTCGGCATCCTTTCCACAATCAAAGCTGTCACTGTCCATTTCTATGGACATGAGTCATAGGGTAAGTGATGGGGCACATGCCCGGCCTAGATCATCTGGGTTGGTTGAACTACCCCATTACCAGTTGATTCAAATCCCCCTCTTGGTTCATACTCCTGTCCCTGTCATATAATATATACATAATCTTTTATAACTGGTTGGTGGTTTGAAAAAAAAACAAACATATATATATACATATTCCATATATTGGGAACAATAATCCCATTTGACTAATATTTTTCAGAGGGGTTGAAACCACCAACCAGATAATATATTACAATATAACTATAACATATGTCGTGTGTCATATGTCATATCATATCCCCAGACTTGTTGGTAGAAACCCTCATTTCTGTTGCTGGCTAAATCTCGACTAGGAAAATGTGTCCAAATTGCTTAATTACTCCCATTTTTGGTGATGACCCCCCCATTTGTTGGTTAAGACTCCGCTATTTGTGGTACATACTAGGTTTGCTGGTCACCTTAATATATTTTTGTTCGTTGCAACCCCTTCTTCCTGTTTGTGGAATCCTGTTTGGCTACGAATTCCACTTGACGGTGCAATCCCCCTTACTCCCCTCATGTTTTGTTTGTTGCTTGAACCACCAGCTTTGTGTTAGTCAAACCGCCACTTTCTTGCTGGCAAATTCCTGTGTGAAATCCACCATGGATCATAATCATCCATCCTTTATGGAATATTCTGTAGGTTCAATCCTCCATAGGCTCACTTCAGAGACCGTGGGTCCAGAATCCTTTGTGCGTCAGCTGGGCGTGGCTCAGCTGAATGTTATGCTTGCGCAAGGGCAGATGCTCACATATGTTCAGTCAGTCATGTTTGTTGTCAAGGTTTTGCCCATGGGAAGTATGGGAAGTCCTCCTCCAAATATCTCCAAATCATTAAATCTATCTCAAACAGTGAAGCATCCAACACAGTGGCAGTGGGAGAAGCTTCACCAAAACCTGGTGTGATCCTGGGAGGTTGATAGCGACACGCTTGCCCAGTGCCGTGGCATTCATGGCTTTGGTTTCAGCATGTTTCAGCACTTCCTGCAACAACAGGGTGCCAGGCTAAAATGATGCAAAAATACGTGTTATGTCCCATTCCCATGTTGTGATTGACGGTATTCTTCTTGGACATGTTAGGAAGGAAAACCATAGGCATTGCTCTTACTCGCCTTTAGCTCTGCTGAACTCCTTGAGAAGGCGATGGAGAGAGATTGCCCAATCAGCCTTGCAAAGCTGCACATGCTTGAAACAGAAGAGGATTTGCCACGCAAAACTGCTCATTTTCCTACAAGATTTACGGAAATCATGTTTGCCATGTTCTTTTGTTGCACAGGGTTCCCGCACTCAATTCTCATCAGCTTCACATTGACATGGACCGTGTTAGCCTCAGGTTGCTGGTGAACATTCGTCAAAGACGGCACGACAACAAGCTCCCGCCGGCGTAGCAACGCCACGATGTGTCACCGCTTTAGCCACCAGCTGGAGCATCGACTCGCATGAAGCTGTGGAGAAATGTGAAGGGCAGTGCGTACACTTTAACGGAAAGGTGGGAAACAGGCCTGCTGGAAGTACTAGTGAAGCTACCAATTTTTTAGGTGAACCGGTTCAAACAGGAATGTGATATCTTATTTCCCAGGTCCCGCGTTGAATCTCAAGTAATTAATTAATTGTACAACTTAGAGCCAGAGGGAGAGAAAGGGCTGGTGAGAACGAACTACGGCATTTTTAAGTAACCACCGCTACGTCCAACCCCGCAGCTTTGCACTGAGCGCCCGAAGACAAACCTTCCCAGCACAAACCATGCCGGCCCACTTGGAAGCAGTTCTTTGTTTCAATCAATTATCATAAAATCGGATTCAATAAAAAGCCACCAAAAGCGCCTACATTTCAAGGGTCGCTCAACATGCCCTCGGTTTCCTCGTATTTTTCCGCAACTGTGATTACTTATTCATATTGTTCCAATGTTTTCACATGTTTTCACCATCAGAATCAATCAATGAGATCACCCATATTTTCACGGTGAAAATCAACCCAGTGACCAGCTGCAGGGCCTCGTCTTGGTGGCCTTGGCACGACGTCAGGGGTGCGCCAGGGCAGCATGCCGGGTAGGGGGCACCTGCTGGGATCAGATGGTTGCTGATTTCATGCGCACAGACTCACAGACAGAATATGTAAATGAATGATAATGAATGTAATTAATTATATATATATATATATTATTATGTACAAGTATATGTATATATGACATAGCATTTCCTGCAGGTTTTAGCTGCGGTTTCAAACATGAAAGATAAAATGCAGTGTTTCAGATTATTTAGACAAGTCACAGTTTTTAAAACCAAACATGAAGCGGCACGCATGGAATTACGATTTATCAACCAAACCAGGCAAAGACATTTTGACAAACCGTCACGTATGTGTGTGTGTGTGCGTGTGTCTGTATAGATACCATATGATTGTACATGACCATATAGATTTGAAGAGAGAGAGAGAGAGAGTGGACGGTACCTGGTAAAATAAAGTTGGTTGGTTGTGTCGCATTGTTTTGGTTTGCCATCTCTGGTGTGCATGATTGGCACACTTGACTGCATTTGTTCGTGTGTCTTTTTGTAGGGTGATGGGTGGATGTACAGTATGGCGCTCCAACCACCAGCCAGGAAACGAAAACAAGCAAACGCTCAATTTCGAACATTGAAGGTGTAGTGCCTGTGAATTTCACATATGGATTTGGATTCAAACTGCGAGAACTTTCAACCTACTCCGATCAAAAGTCATTGCCACTGGGTAAGACCCTCCATGCATGTCATATCATGTCAGGAACAGATGCTGAAGTTTGCTCTTTCAATTTAAAGTTCAAGCTTGACTTGTCCAATTTGCAATGATTAATTTGTATAGTTTTCTTGATGACATTCGCATTTTACACCCTTTTGGTTCCAACATGTGATTGTAAATCAATTATTTGGTTATTTTCACCTGAAGTATTTAAAGTCATAACTCACAACCATCCAGCTCGTCCCATTTCCCCAGTGGTGTCGCCATGGCATCTCCACAGGCGACATGCTTTGGTGGTGCGCCGACATGCCGCTGGAGCACCTGAGGCGAAGTCGTATCAAAACATGAGGATTTAGCATTGGATTGGTTTAAGGGGGATAATTTAGTGCAAACCATGGTTGAAACCCATGAGGCCCATTGCACAGTTTTCTTATGTTTTCTTCCAATGTTCCCCCATTTGTCAGAAATTTCACAGGTGGATAGCTTGGGGGTGATTCTAGGAATGCACCCAACATGGCAAGATGTGGAGCATTGACTGCATTTGTCAGGAGCATTCTAAGAAGTCGGTAGGAATTTATAGCACTTGAAGCTCTATGATTCTATGATCATAAAGTTCGAGCACCCCAAGAAAGGAGGGACGTTCGAGTCGGTAATTGATTAGGGAACAGCATCCATGAGCGGCCTATGTCCTATGTGCATCATTCTTCACAAAAGTAGTATGTATGATATTCCCAACAAGGGGAGGGAGAGAGAGAGAGAGAGCGAGAGAGATTTCTCCCAACAATACAGTTGCAACAACCAGCAACCTCTATAGGTGGATCTATTCAGCACTTTAGCCCAAAACTCCTGGGAGGTGCTTTTCCGAACATCCTCCGTGGTTCTCAGCGCGACTGGATGAAAATGTTGGCCGCAAGTGTAAGACGTCGGTCGAACAGACGTTGGCGGTTCAAAGTTTGCTTAGTGCAGCTGAAAGATTGCAAAAACAAGTTTGTAAAGAAAAGACCTACTGCATGGGGGTGCCTGGCAACCAAGATTGTGCAAGAAATCATCTCCAGATGGCTGAAGAGTTCTTTCACCACTCTTCCTGGAGTTTGATTGCGAAGGATTCATCCGCCATCATCCGCCATTTTGTTGTGACCAAACTCAGCTAAGCATCAAAGGTATTGCAAAGTGTTGTTTGCTTGGGACCTTATCATGGCAAAATATGATTGGTTTTGCTGTGGCTCAAAGCGGAATCGTCAGCATGGCAACTCGAAAGCAGAAGATTCTGGAAGATCTGGAGGAATTACAAGCTACTTGCAGGAATGGCACATTTCCTCAACTTGAACGAACTGACTTCAATGACGACACGTTGATCTTCGAGGTTCAAAATGTGGGCGAATTTACCGCCTGCTTAGCAGATCCCTATCCTTCAGGAGAGACAGAGGTTTACGGACCTGGTGATTTCGAGTTCCGCTCGGCAGGGACGATCTTAGACGTCATTTTAGGTGAGCAGTGTCAAAAGCCAGTGTTGGACATCAAAATCACTGGTTGTTGGTCGTACTACAGGACTACACGACGATACCGCAAATATATATATATATATATACATACCTGGAGAATCAAAACCCTAATCAACACAAGAACCTGAGGTAGAAAAAATAAGAAAACCATTAGAAAATCCCAGTTTTCGATTGAAGACCTCGGGTATTGATTTTGAACCCGTACTGCTATCTAACCCGTACCTAACCCATACTTAACCCGTACTAACCCGTACCTAGCCCGTACCTAACCCCTACCTAACACGTACCTAACCTGTACCTAACCCGTACTTTCAGAATGGGTAAAAATACCTCGGGTTTTGTCGGAAAAACTCGGGTATTTTTCAAACCCTAAGATTTCTGCCGGTTTTGGTTCTCAAGGTATGTATATTTATTATACCGCCTTCACCTTCCAATACCTTCTTTTTTTGGGGTTCTGCATATTTACAGTACCAGGTTCTGCTGGGAGAAACCCGGTTTTAGTAAATTTGATATGTCTTACTTATCCAGCAATAGAAGCTTTGATTCCTTAAGTCACTACTTGGTAGATCCTTAAGTCACTAATTTCTCAACCCACAAAAAAAGTAGGTTAAGGGTTGTGTATCCAAACTTTGGCAATTGTCAACAACTGTAGCGCGATTGATCGGCGATTGATTAGCGGTTGGCGGTTGAGGAAGTTATATGTGAGAGAGCTTTAATACAGTCATACATGAAAGAATATTTGGCTTGTTACCTCCCAGATGTGTTTGCATTAAATGCCAGCTACCAAACTAGCAATTACTTGTTAAAACTAGAAATTACTTGTCGGTCACAGAGAGCTCCCTGCATTACGACTCATGTCCCGTGTGTGTTCAAGATATTCAAGCGCTACACAGAACAGCAAGGAAGAGGAAGGGCAAGCCTAACAAACAGACCGCAAAGATCGCACAGCAACAAGCTATTCAATGTCTTCGGACAGTTTTCCAAGCTATGCACGATTGACAGGCAATTGAGTAGATTCATGTAGATTCAGGATTGCTCCAACCTCCAACCAATAGCAGCCAACCTCCAATGATGATCGCTGCACAGCCCTGGATATAAACACATCAATGTAACAGGATACGACGAAACCAGACGCTTGGATTCGTGGTTGGTATATGTTGGTATCGCGGTTGATCGGAGCTTGTAGCTACCCCAGGAACCTTCATATAAATTCAGATTGATTCAGGTTGATTCATTTTATTTCATAGATCAACATCAATTAGATTTCTCATGTTTCTCTTGGTTTCTCATGCATCCGCAACCTGAGGATATTTGGTCAATTTTGGTCACATGTCACCAGAGTTTTCCCCCCAGGTGTCCTCGAAGAGGTCGATGATCCCGAGTCGCCCAGTGGAGTGGATGCCTCCTGCGCCTCCTGGATCGTCTCGGAGATGGCGCCTGAGGCCTCCTTGGATCACGACGTGCGCGCGGCACAGAAGATGCTGGGAGACTCCGCGGTGATGCTGACGCAGCTGGGCATAGAATATTGGCGCGTGCGGCTCTTGGTGAAGGTTCAGCACCAGAATTTGAGCACGCCACTGGGTGGAGTGATTATTGCAGTTTCGCTGGTGGATGTGGTTTTTTTAAAGTCTGTTTTGCGACGATGTAGCACCAAAATGGGATTGTTGAGACATAATTAGAAGATATTAGAAGATTATTTGAAGTATGCTTGCCTTAAGGTACCTTGGGGTACTTGGGTCATGTATTCTTTTGGCATGATGATCCCCTGTTGTGTTCTTGCTTATCTATGCTTGTCTTCTTTTGGGCCGATTGGAGCCCTGGCAAAGACTTTGTTTGGGTGGCTGCTCCAAGGAGTGTATGTTCGGCCTGGGGGCTAGATCCCAGACTACCTCTTTGTGTAGAGCTTCGCTTGCCCACCTCTGGCTACACCTTCGAGTCAGTGGGCAGGTGTGTGGTGCAACGGATTACACAAGAAGGATTTGAGGACTTCGCACTCGAGTCTCAGTTGGTGCAAATTCTTGGAGATTTCTGCCAGCTGTGTCGGGATGGCTCTTGGAAGAATTGGTCACAAGATTCTGTGGAGGTTCCCGAAACCGATTCGGAAGAGAACCAACTCTACTACGAGTCCAAAAAGAAACGGCTGATTGTAGACGCGATGAACAACAAAAACTCTGGCTTCCTGGTGTGCTTAGCAAATTACTTGCAGCTTCGAGTGCCAACCATGCACGAGTTTTGTGCGATCTGTGACAAGGCCTTTAAGCAACCACCCATGATGATGAGGACTGTTTGTGCGGAGGAGCTTTGTACCTATCAATTTGGCGAGTTTGGCAGCAAAATCACTACCGCTGAGTCCGTGAACCATCCTTCCGAGATTCTGGACTTGCTGGTGTGCATGCTGACAGCTGCCGCAGAACATTTGCGCCGGAAGGACATTTTGGATCCGTTCCCATTGGTCCAACTCCCAGGTCAAGGCACCATTCTTCATCCACAGGAGAAGAACTTCGAGAGGCTGCTGCCCATCGTGGCGGAGCTGTTTAAAGTGAGATCCATGTGGGGCAAAACCATGGGAGCATCCTGGGCCACACAGACCTCTGCAATGTCTCCGGAAGCTGCAGCACTGCTAAAGTGGACCGTATCTTCAAATCGCTCATACCTGGCCCCCTTGGAGGACCGCCTCACTGTGGAATCATGCACTTAATTGCACTTATATAGTGCAGGTAGATGGATTAGAACTCAGTGTGCTTCAGAGTGGGTCACTAGATGCTACATGATGCTACTAGATCGTGGACTTGTTGAGTCATGTCATGCAAGGACAGCCAGCGCATAGAGGCCTTCAGGAGCACACCTGCGCAGTTACTGCAGGTATGAGTTTGCTTCATTCACGGCATCCGGCCACGGGAAATATGCCAAGAAAATTTAGTAATTAATATTAATTAATATTAATTACATTGTTACATTGTGATGTTTTATTTTTCTAAGATCGAACATGTTCGAAGTACTTTCCCTTTGACAAATGCAACCGTGTATGCAGGAAATCTGTTGTAACGCGGCTTGGATCAGGACACCCTTCCAGTACTTGCTGCTTTCTGCTCCTCCCGAGAAGGAGACATTGTCCAACAGCGCCAGGGATCCCCACATTTGGATGCACCCACCCAACGCAGTTTCTTGATTGTTGGATACCCGGGACCCAGTCGCCCATTGTGGGAGGAACAACGTTTTCAAGAGCTCAAGAAGCAGTTTGGCACTTCATTTGCCTTCCATGGCCCGGGGGCTGAGGGGATTTTGGTCAGATTCGGTTCGTGGCAGATTTGTAGCGCTAAAACACCTCCATTTTGGGGCACCGAACCTCGAGCTCTCCCTCTGGGTCGCAACTAACTGGGAGGCAGCTCAGCAGAGAATTGGCACTCGATTCTGCGGAATGGTTTGAAGCTGCTTGGAGCGAATTGGTAGAACAGTTGATCGGAATATGGAAGAAGTGTGAAGAAGTAATACAATTTGCATCAATTTACAACACGAATTTCAAACTTTTAGGATGAGTTGGAAGACGATCAAATCACCGTCCCCAGCCAGGAACGCTTCCTATACGAAGTTGATGACTGCGGGAGCTGCCCATGGTCCTGGTATTTACCTGGCTACAGAACTTGGGCGATGGATGTTGGTCAAGGGGACAACACTGTGGGAACAACAGTATGGGAAGAACCGATACATTCAAAGATGGTTTATTAAAAAACGAAAGGTTTGAAGAGTGAAAAACCATTGTGATTGTCGACTGATGTTGAATCATTGAACAGTTGTGGATGAGAGTAGGCACGGCGTTTTAGTGAGTTTGGTAGAAAACATGCTCTGTTTTTGCGTGAATGTATTGACCAAGGACAGCAAGATATCCTTTCATTACACCCGTTCTCTAAAGAGAGCAGCAGATCAGCCGGCGCCATTGAAACGACAGCGAACGGGTAGCTTGGTTTGTCCGCTTTGTCAGTTTGTGTTGATCTATGTTTCCCGCGCGGCTAATTTCAACATAATTCAACGCTGCCTTTTGAGGTATATAGAATAGTTGCATATAGTTGCTCCACAGAATAAGTGATGTTCATGAGGAACTCATGAGGAACATCAGGGATGCCACATTGCCCAAAAGTGGCTGGAGCCAAGATGGCTGGAATCCCTTTTGGATTGGATTTGTCTGAAAGTTTAGGGTGCTCTCAACATCCAATCATTGATCAATGTTGATCATGATCATATCATTGATATTCAATGATATTCATTGTTATACTATACAACTATATAATATAATATAATATAATATATATAATTATATGACTATATGTCCTTTCTATTTATTTGTTATTAATTTCTGTATCATTTGTTTTTGATGATGATCAAATCCTGTTGGAATTTGCCATAAAAAAATTGTGATCCAAAAATTTGGAGCAAGCCATTGAGGCAACCGCTTCGTGGACAACACCGGCGGCCTGGCGATGATGGCCATTTGCGAGGCCTGCGACTCAGAAGATACTATACAAATCTATACAACACATTCTAATGGTAGAGTATATATGAGGGATTTGTGAGGGATACTATACTAATTACTATACTATACTATATTATACTATACTATATTATACTATACTATATTATACTATACTATATTATACTATACTATATTATACTATACTATATTATACTATACTATAGTGTGATATACTATATTATACTATAACATACTAATGGTTTCCAATTATCTAATGGTAGAGGATATGATATGCCCCCAAGAAACTCTACCGGTTAGGAAATGGAGCCTCTGGCAGAGGTCCGGGGAGCCCCAGTTTTTGACCGGCCTCAGGTGATCTCGGACCAAGAGAAGCTGAAGAAACCCAAGAACGGGACAGAAGGGACCGGGCCGAGTTTCTGGGTGATGCAACGATATGCAACGCACAAACGTCTCGTGACTTACCAAGATCAATTTGGATAGCTATACAGTGCTTCGGTTCATCATAATTGTCCTGTGTTGTTGAATTGGTGGTGTACTTGCACTTGTATCAATTGATGGCATAGTTAATTGTAATATTTTTGCAACATGCAGCTCACACTTGTTTGATTGCTGGCGATCGCCGGTGTAGAACAAAACGCATGCCAAAAGCCTCCGCCGGAGGATTTGGGTGGCGACCACTGAAGAATTGGTTTGCACCCGCTTCTTCCTGGTCTTCGAAACGGTTCCAGAGGTGGGGCGGCATATCTTCGGCAGAGGCTGCACCCAGAAACACTGATCATACATTGACATTCTACATACCAATACCAAGTTCTAACCTGAGCTCCTACCCATGGTGGAAAGATCAAGAGAACAGATTGCTTGGGATTCCAATTTCACCAATGTTCCGCCACACTGTGGAGATGTTCCTTTGACTGCCGTGCTCGGAGGAGAACGTGAAAATTTCAGCTTTGGAACAGGACGGGATGTGGCGAGTGTCCAGGCATGCCTATTGGCGGATGGGGAAACTAAATCATGGTTGACGGGTAAATCACCACACTTTGACGGAAAACCGCCTACAAATGACAGATTTTCCATCGTCAGATTCGCTTGCTGTGTAATGGGGATATGACAGTCTTGCCGTTTTTTTGTGATGGAGAGGAGTCCAACAGAATCCCTGTTGTGAACACAAACTGTGGCAGGACCTTCGCACCTTGGCTGAAAAAGTCCGAGTCTTCTAAGTGCGAGCTCTGCAGATGCGCAAAAAGGAATCACTGAAAATCAGTCAGAAAAGGAAGCAGAACTTGAGCCAGAGCAATGCTCGGCATGTTCGGGCTTCGAGCAGAACACGATCTCGTCAAATTGTCGGATCTCGAAATGGATTCTGGGGCTGTGGGCTCCGATCGGCAGAGTGTACAGAGGAGCGCTGCGAGGGTTCCTTTCAAAGGAAAAATTGCGAGTTGCTCTGCTGGATGTTTCTTGCGGGCTGCGCGATGGTTATGTTCATCGAAAGCACAATTTTCTTCTTAATTACTACATTGGTTGCTGTGGGTCTACAATATCAAGGTGCTTTGGGGCCGGCTGATGCAACAATGTTTTCTGCCAAGCTGATGTGGTGTAATTACTGGACATTCGCACAAAGCCCAATAATTTTAGAACCAACACCCACCAACCAACCATTGCAATAGATTTCTGGAACTGTTCACTTTGCTCGGTTCCATTCCCTGTGGTCCTTGCAACTGCAATGCAACACCCTGCATCAGTAGTTACGGAGTTACGATTGCAACAACCAGCTGTGTGACTCAACCTTCTTGGCCCAAAGCTGTAGGTTCGAGGCCATCAATTTTTCCGATGGTAGAGTTATAGGAATGTAAATTGAACATAATTGAACAACATGGGGACATCACACACATGTCCAAGATGACGTGAAAGGTTGGACAGCAATCAGTGGCTCATGCCTGAAGTGTTCATTGCTTTTAACCTTTCCCGCTGAACGCCCTCGGTTGAATTCCACAAAGATGCTGGGTCAGTGGATTGACTGGTTGTTTGCTGTTGCATGCTGCGCAGTGAGCCTCAGCTGCCCTAATTTTACTCGATTTTACTCGAGTTCCTGTCTTCCTGTTTCAATTTCGGGTTTCCTAGAAAATCGCATGCCCTGAAAACCTCCAATGGTTTATCATCACGTTCCTGAATGACATGGCAGGGCAAATATGATATGGACATAATATATGGGCCATTTTTAGGCAAACCCAGTTGGTTCATGGTGGGTGACTGTTTCCGAGTTCATGCCCTGGCCCACCCTGTTTGCTTTGCGTTTTGTTCAACCTTGGTACGGTGAGCACAGCCCCAGGCTAAGGGCGACCGCAAGCCCTTCTGTCTTCCCGCAAAATTGCGCCGACTGCGTTAGCAGGAGCCGGTCCCAATGGATCCCAATGGCCTCAAAATGGTGTCATCATGGCCGGCCATCCCGGCCATCCATGGCCATCCCAGGGTCCCCTGAAAACTGGCAGGACTTGGAGCTGCCGCAAGAGCTGCCGACCCAGTGATACCAAACTCTTGGAGTTTGATTTTCAGTACAAAGAGCTGCCATGTCGGGAGGTGATCCCTTGGAGACTTTGCTGAAAGGTGCCAGTGGGATTGGCTTGGGATTGTGACATCAAACCCGCCACAGAGCCATAGGTGTAGGGTTGCCCGCTGCAAAAACACTCTGCAACCAAGGAACGAGAGTTCCTTGCAGATAGACACTGATCTTTGGTGCCTTGTATGCAAACGGAGGCTGAATGTGTATGGAGGTTTGCAGCTGGATCTTATCAAGCTGCGTAGCTAGCTATTCGGTTGTCGATCCAACTTAGAGGTCAATGCTGGTTGGTAAGTTTTGTTGATATACGGGAATATGTGTGTTTTCCCGCTTCCTGCGTTTACTTGTTGTTGTTTCTTTCGTTTTATTTCTTCTTTTTCTTCTTCTTCTTCTTTTTCTTCTTCTTCTTCTTGTGGTTGTTGTCGTTATTGTTTTGGTACTGTTTTGGTTGCAGATCCTGGACCCCGCAGAAAGCTGATTCCTGACTTTCCAGCGAGGTGCACATATCCGAGAGTGGCAGGTTGCGACTTCTGGGGCTACTGCAATCCGTCGATTCTTTGCTGAAGTCCTTGTCATTTCATTTCTATTCATGATTTTCTTTTGCAGGCAAGCACAGGTTGGCCCCTTAGGTTTTGGACAGGGCCCAAAGCAATCCACCATGGTCCATCATGGTCCATCATGGTCCATCATAGCATGTTTCTCTCAAAGGCAGTTCAAAATGCTGGGGACTGGGAGCTTCCCATTATTTTGGATAGATGTGGAATGATATGGATAGACTATCAATCCACAACATTCGCATCAGTGATTTTCATGATACACATATTTGCCCGCCACACAGGATCAATTGCCGAAACATGAATCGGCCCCTCGGCGGAAAAGATGGGTGGCGATGGTTCAGCCCGGTTCCTACACTCCGGTGGTCATCCTGTCCATACGGTATGTGTGAATTACATTGAATCGAGAATCATAGTAATTTTTATATTTATATATATTATTTTTTTACACATATGTATATATATATATAGAGGCATACAATTGCTATGACGTTGGGGCTGGCTGGGCCCCAAGAAATTGTAGGGTCAATCCACGTGGTTTCCCCTTTTATGGAATGGGTTGGAACGGTTGGAACCTCCTGTTCCACGAATCTCCTGTAATTAATCTATGTGGAAATATAACTAATAGTACCAATCCAACACTGTTAAGGGGGATGTTCAGCATAAGCAGATGCTGCAATACTGCTGAAGGTATGCGCCTCCCCGCATCGTTTCGGCTATGGACTGCGAGAGTTCTGCTTCTGTGTCCAGTTTGGTGGTTGAGACTCTTGGTATCCGTTGGCCATTGATGCCAACTGACTAGTGCAGTTGGGAGGTTGACTTTTTTATTGAAAGAACTTCAAGACTGACCTGCCAATTATCAACAACAAGTTCGAAAAACCATAAGCTTTATGAGAGTTTTGCTTTCTGGCAGCAACAATTGGAGGCAGTGATATGTGGTGATCTACCTCTGTTTTCATTATATGCAATACGTGTAGTACGTATGTTTATATATATATATTTATTTATTTAATTATTTATTTAGTTAGTTAGTTATTTATTTAGTTATTTGTTTATTTATTTAGTTATTTGTTTATTTATTTATGGTTATATGTTATATGAATCCACCTTCCCAGGAAGTGCTACTGGCACTGCAAGCACCAGAGACCCGTGGCGCGATGCGTCGTGTCTTTTGACTCGCTGGGCAAGTACCGGATGCAGCACCTGGGAAAAGATGGAGATTTGGGGTATTTGGGGGATTTGTTGGCCATGGGTCAGGCAGAAATCATCAGAGAAGCCTTTGTTAATCTTTGTTATGTTGATATTTGTTACTCTGGATGGCGAAAAACTCAAGAGAGATCATCATGTCCCTAACATATGGATAAACTAGAAAAGATATCTCAAGATGGAAGAAAAAACACCGTGAAACCGCTCATCCATCACTCTTTCTAGGGGCTAAGCCGTTGGCTGGATTCATCCTCTGGCTGAACTCTTGCAGAGGGCGGCGGAAAGAGAGACTGGAGAGATTGATGGATCAGATATGATGAGGTTTCAGATTGATCAGATTGTGGTATCATGTTGTATCATGCGCCATGACTTCGTAGCCAGCTTCAAACGGTTTCCCCAGTGGTATCTTCTTGCCGCCAACCACCAAGCGGGGAACAGTGCTTCAGGCAGAGGCTGGACAAATGTTGGATCCAGGACAGTGATTTTGGATCTGGAGAGATCTGGGGAGCTTTAGGGAGCCGAAATTGGTTCCAGATTTCATGATTTGAATGGTGATAGAGCCATCATGCAGATATCAAATGATATATAAATGATATAGAGGGATATATCGCAAACAATGTTAGGCACAGACTTTACAGCTGTTGATCCCAGAATCTCCAACGTGATACTTTTGCCTTGCTTCCAAGCCCAGTCACAAGTGGATAGATCGCAGCCTGTGCTAGGAGAAATGCCAAAATCGCAACATGAAAGCGAAAGCCACCTGCAAACCTGAACCTCCACCGGCTGACCTGCCAAGTGTCCCCCGGCTTCAGCGGTGTGGACCATGACATGCCATGACCAACACGGGGATTCATAGTGGAAAAGTCCCACGTCCGAAGACTTCACCGATACGATTGTTTTTGTATGTTTTTGTTGTTGCTTGAGCATCTTCGAAACGATCGGTTGCGATTCTCGATCCTCCATGTTGATCAGCACTGTACAGCACTGTTCCAAGGTAGAGGTCTCGGGCTCAATGATGCTCCTGGTGAAACAACGCGCGAAGTTCTTGGCTCAGCCAAATTTGAATTTTGCCCTGCAAGATGCGATCATCAGAATGGCACCTTGGCCAGCACGAGGGCAGCATATTTGGATGTCACATGTCATATGACATCCCATTTAAATTTTAGATGTACTGTATATATATACATATCCATATGCATATGGATATATAGTGGTACACACACACATATATATATAATATAATCAATTATAATAATCATATTTGGTTGGTGGTTTGGAACATGTTTTTTCCCCATATACTGGGAATAATCATCCCAACTGACTAATATTTTTCAGAGGGGTTGAAACCACCAACCAGATATATATATATATGTATAATATCGACAAGAGAGAGAGAGAGAGATAGGTATATATATACATATACATTATACATTATATACACATTATACATACATTATATATTATATATACATTATACATTATACATTATACATCTCATCAATATGTCAATATGCGTTATGTGAAGCCAAAATCGACTCCACGGCCCCGCAGGTCCCGCAGTGCGACTTTGGCCACATCTTCGTCCAAGCGCAGTGGGAGGTCCCCCCAGAGCGTAGCAACCGAAGTAACGCAGTGAAGGTGGGGAGTCCAAGGCATACACAGTGTCTACATATGTGTGTCCGTATGCGCATATAAACATAGGAAACACTATTTAAGTAAATGATGATATTCACATACTCACACAATGTTATTATATTATCTTGTCTGTATTTAAACAAATATATATATATACACTGAATTGTACTGATAGGTGTTGGTAGAACGTGGTCCCGTGCCTGCAACTCCCCCCGTGCCTTGAGGTGGACTTCAACATGTCGGTGCTGGCCGATGACCATGGCACCTCCGATGAGCGCGCGCTGATAGCGGAAATGGCGCTGCAGAATGTCTCCGATGTCAGGCTGCTGGAGGCGGTGAATGGTGGCCTCTCATCCGAAGGCGCTGGGATGCGCTGGGGAACACCCCATTTGGTCTGCATCTGCAGATAGCCCCAAGGCCATCCCAAGGCCCCAAAAATTTTGTAGATGTGTCCTGCAGGTTTGAAGTTCCTGGTAGATGATGCCACCTTGAACGTGCAGCCGGTGAGGCTGAATGAGACACTGCAACGAGGTCCAGGCTCGCAACAGGAGAGCAGCGGTGCTGAAGCGGGTAAAACCGTTCGCTTTTGGTGAGTGGGCAGATATGGGAGATACAGCATCACCATGATGCATACATAATCATACATATATATATATATATGCTAACTACTGCACCGAATCAATCCAGAAATTTTGGGCGCTTGATATGTTTCACGACGATTTGTTGGGAACAAAGTGTGAGCTGGGACAGGTCTGCCTTGTTTCTGCAGGGTTGCCGGATGGCAAGATGTTTTAAGTTAAAGAGTTAACGGCAGGAGTTCTTTGAGACTGTGACGATGATGCGCTTTTACCAAAAGCATTTGGAGGAGGCAGGGCCTGGTTCTGTGGCAGCCTTGTATGCACCGTAGAGTAGGAGGTTGCTTAGGAAACACGCCGCCCCATTAGGCCGCAACTTATTCAGAGGATCACGCAGAAGAGAAGTGTTCCATAGTGTTCCAACAATCAATGAACTATATGCACTAAAGAGTGGGGCCAGAGGGCGGGTGGTTTCAAATTTGTTTGATTTCCAATGATTTGCCATCCTCACTTGGCACCTGGAATGCCTGGAATGATTACACGTACAACCCATGACAAACCCAAGTGACTCACCAGACTAAAAGGTGAGCAAAATCCAACTTGCAGATCCTCGAAAGGTGGGATCTGAGCTGCAAGAACTACAGGCTGATTTGAAGTCGCAGACGCTGGGCAAGCAGAAGACTGCCCATTGATGTACTGTACATGCATATATATATAGATGTAGCATATATATATATATATACACACATACGTGTATATATATATGTGTGTGTGTGCATTGTATAGGTATACCATGGTATACCTTTGTTTAAAACTATTTTGGATATATATATATACACATTGCTAATAAAATGTGGCTGAGGTATCAACAAGTGGTAGTAGGAAGGACGTCGAAAAGGAGTGACTCTCACCTGGAAATCGATGTGTGATTCAAATGATCAAAAGTCAAAAGAATAACTCCATGACATGCGGGGCACTTCTTCACAGTGACGGCTTGGTGTGAAAAGTCCACACAAGACTTTCCATGTTTGCCAGATGCTAAAGGCAAAAGTCCAACTTGTGGTTCTCAACGCGGCTCAGGAATTCCCAAACTCTGCCAGAAAATGTGCGAGCTAAGCAAAGTGCAGCAGCCAAGCGCCTGTTGCAGCCTGAGGAGTCGTGAGGGAAGAATTCAGAGAGGGTCACATTTGCCCAGCCGATTCAAGTTTATTCACCCTTTGGTCACTCACGTGCCAATGGAAAACCCACATAAAATATATCAAAATATCATAAAATACCAATGTTAGTGGCTGACTAATCTACAAATCAATGGATTTTTGTTCAAACATTTCGAAACACCCATCCACACATAAAGGGATGTTGGACTGATTTCCATTGATTTCCCAGCCATTTGACGATGTTCAATTGCTGCCTGGTGTCCAACATGTCCACTGAGGTCGCAAATCATGGCCTCGCAGGATCAGATGTCGAGCTATGTGGCACAGGCCATCACCAGGCGAAGCATGGGAGTGGCGGAGTGGCATGGGGGCATCATGCCATGGTCAAAGCTTGGGCAATGTGGTAAACCCAATGCCATAAACCTCCAAGGATGGTTTATACCGCGGGGAAGGATGACCATACCCCATATACATCCATATTTATATATATATATTATTATATATATATTTAAATATATATATATTATAATATATATATATATATATGTTTATATTATATATTATATATTATATATTATATATTATATATTGTATATTGTATATTGTATATTATATATTATATATTATATATTATATAATATTATATGTTATATGATATTATATATTATATATTATATTTTATATATATATATACATACATACAGTATATCGCCATGTTTTGACCATGGCACATGTGTGTGTGTGTGAAAGTGGGGTGCTCGCGCAAATTTCCAATCCAATAGGGAAAATGATGAGAAAACCATGGATTTAGGGCTGCCCTTTTTTCAGACAAACCCATATGGGTATGACCGTGTGGATCAAACTTGGGGTAATGGGGCCCACCTGTGAGTATCAGTTGGGGTGTCAATAATTTAGATCCATACCATCCCATACTCACAGTTTGAAAATGATCCAATTTGAGGATGAGCATGAACTCATGGTCACGGATGGCGCCGATTTTGGGCAACTGTTTCAGCAAGTTCTGGCGGTTTTGAAGATGTTCCACATGATTCCACTATCCGTCCTTGTTTGGGATCGTGACTCCAATTCATGCAGTAGTTTTTCAGAGGTTAAAACCACCCTGCCGAATTCTTTGTGGTGATCTCATCTCGGAATCGCGAGTAGAAGCCCCTTCCAGGCACAGCTCCAACAGCGAAGCTTTCCAGGATGCCTGGAACAGGTCACAAGCTGTTGAGTCCTGGCTGCAGCTTCCAGTACTTGATAAACGGGAACCCCAAAGGGCCCCAAAGGGACACGAAGACAAGAAACATCAAGAAAGTAAGTGCAATTCGCATCAACTCACAGGATGTCAGTTCATGTTCCTATCGCATTAATTATATTAGTTAGCTATTTGGAAGATGAGGAAGTTTTTGCCTCAGCACAAAGGAAAGAGGAAAACCATGGTAATTGGGACATACCATCCAAATCCTGGGCCTTGGGCATAGTTGGGTGTGCCAAAATGAGGATACTTAATGTTCAAAATGGATCAAAATGGGTTGTTCATCATATGTATATATATATGATATCATATGTGCGTGTTTCAAAACATGCGTTTAAAAAAGAGAAAAAGTGACGCCGTCACTGAGGCCCTGGAGTTGGCGGCAGCCAAGGCCAACTTGTCCTCCACCAAGGCAGGGGCGAAGGGTTTTGGAGCTCGACGTCAGAGGAAATAAATTTGCAGCGTATTTAAACCTAGTTGCGATATGTCATTACATGTGAGATAGTTTTGTTTACTACTTTACCATGTTTACTCCAAAAGCATCCCAAAACCAGGCCATGAATGGCGTGGGAGTCACTGCGAATTTTCCTGAACTATACCTGGTTCTTGTTTCCTGCCATCCTTTGACCCAACATAGCAACCTCGGAAGGCGGAGCTTGCAGAACTACAAGCCAAACGCTTCCGAGCAGAGCAACGCAGCAGCAGATCTCCCCCTCGGTGACACCTTCCTGTTACATCCTGTTACCCATGGTTACCCCCAAATTCAACTCTGTATCATCATGTTCATATCATTTATTTTCATCACGTTCCCCGTTCAACGTGCCTTTTCGTACCACCCCCTTTTTGGAAGGTGTTCAGCTCGTTCAGCTCGGAATGGCTCCTGATACCTGCGGTCAGAATGAGAGCTTTGGAAACAAACACCGCCCTTTTTTCAGTCAATTCAGGCACACATCTGCCATGGGTCCTCAAAGGAATTGTGCACAACAAAACCTGAGCCAGTCCTGATCCGAGGCAACAGGCCCTGGAAGCGTTGAGACAACAAGGAAAGCTGAATACCAGATTGAAGGCACTGCTATGCGGTTGTTGAATGGACCTGGGAATTTATGCCATGTAGATTTCAGGGGATTGCAAACGTTGTCTTTGGACCCCAGAGGGTTTCGTTTTGATGAGGTTCCGTTCCGTTTTGGCAGATCTGCTATGATCTGCTTACATGAAAAGGATTGATCCCCAATTTGTGAGGCCAATGCCACCAGGTTGGCCCGCTCTGTTGCTGATGCAGAGGAGGAATCTGGGTGGCAAAGCTGTTTGATGATTTTGATGTTGCACGGACCACATGGATTTAATGCATCCGGATTGTCAGGCCCTGGGACAAAATGAGTAAAATCAATCAGGATCCAGCCCATATGGATCCATACGGCGCAAGGTTTTACAGGATCATACAGGATCAACATTAAACATCACCAAAAGGGTGCAGTAGATGAACATTTACCATGGCATTGACACATCACCCATCGTGAATCATCACTCATTGCTGAGGAGTTGGAATACCTCCAGGACCAATTCTTAGAAACCCAACATGATCACACCGAAGCCGAGAAGGAGTTCGGTGGAGGGGACGGTGCTTCAACATTTCAGACATTTTAGGACCCAGAGTCATTTTCAGACCAGCATCCCTCGAACTAGATCGACTGGGGGGTTATGGCAACTCTGCTGATGTTTGGGGAAGCTTTGGAACGTACTCTGGGATATGCTTTGGGGCACGAGCTACAGCAAGAGCCCCGGGACTCTTTAGAAGCTGAGATGTGGATGTCAAAAGGTTTGTGCAACGGCAACTCCACCATGTCACGAAAGCTAGCTTCTGCTAGCTGAAGTCCCTCTTGCTATTGGGGGGCTCCCCCCTCTGGCCTGACTAATTATTACGCAAGCAGTTTGGCCGTGGCTCGAACCTTGTGGGGACACCAGCAGCATGTCGCCACCGGCAGCAAAACCGGCAGCATCCGCATCCTCAGCATCATTGGCGTCGTCTACAGCGCATGCTTCAAGTCACTTGTGTAGCCTCGCTCACTATTGGCATGTTCATGATGATTGATGATGGCTAGCGGCTAGCTGCTAGTAGCTCTTAAAAACGTAGCTTCATTTTCATTTTGAACCTTCACATGTAGTTTCCAGACAGTTCTCACAATGGCAAGAATTAGCAAGCTTGTCTTTGACACAATATTCCTTCATACAGATGAGTTTGCAAAGATCCTTTTGGAGCAATTGCACTGGCATGCTTCCGCTTTTTGTCCTCATTACATCCTACCTAGCCGCGCTTCCAACATCTTCTTCTCTTGCAACTTCTAAGCCTTGACCGATGCTGAAGGTGGACCCTTGAATATTCTTCCCGTTTAGTAACCACTAAGCTACTGAGCGGAAGTGTCCTCATTATGTTTACGTGCGTGATATATAATCGTGTCCTCTTCATATGTGACATTGATCCCCCTTCAATGTGTTCCGTTCATTCCATACCAAGACATGGAAAGTCGTGTCTTCGACACCATATCCCTTAAAATTCCCTTAATACAGATGAGCTTGCGAGTATAGTGGGTGTTTTCGTGCCAAGCCCCCTGCCAAGCTACTGTAGTTTTCGTTCATTAACCCCTGGGCCTCAAGTTTGGTTGCTCATTTCAAGCAAGCAGTGACCATGCACTCAGAGCGTTTGAAACCCATGGAGGAACTCAGTGAAGCGGAGAAGGCGCTGCAAAAGGACCGGGGAAGACCCGACAGACCATGTTTGGCATCTCTCTATCCTTGCCACAGTATGTGCAATGCAGTAACTGTAGCATGATGTAGTATGCGGAATTTATGGATGATTCTGAAAATATCATTTGGGCATATGTATGTGTGCAACAAGTTGATATCGAAAAATACTTTTATAACCTTTCAGGTAACATAAGATGAATTTGCTTACTGTAACTATGTTTAGTCTGCATTTTGATAAACATTTTGGCAGTGCAGCCTGATATTAAAACACCATCAACCTATCGCGTGCTGCAGTTGCAGGAGATCAGCGAGCACGGCCAAACGCTGGAAGAGTTGGAATCTGTTCAGCTGGCTCAGAATTGACGGTGAAAGAGGGTGAAAGGGTGGGCCATCAAAAGCATCCTGTGTGTGTGGTGAGCCACCTGAATGTTTTGCGAAAGGAGCTGGGGATACAGTAGTTGAATGAGTAGTTAGGGCATAGATTGCTCCCTCCTTGCTGAAGTTCTTGCTGCTTGACCAAGACGCTCTGGCCTCCGTCCTGGGAAGATGTGCTCAAGACTCACTAAAGTCACCCCTGAAACCTTCCATATGGGCCAGGCAGACCGGCGAATCTCAAGAATCACTTTGAGTTTTGGCCTTGTCATGGGCTGCATGGCCATCATCATCGTGGCACTTGGAAGTGCTTTGGTCGTTGCCCAGCTGCGTTTGAACCAAGAAAAACAGGAAGGCCTTGCTTCCTACACCTTTTTACCTTTCAAAAACAAGTCCAGGGGTTACAAAAAAGTTCAGACAACAATAACTCCAAGTCAAAGCACAGCAAAAGTGAAGACGGAGGAGGACTTAGATGAGGATTTCAAAGCATGTGACGTCAATGGCTGAGAAACTTTTATATGAGATTATATAAGTGCCACAAGTGCCCTGTCCTTTGCGGCTTGGGTCCTTCTGGGCACAGAAAGGTATGTGGCCGACAGAAAGCCGCAGATATCTCTGTGATGCCGATAGCCGAGGGCGCAAGCTGGGCACTTGGTTCGCAGCCTACAAGGGAAAACTAACATGGCAAGTAGTCTGGTGTATTGTAACCTGATTTGACCAGCAGGTACTTCAGTGAAAATGATTGAACATGTGATTCTTCTAGAAACGCTTCGGCACAGCTGCGTCCCTTTTTTCAAAGTGAGCCCCTCGCCTTTTCTTCAAGGCCCTGGTGTTCGTATTGTTTTGCATGATGACATTGCACCATTGAAGGTGAAAACTCCGTGGTGGTAGGACCGTTGCGTTTGATGTTGATAGATGGGGGGATGAGGTCAGGTGGGGATGGGCCACAACTCAGGACGTTTGAATTTGCAGGTCATTGCACAATTACCATAATTAATTGGATTTTTCTACAAAAAACATCAGATTTGGCGGGCACAATGCCGTATTCAAGGGCCTGGTCCTTTCCCATGTTTGCAGTCGTCCCCATGTTCGTTGGCTGTAGACATGCTAGGAGCAGAAATGAATCTTGAAAAACTATACCATAATATCAACATGTCTTACGAGAACTGACCGCTTGGCCCATCTTCGCAGATGCCATTTGCAGGACGTCCAGTGCAGGTCACCAATGACAGCAGCGACCCTTGCCCAGTGCCTGGGCGAAAGCGATCCTCCCTGCTAACTGGACGGTCATTTTTCCACATGTTTCCATCTGAAATTCGGGTTCCAAACCCCCATCCCGTGTTGAGGGTTTATTCGGATTTGACTCTTGGAGCGTGAGAGTGAGAAGCTTGATGGTACCTCTTGCTGGGCCGCCGGGACATACAAAGCATGTGGCAGCAAGAGCCAATGACCCAGAGGTCTTGAATGATTTTGAGAAATGTGACACAAGTTGTCAATGTAATTCTAAGCGAAGTGGAACACCCTTATAGCTTGTTGGTGTTTGGTGTGGCTAGAGTTATAGCTATCAATTGGCTACGTATGGAGATAATCCAGACGTTTGACTCCGCAACAGTGGGCTTGAAGTGCATTCTAATCCTAAAACTTGACGTCTCATTCTCAGGTGATGAGGTTTGATGTTCGCAACACCAAAGCGGGGCCCAGGCCAAAACTGATGAGCTTCCAACGTTGCTGACCAATACCAGCTTGACCAGATGCATGGGGCACCTTGACCTTCAATGAGAGCCAGGAAATTGAATGATTGAATATTTGAGGGTGCAGGTGTGACCAGATTCATACAATATATATATATACATATATACATATTATATCCTCTCATGTAGATGTTTGAATTTGCTGCAAGACGCCAAGAAGACAAAAAAGAAAAAATGCCACCGTTTTGGTAGGATTTCACTTTTCTATCTTTTTGGTTGTTGCTATATCATGCTGTATCATGCTATATCTAGAGGATGACGGCTCCCGCCATGCCAAGGAGCCCGATGAACAAGCCGGCCGCGTCATTTAAAGAATGAGGGGGAACAGATTCAAAGATGCAGGGTTGTACAGTGACACCTGGGGCTTGGCTAAAAATGATCGAGCCAAATCGATTTCAAATTGGATGGTTTGCATGGAGCTATCAGAGCAGTGCTGTGGATGATCTGTGAGCACTATTGCTACCCCAGCCCCACTTGGCCACAATAGTTGGCCATGTTCACCTCTCTCACAGCTTACTGTAAGCTTGGGCCCAACTGTGACTTTCCAGCCTGGGCCTGGGTTGCATTTTCCATGTGGCCTGGTTTAAAACTTTGGAATTCGTTGCGGAAGATGCATCGGGCATCCGAGGCTCAGCAGTTGCCAGGCTCGTCCGAAATACATTTGAGAAAAGGACATGTAGGAAGAAGATGGAAGAAATGCCTTCACCTCAGCTGCATTCTCATCACTTCATGTTTATATAGTACGCTTGTTTTAAGTTATTCCTTCATTGCATGGTAGTTGTTTGCCTCCAAAAGGTGCCTCAGCAGAGGTTCGTTTTTGTTTGCTTCCAACAGCGAAGCATCGCTGGAGCATGGAGTAGCTGAGCTGGCTTGAGACGAGATTCAAAGGATCAGCAGTTTTGGATGCAAATGGATTGAGAATGGATGACATCATGAAGCCCCTAGACCATGCTCCTGCACTGAGTGCCACGATGTGGGACATGATCCTGGGCAAGCTGCCTTGAACGTCAACAGCTTGCCTTGTTTGAACCAGCTTTGCAGCAAAAACCAAGTCGTGCAGCTGACATCAGCTGACCTACTGGGACGGTTCAGAGCGAGCTGCTGTCACAGACCACCGCACTGCATGACGCAATTGGGCGCAAACCCTCGAACATGAGGTGATGCTTGATGATGCTTGCCATGGTGTTGCAGAAATGCAATCCCACTCACTTCCAATCACCAGCATGTTCGGTTTAAACCATTGAGATCCCGCAGAATTCAAATCATCCTAATTACATACAAGGTAGCGGGTTAAATGAGCATGATATGAAACCACAGCAGATGCCAAACCATGTGGCCACAGATTTTGCAATGCCGGTGCTCGCAATGCAAACCCCATTGCAGGTGCATCAATCCCGGGGTGAACGGGCATCTCCTATAGGAGTACAATTGTTGCCAACGAGGTTTAGCCTTGGGCCAAAACATGCTGCTTTAGCCATGCGGCTTAATATGATGATCGCTCAGTCCTTAGAGTCATGAGGTTTAGTGGGTCGGATGCATTTGAAAGGTGCAATTTGGGCAATTTTTGTTTGGGCAACCCTTGCAATCCCTTTGTTAGCAACTGAGCGACATATTATGTTCTGGGTCTGGGTTCACCACGTATGGCCGCTTTGCATTTATGATGCATGCAGGGATGTCGGGATGGCTCGTCGTTCGGATTTCAGACCCTTGCACCTCCAAAGCAATGAGATGTTTCGTTTGTTGATGTTGGTTACATTTGTCAGATATAGAATTATGTAGATATAGTCATATAGTCATATAGCGAGCTGCCTCACCATATCTCACCATTCCTGATTCCTGACTCTTTGACCCATTTGAGCAGCGTCCAACCCTCACGTGTCATGGTATGAAGGGGCGTTACAGATGATATTCAGTGCTTTTTTGAAAACTCAAACAAGAGGTGCAAAAGTTTCGCGGGAGCTCCTGAGTGGGGCACATCACATGAGAATTATGGCAGCATTTGGTTGAGGCAAAACAGGTTCCACTTTTTACCATACCAAATTACCCATGGGCGAGAAGGGCGGAGCCGGGCAATAGCATTCAATAGCTCACATTCGTGAGAATCTGTGACAGCTCTGCCAAAGCTGACATCACATGGGACGGATACTGACGGATCCCCCGACAAAAGTACCATGGGTCCAAGAGATGCACTGGACAGTACCCATGCCAGACGGTCACCATGCTGGGAGACCATGTTAGGAGGCAATCTGGGAGACAAGCTGGCCACCCTGCCGACAAAGTTTGGGCTACCAGGCATCTGAAGAAGAAAAGACAAATAATTGGCACAACCTCGTGGCACTGAAGCAAACAAACTCTGGCAACTCACCCTCTTCATTTGTTTGGTCTCAAAAGGATACTGGAGGAACGCACACATACACGCCGCGGAATGGCGGAAGAGGAGAGCCACTGGAACACTTCCACACTCGGCATCGGCAACCGCTCACTGGAAACTGGAAACATTTCCTTACCTGGGTAGCCATATTTGTTTGTACTGTTTCACATGCTGCAAGATGCATTGTACTGGTGTATGTGTATATAATAAGTAGTTTACTACTATATTGGGTACATTCGAGCCAGATGTTGCAGATATGGTGAGCATCGACGATTGGCTATCTTACAGTCTCTGCAGTCCTTTCGCCTCAGGCTTTGGCAGCCGTGCTGAAGCTGGTAAATTGAGGCAGGATATGGCGCATAGATGTTCATAGGTTCCTTGGGGCTGGGAAGTGGTTTTCTCATGTTTTCTCCACTGTCTGTTATTTCAGGATATTTCAGGATTGCTGGTATTTATCTTGTATTTCCCGATTTGGGCACCAGGATGGCCCGCGGAACCTGAAGGTGTTTTGTGCGGTGCTTGATGGCCAACCTCGCACCACACACTGGCTCAAGATGGACATCAGGTCGGTTCGACGCCATGGAGTCGAAAGTATGCTGTCTCCAAATTCTTTGGAGTTTATTCCTGGTGTTTTCTACAGTGCAATTTATGACATTTATGTATCATTATGTATCCTTCTTATCATGCCCAACCTCCACTTCACAATGAGAGACAGGTGGAGAAACCATCAAAAGGCTTGCAAACTGCCACTGAGACGCAAGATGCCGTTGAGCATTCCGATCCGAGTATGCTGAGTCGTCTAAGTCATCCACCGATTCCGGTTACGACCAAGTTGGAGAACTTGGGATTGGCCACCGAGCCAATAAGCTTCGGCAAAAAACGTGCCATGAGCCCAGCCATATGTCCGCCTCCTGGCGTTGGCCTTGACGGGAGTGCTCACCCCGGCTGAAAGCCGCTGTGGCGACACAAGCACCGCTGGACTGGCCGCCACATGGCCATACCATGGTGGGATTGGTGCGATTAAGAAATGTGGCCGATATCCTGTGGCAGGTGATGGCAAATGCTGTTCCAGGTGATTTTGCTGAATTGGGAGTTTGGAGAGGCGGCACTTGCATCTTTGCAAAATCCATCTTGGATGTGATGGGAGAGACTCGTTTAGTCCATGTCTTTGATGCATTTGGGACCATCCCTGACTACAGCGGTTCGGCCGAGTTTCTCGCTGTGCGCATTGAGACTGTCATGAACGGCTTCCACATGTACGATGCATATGGCTCGAACATGTCCAATGTATTTTTTTACAAGGGCCTATTCAAAGACACACTGCCAGGATCTGCCAGGGTACTATGCCAAGCACAAGGATTCCAACATGAAGCTGGCTGTTCTGCGTGTGGATGGCAACTTTCACGACTCCTACCAGGATGCCCTCTACTACTTGTATGGCTTTGTTCCGGTGGGTGGCTTTGTCATTTTTGATGATGTCTTTTCCCACAAAGGGGCGATGCAAGCATGGAACGAGTTCAACAAGGATCATGGCCTTCCAGAAGAGTTGACAAGAATCGATATATATATATATGTATATATATATATATATATTCAGGCTATTTCCGAAAGACTCGTAGTGTCTCCGTGGACTTCACGAAAATGCGGCCTTCACACGTGTAACATGCACAACAGTGCACAACACTTTCGCGAGATGCGCAACATGTTTGTCCAAGATTCGGCGGACGCTGGGTGTTTGTGCAGGGCCAAAGCTTCCCTGCATCGGTTCTCACTATTCTGATTATTCTGGCCACTGGGCGGGAAAAATACCTTGCCGACCGCGCAGACTGACTAGCACAGAACCTCAGTTATTCATGGTGTGATGTATCCATCCCGGCGCAAATTTCTGCCGTGCACAGGGGCGGCCACTGCCATCTTTTGAGAGGCGTGATGGTGGGTGTAATTAACAGGCTTCCCACTTTGGGGGTGTTGGCGGTGGCGGTGATTGCTGTAAATCTCTACGATGTGTCATGCTTGGCTTGTGTGTATACATGCCGTATTTGGGATATTTGTCAGTGGTGTGCTGATCCTGCAGGAGAGATTTGCAGTGTGCCTTGTCCTATGCCACTGGTCTCTTGTTTCTTTTCAACGATCTCTTTTCTTGGCTTCCGAGCCAGCAGCCAAGATCACCAGGCCCACTTGCTTCGTAGAAGTGTCTCGTTCGCATTGGCAGCTGTTGAAATCAGTGGCCCCGAAAACATCCAAAAACCACAAAAAAATATTAAAAAAATGAAGGCTTTTGCACCCAAAGCTATGGGTTGAAATGTGTCAAAGCCCATAACGTTACGGTGTGTATCTTGGTTTACAATGTTGTACAGCATTGCTTCATAGTGCTTCTATATCTATTTCTGCGATGTCCAAGGTGCCGGGGGCCCTCGGGCCCTGACCACTGTTTCGCCAGGGCTAGGGCGACGACGCAATGCGTCACAGCTGGTGCTGGGGAGCAACGAAGCTGTGGAGTGGTGGCAGGAAGTGGATCAGCAGTGGAAGATGGAGCAGCGAGCTGCAGATCCCTCACTGAAGTCACCTTTCTTCTCACTGGCAGTGGCCACTTTGATGGAAGTAATGTGAAGTAATGTTTTTCTGGGACCGATGACCCCCGGCAGAAAATGTGTGTGTTTTTTTAAACGGGGGGAGGGGAACCATGAAGTCCAATGCGACAACTTGAGAGTTGTTCTCAAACAGCCAAGGAGGAAAACTCAACGGTCATTGCAGTGGGTGGCGGCGCCGGCCGTTGTGCCAGCATTTTTGGCCCTGACGCATCGGTGCTAGCGACACTGCAAGGGCACACTGGATGGGTGCGAGACGTGCTGTTTCATGAAGGACAACTTTACAGCCACCTGGCGGGATCTAGCAACATATATAGGAAATTTTGCTTGGGGGGATGGTTCGTTTCAGTATTTGACAGATTTGCGCATAGTCTGTCAAACAGACTGGCATCAAAAAGTGAGGTTGATGGCTGACTTGCTTATAATCCCCAGGAAATTCACCCAGACACAGTTTACAGTTTGGATGTTTCTTGGCGGCTGGGCAGCAGTGAGGTATAGGTTGCAACTTCATCAAGGTTTTGCGGCCCCAAAAGGAGGGAGACACAGCAGCGCGGTGGAGAAGCTGCGCCCACGTGGGAGATTTGGAGGTTGGGGTATGCATTGCACAGCGTACAATGCAACATGTCTTTTCAGGTTTCGTCACGCACTCACTGCTGACAAGTCACTGCACTCACTGCGTCATTCGAGGCAAGCTATTATGACCATGTCAAGCTATGACCCGGAAGAAGCGTGCATCATGAATCATGAACGGAACAGGTATTGGATTTTTGTTGATAGCCATAGCATGCCATAGCAATTTTTGGATTTGTGAGAAATGTCGCTTTGGCTCAGCATCAACGTTTTATATTTGTTTCTTTATTTTTTAGATATGTGATGGTGCAGTTTGAAAACCATGCCTGGAACTCCCCGTAGTCGGATATAGTCGGATGCAATGGCAGCCGGATGCACCGGAAGTTCAAGCCCTGGCTACCAGAGGCTTTCGAGACCAGGAGCTGATGCATGATGGCAGTTCTTCCTTATTTTACAGTGACCTGTGCTGTTGTTTGTTGCGGCATGGCACGTCTCAAGGGCGGTGCAGACCACTTTTGGCGAGGAGAAGGGAACTACATGAGCAGCCAGAGGGACAAGCAATGGTGGTCCGATATATCGGCATCGTTAACCAGTGCTGTGCCTGGAGATCTCCTCTTCACACCTCGAAGCCGTGGTGCAAGCAGTCAGAGCGGAAACGTTGAGTTGAAAGGATCTTGGTGGTTCTCTCTGGAACTCCAGAAGTGCAATCTAAGTAGGTGTGGACGGCCGGTGGAACATCAATCGAGACCGCCATTCGATCCCCAGCCGGCTTGGCAGTCTGGTGTGGGTACAACTCTGCCGAGCCAACCACCCGGACATCTTCATTATTACAAGCACGGGCTCACGTTTCTGGAGTTCAGACAGCCAGACAAACATCAAGATCTATGGAATGAAAACCCGCGCTGATGGCTTGAAAGCCCCTCGGTAAAACAAACGTGGCGCAACAGCGTGCCGTCATTACAACGTCCGCAGTGGAGACTTCAGTGGTGGTCATCCAACACCTAGCATACCTAGCAGAGCGTTGGAGACATGGATCACAAATCATCCCGGTGTCAATTGGGCGGTTTGTTCGCGACATCCAACACGCCTGCTCGCACAGCCTTCAACGCCAGTGAGCCCAAACCTCCTCAACCCATTGGTGCTCGAACAGCGATGTTGGCTTAAAGGAAGGCTCATATTCAGCACCTGGAAGCTGAAGAAGACGAAGAGCAACCAGTTGGTATCTACTGGTGACATTCATCCCATCCCAACATACACAGCCGGTTGGGGAACCCAACCGACCTGACCAGACCGTGGAGGATCCTCTTGACCAGACTGTGCACCCTGTAGTGCCGGTTCTGGTGAACGATGACGGTGATGAGACAGCAGCCCCTGCCAAGGGAGTTAAGTTAAGAGAGAGCATCTAGCCCCTGCAAGGGAAGTGAAAAGAAAGAGAAAGGACAGAGGCCCCTGCAAGGGAAGTGAAAAGAGAGAGGACAGAAGCCCCTGCAAGGGAAGTGAAAAGAGAGAAGACAGCAGCCTCTGCCTCTGCCAGCAGCCCTTGCCAAAGGACATCGACGCGTGAGAAACCCATGTCTCCAAGCCAGAGAAGACGAACAATGTTGTATGCTATGACAAAAAGATGTCAGTCCAACGCCAAAGCCAAGGCTAAGAGCACTCCCAGAGTCAAGGCCAAGACCAAACAGTTGGGCACTCGAGTTACATCAACCACCAACTTGCTGGAGTTTTTTTTCCCGCTAATGCGATTTTTCTCCAGTCGGCAGCATAGCCTCTTGCGCAGTTAAAATGCGTAAGCATTGTGCACTTCCAAGTTCTTCCAAGTATGCATTGCACAGCAAGGCCATGTTCATTTTGGACTGGCTGTTTATTTATCCTTACATCCTCAACTTTCAAGGCAGATGCAGGATCATGCTGATTCATGGCGTACAATCAAAACATCATCAAATGTCATGAACATCATGAAACTTCGAGGCAAATGGTGATCTCTTGGCCTTGGCTGCTTCTCAGCGTGACAGCCAGTGTTTGATCTTGGGTCCAAGGGGGATCCCCGGTGGCACTGAGGCATATAGATGGGGGACATCACGATATCCCCTGTTTCAACATGTTTCAACATATATATACCTGGTCCATCCTGGTCCACATTTTTTTTTGTTTCCTGGGTATCCAACTTCCGCTACTTATATGATCGTGCCCGCAGGATTTTGGTGTCATGCAGCTGAACCATTTGACCAACAGCGTTTTCCGGGTTGGTGGTACAATGTGGCGAAGTCTTGAAGCCACCATCCCGGATGATGAATGAAGAGGAGTCAGTTTGATTCATTTTGTGGAATGTCCCTTCACTTGCCAACCAGCTCGGATTTTTTTTTTATACTTATCTTAAAACATCTTAAAACCTGGCCTTCAACCCTAAAAATTTGGAAGAGTGTCCAGCAGCACATGTAATGCCCCCAGGTTTGCGGTGGTTTTCTGTTCGCCGTTGGTGCCTCCAAGTATCGACATCGCTGGAAGCTGCCAGCGCTTGGAAGGCCGAAGGATTGGATCGCAGAAGCGCCCCTGAGCTGCAGCCCTTCAGTTGACCAAGTGGAAGATGATTTTGCTTGTGGAAAATGGGCGGTGTTCAGTGTTCCCTTCCATTAGTTGTAGTAAGTTTCTCATGATCATTGGATCATTGTTTTGGTGATTGACGTGCAAACTTGTTGAAATGATTGACCACCATTGTAGAAGCGACCCACTCTGCTTGGCGTACCGGCAGAATGCGCTGGAAATTCAAGCCCCTCACTGTAAAGTCTTGGAACTCCATATCAATACCCTCAGCATATTCCCATGGATATCCCATTCGCGAGGCGAGCGTCTCTCCTCCGGGAGCCAAGTCGACACGCGGGTCGCGTGACATGCCTCAGCTGCTGGAGGGACAGGCGCCTATCATCATTGTGGTTTTAAGTGATATTCGGTGATTAATGTGTTAAACCCACTGCGATAAACCATCCCCACAATCAAAATTTGTATGATACAAACTGCATCAACCATCGCCAAATGGTACAGATAGGTTGAGGGTTTTGGGTTGCCTGCATTATTAGGAACAAAACATCATGGGAATTCGATGGGATTTTGATGGGAGAATGTATATATAGATGTAATTTTGGGATATAATTTGCTATAACGGTTGAGCTGTCCTTGATCCATGTCTTGTAGCGATGTTTCCTTTGCACCTGAGAACCTTGCACGGTTCTCCTGGTTGAAGTCCTCCGCATAAGCCATTCTTCGTAGCTGAATCAGCTAAACAGTCTCCCTCTGGAGACCACTGCCGCCGGAATCCACCACCGTTATATAGTGATTTTGAAATAATTCAAACTCCCGGTGTCCCTTTGTCCCTTCTGAGTCGAAGCCACTCAGATGGAAAAGTCAGAGGGTCATCTCAGCGTCCAGGTTGGTGTCCTGCGGCCATGATGGTGAAGTCGTGTTGGACAGCTTCAGTTCCCTGCAACTCTGCTGCAGATGTGCCATGAAGAGTGAAGACCAATGGGGTTGCAGCATGTTTGTGCCAATTTCATGCGAATTGTCAATTCCCCAGTTCTATACATGTCCAAATTTTTCCCCATCCGAATTGCAACAGATGCATATGTCAGATATGTGTCGAAGTGCACTATGTCGCTAATTACGGTATGGTCCTGTTTGTGCTGCTGAACTCTTGTCATACATGAAGGCCTGTTCCGGTTGCATGTCCATGGACTACATATTGATTGCACGAGACAGTGCCACGGCTCACATCCAGCAAATGGAAGGAGTAGCACTTGTTCGCATATATGGCAGATGCATGTATTGAGTCCTCTAGATTCTACAAGTATATTATACAGACATGTAGTGTGCCTGCGTTTATGTTGCGCATGTTCCTTTTTCCCATTTGAGACCCAGACTCATTGCACAAATTTGCATCGCTTGTCAAGGAAGCGGGTGAGTTTGGGCATCAGCCGACTGCTGTCGCTGGCAATTGTTGACAAAGAGCACATTGCCATTGGTTCTGAGGCCGACGCTGGGAGGGACTCGATGCAATGACATGTATATGTTTTAGTTTTTTCCCACGGGGCTCTCCGAAAAATTTGAAGAATCGGAGTTGGGTTAGAGACTACATGAGTATGAGAGGAACACTCGCTGTGATGAAGCACAATTCGTAGCAAACAATTGTCATTTGTTAATAATTACAATTGAATACAGCATGGGTTAGGTGTTGATAAGCATTGTTCGAATGCAGAGAGAGAGAGAGAGAGAGAAGAGAGAGAGAGAGAGAGAGTCTTCGTAGGCCTGTTCAAAAACAGTGTTTCCATTTTTTCCTGTATATAAGTATTGTTTCCCCAATGGCTAGTAAGTCTACATAGTCCACACTTTCTGAGAGTGGAACACGATATCAAAATCTCTTGTATGCCACAATCCTCCAAGTTTAAAAATGCCCATGATGGCAACACGGGGCCCCCCATCTTTGTACAATGGCTGTCTCCAAGAATTGACGTGGGATACCGACTCCCTGGTGTTCCCATGTTTTTGCCCGCCAAATAGCCTATCAACTTATCAACTGGGTGGTCTTAGAGGTTAGTTAGAACTTATCCTGTCCCACATGGTACAAATGGAAAATCGTTCATTTGAAGATGCTTTAATGATGGTTTTTCTATTTCAATTCATTATGATTCCCCTTCCCATGTTAGATTACCAGTGGCTCACAGGATGGAAGTATCCATTTGCTGAATGCCAAGCTGCAGACGCTGGAGAGCCTTCAGCCATTTGGGCCATGTCCCATTAATGGCATCGCGGCTTTGCCCGGAGATCCTTGGTACATCTTGGCATCCTGGTGCTGGGGAAATTGACAAAGCAGGGTGCCACTATGGCACTATAGAGAGGGCGGAGCTCCCGGTGAACCATCATGGACCAGCAATGATCATCCATGATCAGGCTTTTCCAGATCCTCTGATCATTTTGATTCATTTTTGGGATACTAAGCAAGATAAGCAAGCTGGTCATGTTAAACTATGTTAAACTGTTATGTCATGATTTCAGTTTGGAGGCATCTTCCAACACCACTCCCATGTTTCATGGCCTTTCATGACGTAGGCCGAAGTATGTCATGGGCCCCATGGGCCGTGGCCCAACTGTTGACATCTCAGGGGCGCTTTGCGGCGGTCTCAACGGAGCTGCCAGGATTCCACCTGGGATCATTCGAGAGTCAAAAGGAACGGAGCGGCGGAGCGGCACTTCGCTAATCCACAACCGTGGTTTGGAAACACGGTGCGCATACGGTGCATAAGGTTTTACCATGGTTTCTCCATCGGCTGGGGAATGCGCCACAGAGATGAAGAAAGCACAACGAGTTTTCCTGAAAGTCGGATGCGTCGGTCATCGTACCGTAGTGGTCGAAGCGGCTCACTGTTCTAAATCCGAAAGCATTTCAAATCAGCAGTCAAGTTGGCTCTCATTTTTTGCAGTTCCATTCAAAGCTTGTTGAGTTTGCGGGATGAAATGCTTAATTATCCTTTCAGGTTTTGTCGTGTTTCCATCATATTTGTTGCTAGAAAGCTATTATGCCTAACATGCTTTTTGGGGCCGGGTACCCCCGGAGGCACTTTTCGTGGGGACAGAGGTGCTCGGGCTGGTGTCCAGAGGGCGGCCGCAAAAGTGGTTGGCTTTTCTGGGTCAAGGTAGTGGTGTCAAAGCCGGTGCTCCAACGGACGCCCACTTTTCCTGGGGCAAGTATGACCGCAGGGGCATTTTCGGACGGGACATTCAATGCCGATGTTCGGGCCAGGGTTCTTGTAGGGCAGGCTCAGGGATGTGAAGATTATCACATGTCATGTGGTGGAAGAAGCGGTGCCAGATTAGATGGACGGCTCTCCATTCTAAAAGAGGTGTGCGGTGAGCGGGCTGGATCAGTTTCAGAACAAACCGCATTGGAACCAGATCGGACCGGGATCGGAACCGGGTCGGAACCAGATCGGAACCGGGTCGGAACCGGGTCGGAACCGGATCGGAACCTGATCGGGAACGTGGTGCTTCATAGATGGCCGATGGCCTCTAAAATGCTTACGCGTCGATATAGCGGGACTGGAGCGACACCGGGCATAGGCGCTTATAAGCATTATAGAAGGCCATTTTCAATCATTTTCACAGAATTCCTTAACCCCGGGGACAAATGATTTGCGAAGCAACACGTTCCCGATCCGGTTCCGATCCGCTTTCGATACAGCTCCGATCCGGTTCGATCCGGTTCCGATCCGCTTCCGATCCGGTTCGATCCAGCTCCCATCCGGTTCCGGTTGAAGGCTTGGCCAAGTTAATTAGGGCTTCGGGGCACAACCGGGGCTACGAGTGCGGGGCAAGTCTTGCCAATCTTGCATCATTGAAGATTATCTCCAGCCTGCGCATAGAGTAAATAATAGTAAGCCGCGCTGTAAACTGATGAGCATGGGTTGCTTTTCTTTGTTGCTCGTCGTTGGGCTTTGCTTAATGCGGGTGTGGCCGTTCAATGCGAGTGACTGAGAAGGTTCTCCTCCCTCCTCGCCCTTGGCATAGTTCAAGCCACTCACATGGGGGCAGCCTCTTTGGCACATAGTTAGTTTCAATGTGAGACAATCATGCAGCGGTCAAACTGTCGGGCTCCAGAGGAAAAGGATAAAACACACATGGATATGTCTCAAAATGAGGTGTCCGTTTTTGGTTCCAAAATGGTTCCTTTAAGGGAAAAAACGGACACCTCATTTTGAGACATTCCCACATATAAATACCAGTAGTACCGCACAAGGCGGTGGCGGAAGTTTCAAAAATAGGAAACCTATAGGAGAGGTTGGTTGTTGTGAATCAGGGATGGCAGAGCGAAGCCACTGATGGAGCGAAAGGTGATTGATCTCTCTCACTATTTCTCTGTCTTTCTCTGACTATCCACCTACCTACCTACCTACCTATCTATCTATCTATCTATCTCTCTCTCTCTCTCTCTGTCTGTCTGTCTGTCTATCTATCTATCTATCTATCTATCTATCTATTTATCGATCCATCCATCCATTAATCCATCCATCCATCCATCCGACTCCATCCATCCATCCATCCGACTCCATCCATCTACCGTGTACTGATACGAGCCTCGTATTCCTAAATTGAAACTTCAACAACTCCTACCATGTTAACACAACAGACTACAAACACATGACGAAATCTAGCACATCCCTCTGACGCGTCTCCCTCACGGTGTCGCCGCAGCGTGTTTTTTTCCAAGCAGCAACGGGCAAAATCTTCGGCCGGACTTGCAATGAAGTACAAATGCTCCAGTGCATCATTGTGCAGTCAGAAAAGACATACACGCTGGCATGTGTCGTGGCCGCTGCGGTCAGAAGCGCTGCGTGCCGTCAGCAGTCCCGCGGTGCGCATCGCTGCATGTGTCCCGTTTTCCCCGACGGTAACGACGCGGGCAGAAAAGCCACACGAGAGGTCAGTGCCATCTCTGCCACGCAGGCACATCCGGCAGCTGCGAGGCATCAGATGGGTTGGCGCGCCACCGGGCAGCATCCGCCCGGGCAGCTTGCCGCTGTCGCATTTCATGATGAATCCAATCAGGGTCGAAATAGCAACACTCATCGAACAGCTTCAAGTACTCACGGCGAAGCAATTCATCCTCCGTGCGCCTCACGTGCGGCCACTCACTGTGGTCGTGCAAGATTTTCAAGATGGTAACGGCATCAGCAACGGTGAGATGCCTTCGAAGAGCGAGCCACATGGCAGGACTTTCTGCCAGGTCCTGCAGAAGGCTTCTCGCTTCCTCTGGCGGCCGACAGGTTCTATCAAGGCATTTCTGCGTCGACTCCAGGGTGCGAGCATGCCATCTATGTCTCTAGCTGTCCCTCTAACTATTTCTCTATCTTTCCGTCTATCGATTTATCTATTTATCTATCAGTCTGTCTGCCCGTCTATCTATGTATCTAGCTATGTGTCTATCTATCTATCGACCTATCTATGTGTCTATCTATCTGTCTATCTATCTATCGATCTATCTATCTATCGACCTATCTATCTATCGATCTATCTATCTATCGACCTATCTATCTATCTCTCTCTCTCTATCTATCTCTCCGTCTATCTATCTATCTCTCTATGTATCTATCTAGCTCTCCATGTATCGATCTTTGCATCTATCGATGTTTCTATCTATCTATCTATCTGTCTGTCTATCTATCTATCTGTCTGTCTATCTATCTATCTATCTATCGATCTATCTATTTATCTATCTATCTATCTATCTATCTATCTATCTATCTCTCCATCTATCGATCTATTGTAGTTGTAGTTGTAGTTGTTGTGGTTGGTTGTTGTGGTTGGTGTTGTTGTTGTTGGTGTTGTTGTTGTTGTCGAGATTAGGGTAGTTAAGTTAGTGAAGTTAGTTAAGTTAGTCAAGTTAGTTCAGTTAATCAGTGTCTACTTTTTCGACATCTTCACGTCAAAAAAGGCTCAAAAACCCTCAGTTTTTTACACTTTTGACTTCGAAATGTGCTTCGCGCCACAACGGCGTGCACTTTTTCGACACTTTTTCCACATCGGAACCTCCAAAAGTGGTCCGAGACCGTCAGTTTTTTACACTTTTGATTTGGAAATGTGCTTCGCGCCACAACGGCGTGCACTTTTTCGACATCGCAACTTCCAAAAGTCGTCCGACACTGAGGTGCTTTCTACATTTTCACTTCGAAATGTGCTTCGCGCCACAACGGCGTGCACTTTTTCGATCGACATCGCAACCTCCAAAAGTGGTCCGAACCCCTGGTGTTTTGTACATTTTGACTTCGAAATGTGCTTCGCGCCACAACGGCGTGCACTTTTTTGACATCTCAACTTCCAAAAGTGGTCCGACGCTGAGGTGTTTTGTACATTTTGACTTGGAAATGTGCTTCGCGCCACAACGGCGTGCACTTTTTCGACATCCCAACTTCCAAAAGTGGTCCGGACCTGGTGTGTTTTGTACATTTTGACTTGGAAATGTGCTTCGCGCCACAACGGCGTGCAATTTTTCATCTCTCATCTGGCCAGCTGGCTCCGCACCCGCCGCTTTAGCGAGCCTACTTTTCGACTCTCCGGAGCCACAAATCATTGGAAAAACACAGTGTTTCGCGACTTTCCTACCTTTTCGATCCTTTTCGCGCATCTGCATCTTCTTTCTTCTGACTCTTTCTCTTCTGATCTTCTCTCTTCTAATCTTTCTCTTCTCTCTGCCTCTTCCCTGCTCTGCTTTTCATCTGTCCATATTGTCGGAAGTTTGACTTCTAAACTTCCTTCGATAAGTAATATACAGTAATATGACTAATATGTATATTTATCGCGCGATTGCGTGGCGGAAGTTTCCGTTTTCAGTGAAGAGTGATCAAGATCTAACAGAGACTCAGTGCAAACAATCAGACAAGAAGAGGAGTGCAACTGCTGCAGTGGAGATCATGCTGTCTTCCCAAAGGGAGATTGTTGTCGTTGTTGTTGTTGTTGTGGTGGTGGTGGTTGTTGTGGTTGCAGTACCTGGCCCGCACTCGTAGCCCCGGTTGTGCCCCGAAGCCCTGATTAACTTGGCCAAGCCTTGTTGCAGGTCTGGTTCCGGTCCGGTTTATGTCCGGACGCCTGACAAGGGGGATGCTGAGCACTACCTAGTCAATCTAGTCACCGATCGCACCACCAGCAATTTATAGCCGCGACCAAATCCCACCGCAAATTGAGCACCACCGGCTGCACCGCTACATAGGCCCCCCCCCTCCTGCCCAGCAAACAGGGGGTATGTTAAGCATAATGGTGCTTTATCATGTTTTATCAACATATTTGTGAGAAGCATTAAGTGGCAACTCTTCACTTGGACACAATGATACTGGAAATACCCATCTGATAGTTACTGTAGCTAAGAGCATGCCATGGTCATGGCACCCTCTCTTGCGATGCAATACGATGCTTTGGACCACTGGCCTACCTGCTCTGAAGAAGCATGAGGTGCAAGGGCCAACAGTTGGTTAAACAGCGGAAGGGTTGGGAATTGATGGTTCTTATTTCATTAAATGGAACTTCCTATCACAAAGAGGGGATGGACCATGAGAAATGGGAGTTTCTGGAATACAATAAAGTTCCCAAGCATTCCCAAGCGAAAAGCATGGAAAAGGAGAAAACCCATAAAAAAAAACTCTGGTAAGAAATGGCCAAACATGGAAACCTGTATGAACCTCCCAAGGTGAAATGGGGAACTTGTTGTGCAAAAAAACGTGTAGACAGGTATCAAAAGTTCTTCCAGTTCAGCATTTACCAC